CCAATTGAGCCAATCTGAGAGAGCGTAACTAACGACCATTTGGATCAGGCGTTACGTGCCCTCGCAGATGCCCTGGTGGGCTATCCGACCAACAGTGCGATAGTGCGGCAGTACTACACCTTGTCCTGACTAGTTATTGGATTATATGCTAACGTACTTTTGTTCTCCATAGCAACTATACATCAAGCTACTTCTTTTAGCTGATATGCAGACAGCTGATAAGGATGGCGATGTTACCATAAATTGCAGCCCCTTCGGCGACGGCATAAACGACGACGACCACGAAGACGATGACCACGGAGATGACGGCCTTGTCAGCGACAGTAGAAATGGAGAAGAGGAAGGCGGTGACGAGACCTCTATCTGCGACGGTAACACTGGTATCAACGATAACGACATTGATCGAATGGAGAAAAGAAAAAGCAGAGCTCAAATCGAACCTTTTCAAGTGCATCCGCGATGCCGTGAGAGATAGCCTGTTCTCTGATCCGTATATCCTGGATACAGCCAAGTCGCTTGCAACTGAGGAGGACCAAATGGTAAGTGAGGACCATAAAACCCGCCTGGTCTTTTATCTCAAGGCGAGCAATTTCGAAGATTGGAAGGCACAGCACCAGATCAGCACCAACTCTGGCTTTAGCCCACATGGGCAACCGTGCGTGTATACTGCACACATGAACGAGCGCAGTTCCCAAGACAAGAAAGAGAAGGCCAGCCAGGTCAAGGCTCGCTATGATTACCATCACAGGGGAGTGCCACATCGCTTACTCAAGGTGCAACGATCAGAAATTAGCGAGAATGTCTTGAGTACTCTCTTCAGGAGCCAAGAAAGTGGTGAACAGCATACTCGGTGCAAGAGTGACCATTGCTGCACTTACAGAGGATCTACTGTATCACTGAAAGATAGGATCATTTGCTACAAAAGATAAGACAATTCAGAAAAGAATCCGTGAAGAATCCATGGAATAATTGATTTTCAAAGTTGTAAGGTCTGTTTATTTCAGGTAATTGATCTCTTTCTGGCGCCTGAGGATGGCTTAATGATAGCTCTATTGAGGTTCTATAGATTTACCGACTAAGCTAAGCGTACGCCTTGATTCGTATCTGTAATACTCAAGCAGCTTTGTTGAAATCAATGAAGCGGCTCCTGTAAAAGCCTTTTTTTTTTTTTTTCCCCCGCCTGGCGACTTTCTAATAGAAAACTCGCATTTTTCACTATACATACATGACAGCGCCTTGACGCCTATCGGATTCCTCATTGAAAATCGCATGTAATCAGGAAGCTTTGTGGGTTTCGATAAAGGGTCTATTTCGCTTTTTCGTTATAAATGTTTGCAGAACAATAATGTTGAAAAATGGTGTCTACAATAGACTAGTTCTTAAGCGCGTCTTTTATCATCTTGCGCTTACTACGGATACAAAATTTCATCAGAAACCGTTGAGACCAGCTGGAGACATGTGTATTAATATTTTCTATCGATTGGAAAAGAACAGACTCAATTGGACTTGAGCTGGAGAACTTTTATTTACACCACTGTGCCATGCTGCCATAGAACATCGGTATTACCTTCGATTTTTATAAACCTTCTATCTGAATAGCATGTATGTTCATGTACATGTACATGACCTAGGCTCGTATTTTTGAGACTGCCTTAATCCTCGTTCCTGGCAAGGCATGAAGACCCCGAGCAGTTGACATTTCTTTTTCTTCTTCGCCCACACACACACACACACACAACACATACTCCATTACTCTCAATATGGCGTATCAGCATCATTTCCAACCACAGTCTCAGTCCCCTCTCCTTGATCATCAGTATAACCATACAGAAACCTTGCACTCATTCTCCAATGCATTTTTCAGTTACCTTGATATGCACTACGAGCCAAAAGGATCTCAGTTGCTCGAACCGGGAAAGATGAAGGCTCTGTTATCCCTCATGGTGCCCAAGGAGCATCTCCAACTTACCCTTCAACTCAGTGCACTATTCTTGAACGCGGATTTTTTGGCATTTCAAATCGAGACGGTTTTCACCACCCATGGTCCATCGGTTACGCGCGCAGGACTTCTTACTTTCCTTCGTTCCGAGATAATGGGAAATCCAGACACAGCCTTCAGCGAGTTCAATGCAGCTAATCAAGTGATGCGACTGGGACCTCCATTTGTTCGATCGCAGTTTCCTCAAGTAGCGGAACCAAGGGCCAAAGAACTGGCAGCATATGTCCAGGCCAGCATTTGGAGCGCTGTCAAGGATATGGGCTGGAGTCGAGTTGACGAACAAGAGGAGCAACTAAAAGCCATGAGAGTACGAATGGCCCTGGAGCAGCAGGGCCAACAGGCAGCGCTTGACCTTATCGACGGCCCGAGCGTATGTTATAGCTGTAGAAGGCGGCCGTGTACTTGCAGCGGGGTATTGGGACTCATCTAGATAACTCAGACTATTCTTATAAACCGACATGATTTATTGACAAGCACTCTTCTGAAGTTGTACAGGGAGGTTCTAGTGCTCTTTCACTAGACTACAAGAACATCTACTGTTGGCAGGCATGGCCTAGAGCCGCTGCTTTTACATGCATAAGTCAAGACACAATGGATGTTTTTATCATGTGGGCGTTGGTGATACGAGGACAAAAGATGGGCGTTGGTGATACGAGGACAAAAGATGGGCGTTGGTGATACGAGGACAAAAGATGGGCGTTGTTGACATGATGAGAAAGAGATAGGCGTTGTATACAGTAGGACAGGGTGTTGTTTATATGGCGCAAAAGATGGAAGATGGGTAAGCGAATAAAGATTGAAGAGAGGTCTTCCAGCACGGATTTCACTTGACATGGCGACTTTGGTGCACTATGGTGAAGCACAACATACGCTTCCTGCATTTCAAAAATGATTTGATCCCTGGTAAATTTTGCTGAGCTCCCCATATGTTTTCCCCATAAATGAATAAGAGTGATATAGCCGCAACGTCACTGGCCATACTGCATGGCATTGCCATGGCATGCATAACAGCACAATATGATAGAGTCCTCTCCAGAAAGTCGCAGACTAACATATTTCTGAGCCCTTTCAATTGAATTGAATACACCCCCATGTACACAAGACACCACGGTCGCGTCTAGTCGTCCTCTTGTCATCTATGGCTTTAATGGTCATCACCGTCACCGGCGCCGTTATCTCTTTCATAATTGAGAATATAGTCAGGGACGTGCATGCAGTATAGATGCGCCTGGCTGTCAGCTTTGTGCGTGAAAAAGGCAACATTATTTACTGAATTGAGCGAACCATTTCAAAAATATGTTGGCCCGCGACTTTCTGGCGAGGACTCTATGCTATCCTTCCCTCACTTCGTACATAGTCACTGGGAGCATTGCGAATCATCTCTAGACTGCTTGGCGATGTCTTCAGGGATGAGCAACATGCCAATCTTGAGTAATGTAAGGAAGCGAGCCGCTGAGGGAAGGACATGGAGTATGGCCAGTGACGTTGCGGCTATATCACTCTTATTCATTTATGGGGAAAACATATGGGGAGCTCAGCAAAATTTACCAGGGATCAAATCATTTTTGAAATGCAGGAAGCGTATGTTGTGCTTCACCATAGTGCACCAAAGTCGCCATGTCAAGTGAAATCCGTGCTGGAAGACCTCTCTTCAATCTTTATTCGCTTACCCATCTTCCATCTTTTGCGCCATATAAACAACACCCTGTCCTACTGTATACAACGCCTATCTCTTTCTCATCATGTCAACAACGCCCATCTTTTGTCCTCGTATCACCAACGCCCATCTTTTGTCCTCGTATCACCAACGCCCATCTTTTGTCCTCGTATCACCAACGCCCACATGATAAAAACATCCATTGTGTCTTGACTTATGCATGTAAAAGCAGCGGCTCTAGGCCATGCCTGCCAACAGTAGATGTTCTTGTAGTCTAGTGAAAGAGCACTAGAACCTCCCTGTACAACTTCAGAAGAGTGCTTGTCAATAAATCATGTCGGTTTATAAGAATAGTCTGAGTTATCTAGATGAGTCCCAATACCCCGCTGCAAGTACACGGCCGCCTTCTACAGCTATAACATACGCTCGGGCCGTCGATAAGGTCAAGCGCTGCCTGTTGGCCCTGCTGCTCCAGGGCCATTCGTACTCTCATGGCTTTTAGTTGCTCCTCTTGTTCGTCAACTCGACTCCAGCCCATATCCTTGACAGCGCTCCAAATGCTGGCCTGGACATATGCTGCCAGTTCTTTGGCCCTTGGTTCCGCTACTTGAGGAAACTGCGATCGAACAAATGGAGGTCCCAGTCGCATCACTTGATTAGCTGCATTGAACTCGCTGAAGGCTGTGTCTGGATTTCCCATTATCTCGGAACGAAGGAAAGTAAGAAGTCCTGCGCGCGTAACCGATGGACCATGGGTGGTGAAAACCGTCTCGATTTGAAATGCCAAAAAATCCGCGTTCAAGAATAGTGCACTGAGTTGAAGGGTAAGTTGGAGATGCTCCTTGGGCACCATGAGGGATAACAGAGCCTTCATCTTTCCCGGTTCGAGCAACTGAGATCCTTTTGGCTCGTAGTGCATATCAAGGTAACTGAAAAATGCATTGGAGAATGAGTGCAAGGTTTCTGTATGGTTATACTGATGATCAAGGAGAGGGGACTGAGACTGTGGTTGGAAATGATGCTGATACGCCATATTGAGAGTAATGGAGTATGTGTTGTGTGTGTGTGTGTGTGTGGGCGAAGAAGAAAAAGAAATGTCAACTGCTCGGGGTCTTCATGCCTTGCCAGGAACGAGGATTAAGGCAGTCTCAAAAATACGAGCCTAGGTCATGTACATGTACATGAACATACATGCTATTCAGATAGAAGGTTTATAAAAATCGAAGGTAATACCGATGTTCTATGGCAGCATGGCACAGTGGTGTAAATAAAAGTTCTCCAGCTCAAGTCCAATTGAGTCTGTTCTTTTCCAATCGATAGAAAATATTAATACACATGTCTCCAGCTGGTCTCAACGGTTTCTGATGAAATTTTGTATCCGTAGTAAGCGCAAGATGATAAAAGACGCGCTTAAGAACTAGTCTATTGTAGACACCATTTTTCAACATTATTGTTCTGCAAACATTTATAACGAAAAAGCGAAATAGACCCTTTATCGAAACCCACAAAGCTTCCTGATTACATGCGATTTTCAATGAGGAATCCGATAGGCGTCAAGGCGCTGTCATGTATGTATAGTGGAAAATGCGAGTTTTCTATTAGAAAGTCGCCAGGCGGGGGAAAAAAAAAAAAAAAGGCTTTTACAGGAGCCGCTTCATTGATTTCAACAAAGCTGCTTGAGTATTACAGATACGAATCAAGGCGTACGCTTAGCTTAGTCGGTAAATCTATAGAACCTCAATAGAGCTATCATTAAGCCATCCTCAGGCGCCAGAAAGAGATCAATTACCTGAAATAAACAGACCTTACAACTTTGAAAATCAATTATTCCATGGATTCTTCACGGATTCTTTTCTGAATTGTCTTATCTTTTGTAGCAAATGATCCTATCTTTCAGTGATACAGTAGATCCTCTGTAAGTGCAGCAATGGTCACTCTTGCACCGAGTATGCTGTTCACCACTTTCTTGGCTCCTGAAGAGAGTACTCAAGACATCCTCGCTAATTTCTGATCGTTGCACCTTGAGTAAGCGATGTGGCACTCCCCTGTGATGGTAATCATAGCGAGCCTTGACCTGGCTGGCCTTCTCTTTCTTGTCTTGGGAACTGCGCTCGTTCATGTGTGCAGTATACACGCACGGTTGCCCATGTGGGCTAAAGCCAGAGTTGGTGCTGATCTGGTGCTGTGCCTTCCAATCTTCGAAATTGCTCGCCTTGAGATAAAAGACCAGGCGGGTTTTATGGTCCTCACTTACCATTTGGTCCTCCTCAGTTCCAAGCGACTTGGCTGTATCCAGGATATACGGATCAGAGAACAGGCTATCTCTCACGGCATCGCGGATGCACTTGAAAAGGTTCGATTTGAGCTCTGCTTTTTCTTTTCTCCATTCGATCAATGTCGTTATCGTTGATACCAGTGTTACCGTCGCAGATAGAGGTCTCGTCACCGCCTTCCTCTTCTCCATTTCTACTGTCGCTGACAAGGCCGTCATCTCCGTGGTCATCGTCTTCGTGGTCGTCGTCGTTTATGCCGTCGCCGAAGGGGCTGCAATTTATGGTAACATCGCCATCCTTATCAGCTGTCTGCATATCAGCTAAAAGAAGTAGCTTGATGTATAGTTGCTATGGAGAACAAAAGTACGTTAGCATATAATCCAATAACTAGTCAGGACAAGGTGTAGTACTGCCGCACTATCGCACTGTTGGTCGGATAGCCCACCAGGGCATCTGCGAGGGCACGTAACGCCTGATCCAAATGGTCGTTAGTTACGCTCTCTCAGATTGGCTCAATTGGTTAATATCCGACTCTCCGAGGTCCGGCGCGTCCATGGTGCTGGGTGTGCAAGTGCGTAATTGTTGTGGTAGTGTTCGCTATGAGTGATATATGTGTGTATGTTCTGGCTGTGTGGGCCTGGCCGTTATGACGTCATAGAAAAATTCTGACAGATTTTCTGGGCAGCATAAGGATACTCCTCCAGCAAGCCACGACTTCAGTTTGTTTTCATTTACTTTTTCTTTTTTTTTTTTTCTTATGCCTTAAATGTTATAGACCTTCCCATCACCCCCCTCCTTCACACTTCTTCCAACCCACTCATTCTCTCATAACACACATATAATGGCCACTGTCTTTAAACAACAAAAGAGCAAGAGGGACAAGGCCCAGGGTGTGGTCGCCAAGGACTCAGAAGAGACGCCCGTCTTCAAGAACAAGCAGCGAGTGCTCTTGCTGTCTTCCCGTGGAATCACTTCTCGGTAAGCGCCCCTCGAGCCATAGCCCGGCAGCAAAAAAAAAAAAAAAAAAAAAAAGGGTAGTTAGAAGCGAAGAAAAGAGTCTTCACGATTTCATATGATGATACTATAGTTAGGGACATCAGAACCAACGATGTTGATTTAACTGGGAAAAGATAGTTATTTCTGATCATGATATCAAAAAAAAGACCTCTTCTGGAATCAGTCGAGCGATTTCAACAGTGTCTCCTTGCACAACATACTAATGCAATGACTTTGACTACTCGACGAAAAAAATAGCCATCGCCACTTGCTGACTGATCTCGGCAACCTGTTGCCCCATACCAAGAAAGATGCCAAGCTGGACTCGAAATCAAAACTTTATATCATCAACGAGCTCGCCGATCTCAATAACTGCAACAACTGCGTCTTTTTCGAGGTCAGAAAGAGACAGGATCTGTACATGTGGCTTTCAAAGACCCCTAATGGCCCCAGCATGAAGTTCCACATTCAAAACAGTAATGCCCTTGCTCGACGATATGACATGATGTCAATATATTTATTTGGTGGCCCGTCTAGAATTGTTCTAACACACATTTCTTTGCAATTTGTTATTTGTAGTCCACACAATGGAGGAGCTCAAGATGACTGGAAACTGCTTAAAAGGATCTCGCCACATTCTCTCTTTCGATAAAAACTTTGAGAGTTCACCGCACTGGATGTTGATGAAGGAGCTGTTCACACAAGTTTTTGGCGTCCCCAAGACAGCACGCCGGATCAAGCCCTTTATCGATCATGTCATTTCCTTCTCCATTGTCGATAACCGCGTCTGGTTCCGCAACTATCAAATCACAGAAAAGCCTTTGGAGCACCGCTCTGCAACGGATACCACCGACTTGACACTTGTCGAGATCGGACCCCGCTTTGTCATGAACCCTATCCGCACCTTTGATGGATCTTTCGGAGGACAGACCGCCTTTGAGAATCCAGAATTCGTGAGCCCTAATGTCGCAAGATCCAACATCAGGAATGCAAAAGCTGGTCGCTACAAGAGCCGCATGGAGGCATTGGCCAAGAGAGACCAGAAACTCAAGGAGTCAGAGTTGCCAGAGGATCCCTTGTCCGAGAAGAATGTCTTTGCATAAAATATTTCGCTATCCTCTGCTTTCTCTACGTAATTATCTATGTTTCTGTGCATATACATCTCGAAAGAATGAAGGCCGACCGTCCTCGGATAAATAAACCCATAAACCTTTGCATGTAAACCATCGGATCAAACTTCTCTTTATTTTTTTCGCTCCTGGAGGCGGATTAAACGCGCATCAGCTTGCTGATTCGGATCGTGCCGTCTGCTGATCCTGTGAGGCATGCTCCTACTACTGCAGACCAATCCACACATGTCAATGGGTGAGAATGACCTAGTAGGGGCTGCACCTGCTGTCCCGAATTGGTCTAAAAAGGAAAAGGGCAGGAGATAAATGGCAATGGATATATGGTTAGCTCTTCGTACTTTCACAGAAAACGCTATTTGAGATTTGCGAGGGTAACTTTTAGATCCGTAATACCCACCTGGACAATAACACCAGCATTCCCACATCCCATAATCAAGTGATCTGTATCGCCACTCCAACCCAAAAGCTGCCCTTGTCCAACATTCATTGCTGTTAGCGCACTTGTGTCCTTTGAATTGGCGGCTCCCCTGGCACTACTCTGCTGACTACTTTGGTGAGTCGCCGACGCCCCGCCTGCACTACCCGAAGCACTCTCATCCTTGCCATTTGACGAATCCACGCCGCTCGTAGTATTATTCCCAACAGTCCCTCCATTGTTCTCAAGCTGTATCCGTGGGATGTGCGACGAGTTGGCAGATCCACCGCTCGATGTTGTACGGATAAATGTCTTGGATCGGATACTGGTACCGCCGACGGATCGGGTGCTGTTTGAGGAAGACGTAACCATCATCATGGATGAAGACAATGTTGAAGACGTGAATCCTTGCAATGGATATGAATCGATTCTGTGGTCGGATTTGTGAACAGAGTCCTGAGAAAGCTGTCCCTGTGCGTCGACACTATAGATCGAGGTCTCATCGAAACTGAATGTACAGGACAGGATGGGTTGACTAGAGGCACTCCATTCCATGATCTGCGACAGGGACCGGATATCGTAGATCCGGATCATCCCTGCGACGTCCCCTGTGACGACAAGCTGTCCATTGTGGTTGAATCCCACTGCGTTGATCACATCTCCAGGTCCACGATCCAACAAGACAGTGTGCTCCGTGGTCATGGACTTCATATTGAACGATAGCAGCGCTCCTGAAGAATCATCGCTTGATGCAACAGCACAAACAAGAAGGGGTTCTACAGGCGAATAAGCGAGATGTCTCACTCTGGTTGACCAAAGCAATGAGAGGGGGAAGGGGGGGGGGGGGGGGGGTTGATTTAGTATCAAAAAAAGACGATATCCTCCTTTTATAACCCTAAAGCTGCATCACGAACCTTGGAAACTGGGCATCGGTCTTGATCTCGTGCACAATCGACCTGGACTCCAAGCTGAAGCAGCGGACCAAATTCACATCAGTTCCTAGGAAGATCTATAGCCCATGAATGAAATGCACGTCCGTGAGAAATTGGTCCGCTCTATCGATTTCTCATATTTCACGGTATGGGCCCAGTGTATCGGGGGACGGACATACATATCGATCGCGTGTTTCCCACGCTAGAGACAGAATATTGCTGGTACTCGCGATCTTTGCAGGTGGCATAGCGCTGGACCCATTATAAGACCAGATCCTGACAATGTTTTCGGCATCGCAACTTGAGATTAGGCTCCCTTCACACGAGAACTTTGCGTGAGTGATTCCTGATTGATGCTCCAGAAAAATTTCTTGAGAGACAATAATGAATGGCTCCTCAACCTTGGCAAGATCTTCCTCTGATAAAGACGTTGCACTGCTTTCTGATCCCACCTCATATTTTGCTCGAGAAGCTGCGTCCGAAGCTGCACGTAGTCGTCTCGCATTCGAGATAGCAAGGCGGCCTGTTCAAGAAACAATAGCTTGAGCCATTAATACATTGTACCAAGGACCCTATCCTTTAATGATGGCATAACGTGCAAACCTTGGCGACGTACTTGTTTGCGAGAGGTGGGACGATTGAGATCCAGACCGCTTGGGAATGGCATCGCTTTTGCTATCCACGTCCGTATTGACAACCACTTGCTGCTCAACCATCGATGCCGCTCGCCTCCTCCTTGCTCCCGTCACTTTTTTCAGCGCAACCTATTGATTTGTCTTCTGTTAGTACCTTTGTAATGCATTGTCCATTTTTTGGATAAATGATACACTTCAAAGCACCTAGCAATCCCGTTACCTGATCCCGCAAAGATGAAATCTCGGCATCACTGGATTGGATTTCGCGGCGCAAGTTCTCAATCATACTCTGCAGCGTCTCAACCTCACACTGAAGCGCCTTTCGATGAAGTCTATCGATGTTAAAGCAGAGCAAACTCGGCAATGCTATAACCCATTTGCAGGGAGTTGTCGGGCAACCAAAATAAAAGACATTAGTATTAGTGCACTAAGCTCGTTTGGTAGAAGCAAACTGGTTAGCGGTATGAGAACCTACGCATGTTCTGGAACACAGTGCTTAAGAAGTTGTGTAACGACACTGTAAAAGTATCCAGCCATGCCTTCGAAAAGAACACGTCAAACTCTGGATCCGCCTCGGGTTTCTTCGAAAATGGCAGAGCTACGCGAATAAAACGATCAAAATGTGTGGTGAGAACAATGTTGCACATTAATCCTCTGATAGCTGTTCACTTTTCAACCCATGCGAACTGATACAAGGGTCCAGTTGGTTATTTGAAATAATGCCAACATACCGAACCACCGCACCCATTCAGGGTTCCCCTGAAGTTCTGCTCCATGAGTATCGAAAAATTCGACGATCTTCTCCTTCTTCTTGTGCTGTATCGCTAATAAACATAATCGGATGAGAACCAAGGTCATTAGCAAGAGGAATGTACATGCAGTCGAATGAAATGTAGAAATTGATACCATCTCAATGTTGCGTACCGTATATAAGGTAGTATCGCAATAAACAGAGCTCAAATTTCTTGACGCTCCCTGCAAAGCGATGGTCCAGACGTGAGAAATATCGAATATCGAGGTACCGCCAATGCTCTAGAAGCGCGCTGAGGTCCATGGCCGCAATGGCTGCAAATAGCTCCTCGATAATTTTCTCCGCCTAGATGTTACCATTGATAACAGTTAGTGAAACAGAAAATCGAATGTTCTGCATGGCTGCAGCCAATACGGCAGCCTAGTGCTATCATGCAACAGGAGCGTGCCAGATTAGACATTTTTTACGTCGATAATACATGCCTGGAATCCTTTATCCTTGTCCGTCTTGCTGTCAGCCTCGAATGCTTTGTAGGTACTTGTAAACCCTCGAAACTGGTTTATTGAAACATGATTAAGAAGAGCACAGAATTCTTTGTTCTAGTCTTTGAAAGTCCATCCCCCATCCTAGTTTCCAAAACGCGTCCAAGTCTGGTCGCTCTATCGATAATAAAGCCGTTAAGGCATCGCTTTACCAAGAGATACTCCTTGACCAGCTCGTCAATATGCTGTATGGAGTTCATTATGCGGGTCCTGTTCCTGGGTGCAGTTGAGATGTGAAGGGAAGAAAAGGATGTGGATGTGGAGAAGGAATGCACGTTCATTCGTGCAAAGGCATGTCTGCAGTGAGCAAGTCATGAGAAGAAAAAAAAGCCACGATCGTCCGTGCGAGGGATATTCCTGACATGAGGCATCGAGAACCAGTTCCCAACTGCGCGCCAATTTATCCACATGGCCATTCGGCTACATAAATATCCATCTAGCGCAACAGGCTGTCTTTGCGTCCACTGATCAGGCCCAATTGCTTGAACAACGGTGCGTCCTTAGCTTTAGTGGGCGATAATGATACGCGTGAGCGGGTGCCTGTGTCTTTGAAGTTTAAGATGCAAGGTAATAAAGAGCCTTTTTATTTTTATTTTATTTTTCTGCGCGTGTGTAGGTGTGGGGTGCGGACGTGGGTGTGAGGACTACACACTAATACACAACCTCGTAATAGGTTGGATCAGGTCGGAGTGGAAATGTTGGAGCTGGAATCTGTCCAGAGTGCAGGATGTGCTGATAATATGTGCGTCTACTGTCCCTCGCCGTCATAGAATACCCGAAGGTAGTTTTCCGCCTCATCGTATTCCTTCCGCATCTGAATCAACAATGCTCTAATAAGACTCTCGGCCTCGTCATTTGTGATCGTCTTTATGCCAGCAGCGTCCTTGTGGTTGCCATAATGCTGCAGTTTTTCACAAGACTCCTTGACCTTTGACAGACCGAGTGCTGCAGATGATCCTTTCAAAAAGTGACCGAGCCTCGAAAGATCTGCGAAATCCAACTTTTGCCTATTGGTTGAAAAAAGCGAATGACGAATAGTCCAGTCGGTAAGTCGGCAAGTCGGTCATGATCAAGTACGTTCCCGCGCAGACATATGACATGTCAATGATCAATGCCATCAACTGAATAGTATATGACCATCCAGCTTCCAAAATGAATAAAGTCTGCTAGCACCAAAGCTGTATGGAAAGAAAAAACGAAAGCAATGACAGGCAACGCAGTACATGAAACAATGTCTCTATGACTCCAGTGCTTTTGTTACTGTCGGCGCCGTCATGAAAAAGAAAGACAGAAGGAACGCAAACGTGCACCAGACAACGGATTGATGGAAACGAGCAACTTACATAGCCTCATCCATGTCCTCGAATGTCTTTTCAGCCTGCTCAAAGTAGTTCCAGACCAGCGATCTGGAGAACTCATGGTCCTCCTCGTCGTCCATCTCGAGAAGCTGGTCAAAGGTGGTGTGGTCAATAATGTCATTCTCCTCAAACTCGTCCGCCTCTGTCTCCGTCTCGGTTTCGTTTCCCCTCTCTGTTCCCTCTGCCTGGTCGGCACCCGCGGTGCTGTTGCTAGTCCGTTCGTTCTCTGCACCGGCCTAGAGATTAGACAGGACAGTAGAGTTCAATTACAGAAAGGGAAGCCATATTAGTCATCTTTAGTCTGGATAGGTAAGGCGGATGGTGCTCAGAGGGCTCAAGGGCGCCCCGTCTGGACTGGCTGGTTTGTATCACGCTATCAATGTACTTTTTTTGCTAGCCACTAAAACAACAGAAAATAAAGCCAGCAAGACCTTCAAACGTCATAACCTCCGTCTTTAAGGAACCCCACAACCAAAACGATATCCAAGTAGTATCAAGCTAAGGACGGAAAGATCGCCCGATATCTTCCCCTATAAAACGTTCAGTCAATTAACCCCGCTCCGATGCATTAACAAGGGCCCAATGGAAGACAAGGGGATGGGGAATCTGCTGCAGCAAGTGGAAAAAGGGAGGGTAATCGGGTGCATTTGACAAGAGATAGACACATGTCAAGCGTCAAGCACTGTTTATATTCATGGATTCATGGACGTTCAATGAAGAGCGTACAATGCTGAGGACAATGCTCATAAACAAACGTATACGCGATCAGGCTCAGGCACAATCTTCGTGCTTTAGACTATTTGTAGAAAATACTATCCTGATCTCGCGTGGGGGAATGGAAAAGACGCAAGAGAGAGGAAGGAATGTTTTTTTGTTGGCTCACATGCCAGTTGCTCAGATTGGAGCCATGGGCATGGACGACTACAAAGACTACGTAAAGAGAACAAGAATGATAGCCAACAGTGGATATGCCATTGCTTGCCTCGACTACCCATGGTCAGAAAAGGAAAGGAGGGATGGAGATCTGACCTGTTAAGCCGATAGCATGCTAAAAACAAGGTACATCCAAATGCTACTAGGACAGGTAGAGAGGGAAAAAAATTGTCCTGCCCCTGCACAAGAAGCACAAGAAGCACAAGAAGCACAAGAAGCCAATGGTATGTGACATTTCCTCCAGGCACCGCATTATCCCAGACTAAGATAAATGAAAAGAGCATCAGATGAGGGGCGCGTTGAAAGAGAGTATCCTTTACCGATGCAGTTCGCGCCTGTGCTGGGCTGGTTGGTGACATTGTGTATGGGAGGGAGGGAGGGAGGGCTGATTAGGTGGAAAGGATGAGAGAGTGCTGCGGAAGGGAAGGGAATGGTGGCGCTTGCGGGGAGGATCAGCTAGACTATAGATGAAGAAGCACAGGTGAGGAGATGGTGAGGAGAGGAAGGAGGGCGATGGGGGAGAGAAGAAGGGAAGGGAGGAAAGAGATGAGGTTTTGAATCTGGAAAAAGGGTATGAAAAAAAAAGATGCAAGTACACAGAACGAAGCTTGAGCGAGTGCTCTCACTCTCGCTCTCTCTCTCACTCTCTCACCCTCCCAATGTACGTACGTTTGCCTCTTGACCTCTCTACCTCTCGGCCGTTCCCCACCCTCCTGGCCCAATGCTCTCTGCTCTCTGCACCGTTCTTCGTCCCCATCCACTCACTCGTCCCCTTTCCTAATATGCAAACATGTCTCCGCGCCTAGGCAGACCAACTACTATCAGCACATCTGCGTATACCGCGCCGAATGGTCTCTCTGTCCTTCCCGTCGCCTAGATGTATAAACAGCATTCTCTTCTTCTTTTTGTTTCGCAGCAACACCTAATGCTTCCCTATGCTCCATACACTCAGACAATCTGTTCCATTCCCTTTCCACCTTCCTCCCTCTCGCATTCTGTCTCTACCCCTGCCTCCTCTATACATTCCCTACGAACGAAAAAACATTGAGACGATCACGAAGAGATCCTTCTTACCAGCATCTCGGCACAAATCGTCAGCACCCCTGCACAGACGTCCCCTCCCCTAAGCTCCGATTTCCAGAAATTGTTCTACACCCACCTCCTTCGTTCTCTTTTCTCCGTATATACAGCACTAGAGCGAGAGAACAACGTAAAAAAAAAAAATGCAAAGATCGCCCCCTCCACAGACTACTACAGCTCACTGGCACCAATAGATTGTCGACCTGTATGAACTATCACAAAACGATAGCACAACCGCATACGTAAAAAAAATACGCGTTTTGGTACGATAGAACAAACTTCTGCATCGCATAGTAGAATCCTTCGTCAGAAAGTCCCGACACATTATATTTTTAAGAATAACGTGTCAATTCAATAAATAGAATTGCGCTTTAACGTACACATGGGGCAAGCCGCCCGCGACCAAGTAACAACTTTCACATCTCCTTCCACCGCTTATCAACTACACCCAACTACATCTGCCTTTGACTTCCATCGAGCGCGTTAACGCGTCAATTGTTACTGGCCCCATAAAAGGTAGGGGTATTCATTCAGTTAAATAGCTTTTTGTATTTGACGAGGACTCTATCCCTTGGCTCCAACAACCTAAATTTTTTGGAGGCGACCCGATGAGTGTTCCTGATACATGATCCATGAACGACCCGATATTTGCAATGTTACAGGCGCCAACAGCATAGATAAGCATCGGAGAAACAGGTAAAAACGCTTTCTTGACTTTTGAAGTGTATATGTCTATATTCCTTGTGCAACAAAGTCAACCTGGTAGGCGGTATTTGGATTTAATATTACCTTTAGAACAAAAAAACCCGAGCAGCGTATTTCTCGTTGGTTCCCGAATGGGAAATCCTCCTGGATCAACTAACTTCAACCGGCGTGCCGTGCACGAACCCAAACCACATGGCTTGCCTTGGCACTCTCCCCTGACCGTCGCTTCTTCTTTTGTTGGAGTCTTTGACGTACCATCATTGTTTGAGCCCTGTCTCTGGCAGTGGTCTCTCGAGCTCAGAAATGGCGGGCAGTTCCATGGGACAATCCCATCTCCGAGTCTTTCTTGTTAAGGTAACGAAATTTGTCTCGATCAAAATATTGATTGTCGTCTGGATGCTGGTGCTTGTGCTCCGACGCTCCAGTTGTACAATCGCTCGACGGTGAGACAATACAGGCTGGTACCGCCTGTGATATTCTAAGGATCAATACCACAAAACAGAGCTGAGATGACCTCGCCAGGATCAACGCCAATCACGGAGTTCCGGTCTGGAAGGCGCTTGCCGATATCCTGTACGTTGGTCATTGCCATGCTTGACGCCCACGCAGATCTGGTGTCGAAAGCGCTGGCATCTGCTCGCGTGCTGTCCGTTTAAAGGTAGACGGAGAGAGAGCGTGCCGCGAACGAACAGATGCTGTGGGGGGGGGGGGGGGGACTCGGGCGGCGCTGATAAAGGCGATGAAGAGGACGCAAATTCACAGCGACTTCTCAAGGACTCAAATCTCTTATCGACGTATATAATCTTCCATTAGTTTGAGCCCGTATGTTTCAGTCGCGGGTCTCTCCATGGTATTTGTATGAAGTCTGGTGCCTGCTGCTCTCTGCATAAATTGTGTCACGACCTCCGACAGACGGCTAAATTTTCCGCCAAAGAAACGACCGAGTTGGGTGCGTGCGTTTCCACGCTTCTGAACCACCCCTCCGTAACAGGAACGTACACCAAGGAGGTCTCTTTGGGACAGCTAGAAACGTGCCGGCGAATCTGGCGGTGGAATTGAATACGGGCTGGACCTCTGCTGGCAAGTTATGGAACTACTTCCACCACTCTACGGATTTATTTCTTCTCAAATCGCGCCCTGCGAGTCATCGATAGCTTGCCCGCCCGCATTCGCTCCTTGGGAGTTGCTCATCCGGGTCCTGCTGTGGCTCGGTTTCCCGATCCTGCTCAGGGTCGGTAAGTTTATCATCATTGGAGCTAAAGACAAGGTCCAGCTTCGGGATAAACATCTTCCGCCCTTTTCATCTACCTTACAACGCAAAATAACATTCAAAGGATCTGCATTGCGGTGTAACAAATATATTATTGACAAAAGGGTCATGTAAAGAAAATTACGATCGGATCAACGTGATGTGGATGTTTACCGCTAGACCGAATTGCACAACAACACGGAGCGGCGTGTCCGGGTCCAGAGGCCTGAGGTCTGGGATGACGCGTTTCATGCTGTGATATTAACCCAATGACCAATCGACGTGCTTCCTTGGCTGCTGAATCCTTTATCGCTCGGTCAGCTGTAGAGGAGATGGAGCCGTTCAAAATAAAGCGGTATCAGAGGTTTCATATAAATGTCTGGCCATGCCTGACGATTGAGGTGGACGTCCAATAGGCCTTGTTCATCATCCTTGGGCCCCGTAATTGCTCCTGATGCCTAGTCCTATATCGGGCCTTCTGCCTGACTCGGTATTGTTTTCCTCTGTCTCGTCTGGCTGTGGGAAGGAGGGAGGGTCCTGTACAAAAAAAAAAATTACTCGATGGGCGAGGAGAAACAATCTACCAGCCTCGCTTAAAGTGTGGACGGACGGATTCCTAAATCCCTGCCATGATAGCAAAAGCTTCACGCGCGGTCAAAATTGTCGCGTATTTGATACAGCCACTCTGGACATTCAGCACAACAGCCTTGAATACGCGCCGGGAAAATAGTCTTTGTGAACACAGAAATCTTTGCCCTTGTTCGGTTTCTTATCTGTGTTCTCTGACTTCAAAAACCTTGCTGGAACTTAATCCACTGGCTTGTCCTTAGGCTTGGGCTGTCGAGGCTCTGCAATGACCAAGTCTTGCAGATGCTCTCTTATGATGCAAGACTGGCTCTCCAGATACCTTGGAAGGTGCAGGGCGAGTAGCGTAAATGCTTGGTAAAGTTTTAAACTACTTGAACTTAGCGAATAAATGAGAAATTTGGTACCGTTCATGCTAGAAGGACATAATAACGGTACTTGGTCGCATCTTTCGATTCAAGTACGCAGAATTACTTGGACGGCTTGTCACGTCGCTTCGTTATGCTTGTTCATGATCTGGCCCGGGTACTAGTGGGTATAACCTGGCATTGACCCTGTTGTGTATGGGAGCCTTCAGTATCGCCGTCGTCTGCCCCACGGGCGGCTGTGTTGCTTGAACCTGTCATTGCTAATTCCGACTTCAAACTACAGGATTGTACACCTGTAACCTCCGCAGCAAGATGGAGACCTCGTCGTAAGACCCAGTTGGCAGAGTTATATCGACCAGTTCGTCCCCACGACCACGAACGCGAAGACTGCATGCTAAGAATCGGAAAGAACCTTACCACGCCCTTGAATATGGTGAAGATATCGAGTGACGATATTGGCAAAGGAGATCTTGCAGGTACCAGGATCTGCCACTAGGCCAGGGACGCGTCTGGAGTTGCGCTTTATCTCGAGCCACGCTATTCCTTCAACGTAATTACTCTTGATAACGATTGCTACGAATCAACAGATGCCGCTTAGTGACCAGGTTCGATGAAGAGAGCAGCTCCGACTTGCAGAAGGCAGCGAGTTCGTGGGCGCGATCTACATGTACATGCGTGATCACGTTCCACGCGTCCTTGTAAGCAATCAAGTCGCTATCACTAGTCAAAAAGGTGAAGAAATTTGTCGCCGAGCGACCTTTGTCAACCTACTGATCCGTTCGTCACGTTCTTTTGACCCTTTGAAACGGATAAGAGCTCCAGATATTGTGTTACAGGAGTATAAAGATGTCACACCATGAAGACAGGCAAAAAGCAACGAGAGGTAATCTGTCACAACTTCAAAGCAGGATCACCATTGTAATACCAGCTATTGTTGTTGTTTTTATACATATTATTATTAACAGCTTTTGTCGCTAACGAATAATCGGACCGTCGTGTCAGGTCGAGATGCTATGGTCGCGTGTATGTCATTCAGCGCGTTGCTGCTATAGCCAAGACTGAGGCAGGGGTAGAGGCTAAGCGCCGTTTTGGCGTGGATGCAAGCAAAACCTCTTTCAACAAAACACCGAAGGAACGTGACATGCCCTCACCACGTTGAAATACAGAGACTTGGCATCGACATGGACATTGTTGGGATTGTTGGGGCTTTAGGGGCCGTGGGCCAGTACTCTCTTCATTACCTCGTCTCCTCGATTAGTCCGGGCAGACCACGAACTTTCCATCCTGACGCTAAAGCTTTTGAGTTATAGACCCCTTCTCTCCACCCACCCACCGGCAAAAAAAAAAGTGAAGCAAGCAATGCCTCACTTCATTTTACGGCGCGTCAATAGCAAGTCTGTAAGAGCAACGGCGTTACACAGTCGAGCTTGACGCGATTTTGAATACCGCACAGCATCTCAGTATGAAGTGCCGAATTGGAATCGCACGGTCGATTCACCATGTCGCGTCGGTGGACTAGCTGTCTCCCCCTCACACAAACACACACGCGCGCGTGCGTCTTTCCCCTCCATTGCGCGTCTCCGACTTGACGGCGACAGCTGTCAAAGTACAAAGCAGTCAGTCGGGGAAAGTGGAGAGGGGGGAGGAGAGTTGTCTGTCAACTGATTTCCATGAATAGTATAGCTAACTGGTAAGCATGCTTTCGAGACTAATTGTCATTAATTGCAAGGACCTTCCTTGGGCAACAACGCACGGCGCGCAACTTTTATCCGGGGAATCAAAGAAGTCTGGGGGACGAGCGGCCCTCACATGCCCCGAACTTATGCCACTTTTTTTTTTAAAGGAACAGACTAAAAGTGACTAAAAAAATGCGACTAGTTAAAGAGTCTTCGAAAATGACGAATGGTCTCATTTGTGAAATTTCACCAAGATCTGGGTGGGTTCCGGTCTTAGCAAAGTTTTACGCAATTTTGCTGACAACAATGCTGAACTTGCGCATCTATTTTAGACACCAAACCGGGAGGAGAAAGGAAGGAAGGAAGGAAGGTCTGGCCCCATCAGAACAGTTGAAGAGACCTCTCTCCCCCCACAAAAAAAATAAACGAAGGAGGGGATTAAATAATAACACTACAATCGCAAGCAGACGTTTTTTCTCTTTTGAATTTTTTTATTATGGACCTGTGTTTCGTTTGATATTTACAATGCAAGAGAAATGAAAAAAAGGCCCAAGGATGGTTTTGCGAAACAAATGCAAGAAAACAAGTGGGAACAATGATCCACAGAAAAGACTATAATACAATGTGGACATAACTAAAGGGAAGATGCCATTAATGCTGAATAAAGCGTGCACCCGAGAAGTACGTCAAATGGTTGAAGTGGATGCGTGCGCGGAAAAGGTATGCTGTGATGGTCGTGGTTCGTGGTTCGTGGTCGTTAATCAATAGTGAGGCTGCATTGGTGGTACAGCGTATGTTGAGGCCGATGGTGCGTTATAGCCAAAGCTGGTCTTCACGAACTTCTGGATCACATCACACCCGCAATCGCGATGTCCAAGAATCTGGTTCTTGAGCCGGCGGACCTCCTCCTGCAGCTGATCAAGTGTCTCATGCAGGGCCTGGTTCCTCGCAGTAATCTCGTCTGCGTCCGAGATGGTCTTGAGTGTCTGTAACCTCTTCTTTTCGCGGCACTTGGAGGCAGCCATGCGGTTGCGCTCCAAAAACTTCTGGCGCTTCGCCTCTGGCGAGTCGTCTTCGGATGAGCGCTTGCGGGAGGAGGACTTGGATACTGCTCCTTTCGTCTTACGAGCGCCGGCAGCAATAGCAGCGTTCATGGCGGCGGCAGCCTTCTTTGATGACTTGGCAGCCTTTGCAGCCTTGCCCGTTGCCTTGGAAGCTTTGGTTGAGGTGTGGGAATCATTGTCGAAGGCGGCATTTGATTGGACGTCGCTCATGGTCGAGAATCGGCGCATAGCAAGTGCTGACATGGCAGAATCCACACCGCTATCGTTGTATTGGTCGCTGGGATCTTGGTCGACGTCTGAATCATACTCTTCAGTCTCGTGTCTTTCCTCACGATCGTCCTCTTCGTCCTCATCGTCATCAAGGTCCATACGGCTGTTGTCGGGATGATGTTCAACATCACGAGCAGCCTTGACAGGATGTGTGTTATGGATTTCGCTGGGAGCAAGAGTCTCGCGCGGGAACTGTGCGTGGCTGGGCTTGTTGTGGCTCAGTTCCTTGGCATCAGCGCGGTTTTCAAAGACGAGGCTGTGGTCGTAGGCATGTGTGCGGGTAGTGTGCGCATCAGTGGCCATGGAAGGATGGAACTGGTTCAAAGAGATAGTCTGGGGAGGAGGAGAGCGAATTGGTGGCGAGGGAGACGCGCTCGAAGATGACGAGGGAGAGAGACCCGGGGACATCTGTGGCGGCATAGGCATGTAGGTCTCGTCAAACATGATGTCGGCCCAGGGATGGCGGTCGAAATTGCGCTGCTTTTCATTTCCCTGCTGGTTGTTTTGGGAGACCTGGGCGGAGCTGGGGCTGGAGTCGGAATTGGAGTTGGAGCTGTTGATGACCGCGACGGCTGAGGACGGGGCTTTGAAGGAGGAGTCGAAGGGGTTGAGCTCAGCTTTTGGCGTTCCAGTGTTGAGGAACTTGAGGCTGGCGTCGAACGGGTTGTAGTTGTCGAGGCTGAGGCCGAATCCCGGGGTAAAGGCCCCACACTCCAGGAGGAACCGTGTGGGCGTAGGGTTGGTGTCTGGAGGGCAAGGAAAAAAAGAAGGTCACAGTGAGTACACTGGATATGGATCATACCATCATACACATCATCCACCAGGGCGAAACAGGCGCACGCTGGCCGAGATGATTAATTGTCGGAGGAGAGGGTCGCTGTGACTTACCACGGCGGATATCAGTTTCGAGAGACATGGTTGCAGAGGGTGTGGATGGACGACAAGAGAAGAGGGCTTTTGTGGACGCCGTGTTGTTGCAGTGGAGGGAGGGGGGGGGGGGGGGGGGGGGAGGAGACGAGATAGAGACGCGACTGCGAGAAGAGAGTGTGTTCGCGGGTGAGTGGAGTGGAGTGGAGTGGGTTCACGCTGAGTGTCTGGCGGTGGAGGTGAAGAGCGAGGCAAGCAAGCAAACAGAGCAGCAGCAGCAGCAGATGGTCCGAAGAGATGGAAGAAAGAAAGCGTGAGTGAGGAGAAGGAAGGCCAGAAACCCTCGAAGGAGCGGGTCCTTATATACGGGAAACGGACGGGGGGGTGTCTGCGTCCTGTGTATTCAGTCGCTATTCAGTCGCTATTCAGTCGCTATTCAGTTGCAATTCAGTCGCGCGGTGTCAGGCACATGGAGGGCCTCTGCCCAATCTTATTCAGTCGCATTCAATCAGATTCGACCCTGTGGAATCGGGGGATGCGCTTTAGAATACTCTGCTCAATAGACAACCCTTCCGTCTCAATTGAATCGGATTCAGTCGCATCTAACACAAACGAGGCTAACGCTAAGAAATGACGCCAACTTTCACTCTCACGCACTGGACTCCCAGCACACACCTTTACACCCCTCTACTCGGTCTTCTCATGGCCACGCTGTGTGGGAGTGTGAGGGAGACCCGCCTGCTGTCGCGAGTCGGCCATGCTGCCGCTCTTTTCCCTCCTCCACCCTCCTCTGCATGGAGATCCCTCCTCGTCCTCCTCGTCCCCCTTGCCCTCTTCGTCGACTCGGCCGCTGCTGTGGTTGCTCCCCTGGAGCAAAGAACACGCCACGAGTTGCCATAGTGCCATAGTGCGTTGCATTAACGATATTAACGACCGACTGAATAAAACAGGCTAAAGGCCGGTATGTTTATTACATCTTTTACATCACCTCCCAACGAGAGCTGCTGATACATATACATTACATTTGTCTCTATGATGTTATGGATGATATACCACCACTATCAGCACAGGCACGAAAAAGGCTGCCAACCTCGGCGGGTTTCAATTCGTTTACCTGAACAAAAGTCCCATTCCATGAACGAGCCAGCTGATGATGACCTACACAGGGCAGCTGTTAACGGGACTAGACTATTATCGACACCATAAAGGAAAACACGTCTTCTTTCCCAGCTTAAGAGCATGATTATTCCTCCGACGATATTGGATAATGCTTTGCCGATTGTTCTTGCAAAGCCATGGATCTATCTTGTCTTACTCCCTTCATTCCGCGAGCAAACCCTAGAATGAAACGCCAAAGTTCAAGTCAGTGTCTGACCTGGGTTCGCTGTCTCGGCAGCAGATCGACTGCTGAACTCAATAGGAAGGCCATGTAAAGGACACTCAAGACTGAACCGCGCGTCTCCCACCGCCGCGGATCTATGGCCAATTAAGCACGAAGCTGGAGTAAACTGCTGCCCTATGGCTCGGTCTAGGACGCGATACCGACTTGAATTTTTTTTTTTCTGTCTCAGTATCACCCAACCCGGCAAGTCATCACAGCCCACCTCTTGTTTAGCCTAAAAGAAAAAGCTGATTCGCACAGGGCAAAGCAAGCTTTGCGGTTGATAATAGCACACTCGCAGTATGAACTCGAGACAAGGATGTTCCTTTTTCCTCTTCTCTTCTTCTCTTCTTTTAATGACCTATAACGTGTGTAGACAGGGATTGAAGATCCTAGGGCTGCTATTAGCTACTCCATGGACACTCCACACCCCTTCATCGTCAAATCGTTCTCCTCCTCTGGTCTGTCATTTGTCCGCCCAAAGAGCGCAAGCATAAGAGGCCTACCCGATCTTTGGAATGCCGGTGTTTATTTTTATCGAGACAAAAATGGCAAAGTACGATACCAAAAGACCGTGAACGCGTCCCTGCTGAATCGGATAGGTCCTTGAGGCAATTGAGTCCTTGCACGAAAGACCAATGGAGAGGCTCCTCGCGCTAACATCGGCGGAGGCAGAAAGCGCGAGCTACGAATTAGTGTGCCAGACTAACAGGGGAGAACAGCAACAGCGCTGCACCAATGCTTCTGTTGCTTACGACCAAAGAAAGAAAGTAAATGCGATGTACCGATAATCCATTTGTTGTTGTTTTTGGTAGTCTACCTTGGGATGTATATCTTTGACCGGTAACGGTGGCCCTCGTCACAATTGTGCACAGAAAAGAAAAAGAATGCATGCACGCGTAATTTTGAGCTGCTTGTCCGCATTGACATCTTCCCTCCATTTGCATATTGACGGCGGTAAAACCGGTTATAAACCGGTTTCGCCGAAAATCAACACCAGCTTTCTCGTGAGATGATGATTTTTGAGTTTATCTGCTCTGGCGGTAAACTAAAATCTGTTCAGTATTCAGCAGAGATATCAGCGGATTGATTTTTTTGGTGGGACATTGTCAATTATGACTATTTTGTTAAGCAATACTCCTGTAGTTGACAATGTCTCACCAAAAAAATCAGTTGCACGAACAAAAATCATGCTGGGAAATCCAAGAAACGAGGGAAGCTACATGTGCGTTCTGCATCCTCGTGCTCCCTCCTGTGCAGCGCGCTTCCCACGAGAAAAGAAGTTTCAACAGGTTAGCCCCCAATGTATGAAAATGCCATGAGGCCGGGGGACAGGGAACGAAACAAAACAGCGGGAAAGTATATTAATGTCATATTCCTTGAGGGGCGAGAAAGCATCGATCCACGGCTAGTCCAGGGTCATCGAGATGCCCTCATTCTCTAGTCTAGGAGGGTCGCCCTCGTTGATCGCTTCTGTCAGAGCTGCTCATGACATCACATCCCCATCGCCCGTCTTTCGTACGACCTTGTACGAGTACCCTAATGCAAGATTTCACAAAAAAAGCAACAGGCAAAAAGAAAAAACAAAGAGGGGAAGAGCACCTTTATTATAACCTGCACAGTCCTCCTGTAATTAGCGAGTATTGAGTTTAGGCGAAACAAGTAACAAGGACGGATATGTCTGTCAATTAGGGAAAGTATTGCTCATCCCCCTCCCTCCCAGTACGAGCACATGGTACCTTTTCTCGGACAAAATGTTTGTTTTTTCACACTCCTGGAAGCAATAAAAAAACATCTTCTATTACCCATATAATAACCACATTTGTACACACGCATTGTCTACAACGCAAAGGACTACCGATAGGCTGACTGGATTACGTTCTGAAAGATCGGTCAACAGGAGCGATTCTAAAATCCAGTCTACACGTAAAAGAAAAACTAATAAGAAGGATGGACCGGGGCATGCCGCGTCTGTCTTCCGTTTCATCCGTGTAGACTTGTGCGCACCTGATTCCTTTACCTAAGAGTGAAATCTGACACTTTGCCGACAGACAGAGAGTGGAATTTAAGGAATGTATCCTCCATATTTGAGAGAGACCCACACACCCAGACTGAGGTACCCTGGTCATCGCGTTATCCTTAAAATTAGAAAGAACGTTGTTTGCTTTTTTAATATTGCATGAACGAATAAACAAGTGCACCTTGCTATCTATCACCCTATCTCCATATAACTGAATCGAACAAGACAAAAGAGACCAGAAGTAGTCTAGTGGGACATAGCGTGATGTCATAGCACATTATGGTCCCCCATCCCAAAACTGTAATAAATTATAAGGACTCGTTAGGCCCAATAGTTTTATCCGCATTGAATACAATGGAGAGTATCAAGAGTCGTGACCACAACCACTCCTTAACCTCCTTCAAGCCCGTCCTGACATCATGCAGACCCTACAAAGGCCAATAAGTTGAATTGGTTTGTTCTCGGCGTTCATGAAGCGCACTCGCGCTGAGATAAGGTTTGAAGCCAATCCATTTCTTTTTTAATAAACACAGGACAAGAGCTCTTCCCAGCGAGTAAGACGGGGGAAAGTAAACTAAGTTAGACAAAGTAGAACGGAAAAGCAGTTCCCTGGACCAGTTTTGCATCCTGCAAACAGGTCCTGGCAAACTGCAAAATAGACGCTGGGGCTATTTAGCGTCAACTCTACAGCATTTTTACGCGCTAGTCGTATGCCCTGTTGCAGGGTGCAGAGTCAGGGCCAAAAAAACAAGCTAGAACGAGCGAATTTCGCATGGAAAGATGTATGGGGAAAATCTAGACCCTTCTTGCTTACTGCCGTATTGCAGAACGTCGCCTTTTTCTGCGAGACTAGATGTCGATATGCCCTAGTGGACGTACTGCAAATCTATCAAAATCAATCCGATCCGTCCGCCGTGTGGACAATCATCGACTGCTCGTGTCTCTGAAACGTTCAACACGGTACCAACAAACACACACACACACACAAACATACACAAATGCACAGGGTCGTCAACGTACATAGGAGAGATTAGACCTTCACTCATCGAACTTTGCACAGGCTACCCTTGTGTCCGCTCTCTGCTTTGCTCTCTCATTTCCAATTACCCAATTCATTTACGACCCACGGTTTTAGTTTTTTTTTTTTTTTGTGTGTGCCTTATTCAGTTCGTAACCAGTTGCATATACTTGTACATGCACTTTATGGAAAAAACAAAACCATATCTGCTCATCGTTCCACCAACACCTACCTACCGTCATCCCTGGCGCACGCCTTCTGCCCTCATAGACATCATCCTACAGAAATGACGCTAGAAAGTCACTTTCGAATGAGCTCATTTTTTTAGCTTGCGGTTCCTTGTTCCTGGCCGTCTTTACTTCATATGTTATTCCTGGACATGATTAAGGTCGTTTCTGTTTATCGTTTGTTTGTTATAATCAAGAACGCGTCGTTCGTTCATTCTATTCATATCCAGAAATCGTTTTGTGATTTTCCCCGTCCGCTGTCTTTAAAGAGACATGCAGACTAACTGTGGACAAATACTACGAGAGAAAGAGAGAACATGGGAAGGAAAGGAGATAGCGATCTTAGATGCGGTTCATGATTGGTTCCTGGGCCCTGTACCTGTCGTGTCGTGTCGTGTCCCATCCCTAGGGCACTGAGGTGAGGGGGTTGAATACAGCGAAAAAAAAAAAAAAAAAGTCTGCTAACCGTTTTCGTCCGCACCAAAAATGATCATCCCTTTCCCAATCGCTGGACTCAAGGCTCGAATAGCCGGCGGAATTCCCTCGATGACGATGAGCTCTTTTTCCTTGAACAATAGACCTGTCAGAAACCAATCGATGGAGCTTCAGAGAAGAGCTTTCAGTTCCTTATCCCAATATTACTTAAAAAAAAAACGGCAATTTGTGATGCATGATATCTCGCGCTGTTAGCAGGCCCTGAACAAAAGAAAGGACTACGCCCATCGCCCTATTCTCTCAGCGTTTTCATATTCCGCGCCCTACGTCCGTCCTACCTTTTTTATTTTTTTATTTTTTTATAGCGTGTTGTTGTCCTAGCAAGATCAATGGCCAGTTCTACTTTGGACACCACATACAGTGGTGTCTTTTATCGTGCATGTAACCGTAGGATTTCCGTTATAATGTCAAATTCCTCCCGCGCGTTTTTTTCTTTCTCTCATTTATCTTAGTGCCGATCATACAAGGCTGTTGCGCGTGGGCCATCGAGAGTTCTGCATCCATAGCGCGGCTGCGCGCGCGTACCTGCGGAAATACGAGGCTAGTGCCTGGATGTTCGCCATCTTGATTAGCAAGGACCAACACCCCCAGGCCGTGCAAAAAATGGTTCTAAACCCAATCTGAGATGTCGTCCAGATCCACCGCGTTTTTCTCATACTACAGTATAGGAGGAAAAAAAAATGAGGGGAAGAGTTTTCACTCCCCCTTCCCTCTAGTCTACATTCTCATTGTTCTATTGAGTAATTGCGTTATCTACTATGGGCATCATCATCATCAGGGCGCATAATAATTAAAGTTCACTGGGTATGATGATGTAGTCTATTTCCCCCCTCTCCCCTCTGCCTGACGTGTTTTGTTGGATTCAAAGAAGCTGGAGAAGCTGCAGAGCATGAGTGGGACCCACAGAGCCTATCCAATCGGGACGTTACACCATCTAATTTATTTCTAGTCTACTGTCTATTTGTGTGTGTGTGGGCGTACCCACGCCCTGCAAACCCAGCGGCGGGTTTTCCTGATTTTCACGTAAGGATGCTTGTTCTCAGATCCAACCTTAAAAATGATTCTCTCGCTTGCAAAGAAATGACCCGCATTGAACTGAAAGCCATTTTGTACACATAGACACACACACACACACCCACACCCCCAAACAAGTCCGATCATCCCTCATCACAAGTCGGGGTCCCGGTTGCCCCGGCTATTATTTTATTTTGTCCATAGAGGGTGAGAGAGAGATTCTAGTCGTGATTGCCTGCCGGTATCGAATGCCATTCACCAGCGAATCAGTATCTCCCCGCGTCCACCGGTTTATTTCCATTCTCAGCTTGACCCAATACTCGACAGCTCCATACATGTAGTACCTAACTGGTCAATATTCCGTTCCTGAGCCCTTTCTTCTTTATCCCCCGCTGTTCATTTTTTTTTTTTTTTTTTTTTTTCATCCACTACCGTTTGCTTTCCATCTTTTATATTTGGTTCCTGTATCCGCTGCACCTTCCTGGTAGGTGCCTTTTTTTTTCTTTTTTTTTTTCTCTTGTCCAAAGAAAAAAAAATAACTACCGACCACCAATCACCAACCCAAACGCCTTGAAAAAAACCCAAACGCCTCGAAAAAAAACCTAAACGCCCTATGGAAACGACCGGGGTATCCCTATCCCCCCTGCACAAGCAAGTCTACGGTCTTTTCTCGTTCCCTCCAGTCGTCATCGCCGTCATCGTACAACTAACTAACTAACTGTCAACAGAACTATGTTCAAACAGGCATCCTCTCTCCCCCCCACATTTGAGTCTACACAGTCGTTTTTTTTTGGCCCTTTAGACACGAAGTATGTATAGTCTATACATGGCCCCCTTTCTTCGAAATAATAGTTATCAGCTTAAATATATATATGTGTGTATAGATATAGAATGTCTTTTCTTCTTTTCTTTACTTTTCTGAGCATTTTTTTTTTTTTTAAAAAAAAGGGGACTTTGTTCTCATAATACTAACGCTAACACAGCATTTGAGTTCAAGTTTTGCAGTACACAGTGTAGGGTATGTGTGTGTACTTTTTTAAACCTGGATCAGAAAACCCTTCCTCCTCCTCCTCCTCGAGGAACAAAGGGCTTTTCCGATTTAGGCGCGGCAGCACACCCTCATCTCGGGCAACCCTCCCGGTGCTGTTTGTAGTTTGATGTCATCACCCTATGCGGGTGGGAGGGGGGGGGGGGGCACGCCACGAAGGAAAAGGACAACGGTGAGAAGAGAGATGAGGAGAGTTGGTGGTGGTGGTGGTTCAACAAATCATGCACCTGCGGGGTGATTATGTCTCAAAAAAAAAAAAAAAAAAAAACGTGTGCATACCGCATAACGTACTGCATGCATCCGTTTTGTTTCTACAAGTCTTTCTGTGCATGGATGTATGAATGTATGTATCTTTAGGTAACCCCCCCCTCACTCACTCACTCACTCACTCCAAGTTCAATGCAAAGCCAGCGGGATGAAAAAAAAAATCTTCCTCCATGGGCTGAACCCCACCCCTGTCCTCAAAAGCAGTTTTTTTTTTTTTGGGCGCTTGCGCGGGAACCCAACAGCACCCACAAAACGCAGGGGACGATCAGCAAAATGCACGCATACACACACACACGCACACACAAACATACACTACACGCATACACATACGCATCTCAGGAACATGGATGTCATCATCATCATCTTCTTCTTCATCACCATCATCATCGCCGCTCGGTCTCATCATTCAGGGGGTGGGGGATTGAGAAATATGAACTGATTTACGCCGAGAAACCAAACGACAGACTGAAAAGCAAAAGAACCAAAGAATTCAATCATGGGTGTAGACTAAGTCTATGCACATGCGCGACTAGCTAAATGTGCATACTGTCATACCGTCTTTGTATATTTTCCGTCAAAGAGAAACGGAAATCGTTTTTTTTTTTTTTTGTACAACAAAGGACGGGCCATCTTTTTTTTATTTTATTTGTTGTCATTGTCGTTGCGTTTGCGTTGCGTTTGCGTTGCGTTTGCGTTGCGTTTGCGTTGCGTTGCATGATACATTGTCATGTCGTTAATCAAAAGCTGATTTTGAGATCGCGTTTCATTTGTACACCGGATGCTCATCATTCGTCCACACTGGTAGGTCTGGAACTGCCACCGCTTCCATTATGGCCTCCATCTCCACTGTTACTACCCGTGCTTCCGCGCTGGATCGTGCTCGTCGTCGAGATCTGACTGTACACCGATCCGCCGCCTACCATCGATCCACTTCCGCCTCCTGTCCCTCCTAGCCCCGGCCAGCTGTGCGTCGATCCCCCAGCACTCTGTCGCGTACTACCGCTCGTCGACAGATTCTTGTTCTTTGGCGGCTCCCGGATCGTGCTCAGCTCATCCACCATTCTCTCGGGTACCCATGGGCGTGTCAAGAGATAGTGGAAGATCAGCTGTTGAGTTGGTCTCAAACCGTTACCAGAGACATCGTCCTCCTCCTCTTCATAGGACGATTGATGGGTAATGTTGGCTCCGATCTGCCGATCTACTGAAGACGTCCGATATTTAGCTGTCCTGTGAAGGGCTGACGACAGTGATGGTGCTCTGAAATGGTGGTGGTTCTTCGTCGCCGCCTTGATGTACGATCTCGGTGGTTGGGAAGAGTACTTTGGACCAGACTGATAAGCCGTGAGAGCCATCAAGAGATCTTGTATCCGGACATCATCCTCCGGTGCAAACTGTGTATTGATCGACGGCGAACCCGTCGAGCCCGATTTCTCCCGCAAACTGGATGTCGCTGGTATCTGAGACGAAATCGGTGGCGCAGAATTGTTGCTCTTCTTGACCGCAGCTAATAAATATGTAATATCCATGATGAACGTCCCCAGGAATGGCACCATCGGTCTCCGCGCGGCCTCCTTGGTCCTGAAGCCCAGATTTGACAAGCTGCTGCTCATTCCGTTTAGACTCAACATGTCAAGTTTTCCTGAAGGTGCCGAGGTTGGGTAAACTGGTGAAACTGCTGGGGGCGATAGCATCATAGTTCCAGCATTCAGGCTCGCCATCATCTCTCGGTACTTTCCATAGTTCCTGGCCTCGCTCATGAGTTCGGACAGTGTTTCCAGCTTGTGCATGCTCTTCCGCGGTACAAAGCTCCAGGTCCGTTTCAGTCGCTTGATCGGTGGCGTGCCCAAGGCCGAGAGCACCGCCTTGAGTGTCTGAAAGTTCTCCAGCTCATGCAGCTTCACCGCGACCTTGACCCAATAATGCATGCACTGGGCCCGTCCAGATGCCTCTGGCGGAAACAGTACTGAATACTCGATCATACGCGTTAAATAGTTGAAGAAATCCGTTGAAGCTGTAATACTCCGATGTGGGGTTTTGGGCGAGTGTGTCAGAAGTGCTGACGGTGGGATCTCTAGAAAGACGGCTGATTCGACGAGCGTGAGTTGGTAGGCGACAAGATAGGCTGGGAATTCGAGAATAGAGGTGACGCTGGCGGACCGATAGAGGAGTTCCCGCACTTTAGTGATGGTCGCCATGACATTCGAGATCATGGACGTGTATTTTGTGAGGTTCTCCTGTAGCGTTTGTGTATCCACATCGTCCTCCTGCCGATCGCTTTTGGGTTTGGTGTCGTCGCCATGCTGCAGCTCAAGCGTCCTTTCCTGTAACTTCTGCTTGGTCTCCGCCAGCTTGGCCGAACAGGTCTTTTCCTTTTCAACCAGCGTACGATGGGTCGTCCTAAGAGGAGTCACTGGAATGAGTGGGATGTGGTCGCTGGGGCCGTATGTCTTTTGGTCCAATTGGTCGTCGTTGTCGCCACTGATACGCTCCGCTTCGACCAGGTTGGTGGGATCGACACTTCCATCAGGAATTACTGTGATGAAAGCATTGGCCTGGCTTAGAGATGCGTATTGGGGAAGGGTATATGAGCGCGATCGATCTGCGGATGAGATGCTGGAGGAGATGCTGGATGGCGACAGCGTTGGCGAGGTGGGGACCGACAGCGGTGTTCCTGGCCGTCGTGTTGGGTTTGGTATGGCAATGCTGGGCGAAGACGCCCTCCGATGCAATGTCGGTGAAAACACGTGTGCTGGAAGGGTCATAGAATGAAAATAAAAGGTTCAGCTGAGAATCTGAAGCATGCTCCGATCGATAAATCATAATTTTGTCCGATGTCATGGTTGTCTGATTGCGGTGTACACACATACCTTCCAGGTCGTCGTCCTCATCCTCGTCTTCGTCTTCGTCCGAATCCTCCTCGTCCAGCAAATGTTCCTCAGTCTTAATATCCTGCAATTTTCTGTACAATCGTGCCGGCTTTGGTGGCAGCGGTGGTTTTGACTGAGGGGGCGATTCCCGTCCTCCGACGTGCATGCTCTGTGCAGGCAGCGAGTGTGGCCTGGAGGCATGGTCCGATGACTTTTTAAGGCTGCTCGTGCCTGGGATAGTGCTGAGGGGATGCAGACTGTTCGTGGTGTTACTGGCTCCTCCTCCTATTGACGGCATAGTTCCTTGTTCTGTGAATCCTAAGACTGGGCTACGACTGGGTGGTGTTGGTGCTACTACGGGTGGCGGTGGTCTCCGTGTCGGTTTAGGTGGTAATGAAGGCGCAAGCACGGTTGTCGTGCGTGGCGGCGGTGGTGATGCGGTTGGACTATTGGCGGGCGGGGTTGATCTCGAGGCATAGGTCGTGACCCGTGAGAAGATGGGTGAAGACAATTGTTGTTGCTGCTGTTCTACGCTACAGATGTCCGAGGCTGTGGCTCGCAACTGCTCTGTCAACATGGTTACGGTCTTTGTCTGCCCCGCCGTTATCCTGTCCGAGTGCCTGGAGAGAGAGGTCTTCCGGGGAACCGCCGGTGGCTCTGAGATGGCGGCGATGGCGGCATTCTGCCTCGAGAGGATGTCCTGTGCGTACACCACACTTGACCGCGTGATGGATATCAGTGTTGCTGTCGTAGTGGAGGTGATGGCCACTATTGGTGCGGGAGCGCAAAGGAGAAATAAAGTAATCAGTCTCGTTTGGGGTTCCTCAAAAAACTCTGCTGTGGTAGGTTCAGGCACGAAGCAATATCACCCTCCAAAGCACGAGCAACGGCTGTTTGCAGAAGGTTGAGAACGCACAGATACGCACCATTTGCGATAAACTTGACCTTGCGAAGCTCTATCGCGGCGGCGTCGATGATGTCCAGGTAGCAGAAGTAGGCGTCCTGAGCAATTAAGCCAACGAACCAACGAACCGATAAGTTAGTCCGATAAATACCAAAACACAAACAATAAAGTACATGTGCATACATAAACAACAGATAAACTGAACGGCTGAACATAAATTGTTGGTAAGGAAATGATGATCCCGTTCTGCATGTTCATAACATTTACCTTGAAGTTGCCGGAGGAGACTGCATCGGCAGACCTGGCCAGCATCAACTGGATCTCTTCCATAGATTTTTTTAATGTGTGTATATGAGTAATATGTGTATAGGTGTGTGTGCAGACTGGATGGAGAGAGTGAAAGGGAGAGAGAAAGAAGGAGGCCGAAGACGAGGAAGAATACAGAGAAGGAGAGCGGGGGAAGAGGAATAGTGTGTATGTTGTATAAGCAAAGGCGCGATGAGTGTGTAGTGAAGTTTGCAATGCCTTGTTTTTTCAGTGTGACATTCGGAGAGGGAGAGAGAGAGAGAAAGTGAAGGATGGATGTTGTTGTTAATGCAGTTGCTGAGGGTATGACATTCTCCGTGAAGGTGGAAGGTGGAAGGTGGAAGTGGAAGTGGAAGTGGAAGCGGAAGTGGAAATGGAAGGTGGAAGTGAAAGGAAGGATGTATCAGGAGCAAGGAGCGATGGCGGCTGTGAGTGATGAAGGAATGTGAGGAATGTGAGTGAGTGAGCGATTGGATGATGGAGAGAAATGCTTTCTTTGTTCCGACCAGAAAAAGAAAGAGAGCTACTTTGTTCCCTTTTTCCATAACCTTTTTGGTCAGTGTCCATCCCAATCGCCCTGATGCCAAAGGTACCGCCCGCCTGGGATCTCCATCTTGGATCTCCTTTTCCCCTCTCCGGTAGTGATCACAGCCATTTGAACCAACCCCATGCGAGCAAACTCATTCGATCCCCTTTCCTTAGCACGACACTGTCTCTTCTGATTCGAACCTGGCTCGGGCAAACCAGGTCTGTACCTCTCGTTGCTTTGCGTTGCTTTGGTTTTTGTCTCTGCCTTTTTTTGATCCATCCAGAAAGTGTCCACATGTGTGTGTGTGTGTCAGTCGCCCAGCCTGCTAAACAAAATAAAGCCCTTGTTTCTTCGTTGTTCCCTCTTGCAACATTCAGCTCTCTTCGGCTCAGCTGAATCAGATCCTTGCCGCGCACAAGGAGCTCGCTCCTGACAGGTAACGAAACAGTACCCACACCTGCACACCTTGTACCTGTATACAACCTCATACATTGCCTCCTTTCGTGTGTCTCCTTCCTTTCCTTTCTCTTTGGCCCCCCCCCCCAAAAAAAAAAAAAAGAGCTGTTTCTTCACCTCAGCATGTCTTCATTTTGCATGTCATCCAACTCCAACGCCCGTTGTTATTATTCTCCTTTTTTTATTTCTCACAAGGCCCTGTCTTGTGAATACATTGCATCGTCCTACGCCCAAGACAACACGCGTGCGCGTGCTTCAATGGGCTGTTTCTTTGTCTAGTCTAGGCTTTTATCCCCCACTCGGCCTATTGTCTAGTTTGCCGTGCGAAACTTGTTTGCTTATATCATCTCCATGCCCCAATACGCTATTCTTGGACTATGAACACACTAGCTCCACACTAACACCCTCCACCTCAAAAAATTCACAAACTCTACTTTAGGTATCCAGGTTGTGTTCTCTCCACAGTCGCATACCACATCGATGATATGTCTCCAGAACTCCGGTCCTTTGCAATGGACCTGGTCGAGTCCAACATGAAGGAGCTGTAAGCGATATACATATTTTGTAAAACTGAGTCTGCCCTCGGTTCCTCATTCTTTGGCACATGCAATACCATGTGGCCACATCCCAAAGAAATATGAAGCTGAACGGTCGAATATGTTTTTTCTCTCTCAGATACATGAAGTCAAAGGACGGCTGGTGCAGAGAGGACAAAGAGAATGAGATGCAGGATGTCTCATCGCGGTACCTCGTTGCCTTTGATAAAGACGTACCTGTTGCCATGGTGCACTTCCAGTTTGTCGAGGAAGAGACTATGACAAGCAGAGATGTCGAGGTCGCGTACTGGTAAGCGGCCTGCCATTCAATAAAAACAAGTGACTCGTTCTGAAGACAGGAAAGATACTTAATTAAAGTGGTGTTAATACATTCGTATTTTATGCTGTCTTGTGAATAGTTTCGAGATCCAGGTCGTGGCTGGATACCAGCGCCGTGGGATTGGCGCTTATTTGATCGGTCTGCTCGAGATAATTGGAAAGACAGCACAGATGGAGAAGGTCATGCTGACCGTCTTTAAAGGTATGAGAATTAAATGAATGACATTGTCTCAATCCTGGTTCCTGGGAATCATTTCATTCCTGACGCGTTTTGTATTTTTGTTCCTGAATTTACCACCGACTTCCAGCCAACAAGGACGCGATCAAGTTTTACATTAATCAACTTCAGTAAGCCAATTATTTCTTTACACCAAGTCCCACCCCCAGAAGAGGATTATAAGCTCGCAATCCTGCACGCCTATACTGACACCAATGATATTAACGTTCATCTTCCTTTTAAATTTAACAGTTATATATACGATGAGATCTCACCATGCATTTGCCTCACGCGTGGAAGGGCCTCACGATTTGATTATGAGATCCTTAGCAAGTCATTGTCCTAAACAACGGGAGCAGCAAATAAATGCTTCGTGAATTTTCTATGTTCAACCATTACGTTGTTTAGATGCAGCTCCACTGCAGTCTAGTTAAAGACGCGTCCTTTTCCTTTTTCCTAATTTTTTTTTTTTTTTTTCGCCCGGACACTAAAAATACGACAATGGTGGCGAGCTGTGCCTTTCATGGCCGAAATTGGTATACGTCGCATTTGCGGGCATAGTATGCATGCCTGCATGGCATCAAAAAGTGAGCCGGCGTAAAACAATAGCCGTTATTTTTACAGCGCACGTTAATCAGGAACGAATGCGGCCTCTCAAAATAACGGCCAGATGTAGTCGTATAATCCTAACGGAGCTATTACTGCCCCACAAATGATGCATAAAGACTTTGCTACAAGAAGAAACTATCACATCCACAAGATGATCTTACCTAAAGAGTCCCATACATGACGCGTTTTGTCTTCAGTATAATAAAATTTTGGCTGTGGGATTATCAAGCACGATCAGCTTTCCTGGGTTCAATTTTACCATACCCGCATGTGAAGGTGCCTTTGTTTACACCGTCGGGGGCAGATTCTCTATCGACCTGCTCTTTTTTCGCATACCATTTCTAGCAGATGTGATGGAGCGCAACGAATAAAAGAGAAAGAGAGCTCGGACCAGATTGTGATGGACAACCGATAGTGACCAAAAAGGCGGCAAGGACAAATACTGTTATCCTCCGATCATGCATCGCAAAAAAGGGAGCAGTTTCAACGAGCCGTTGCTGGTTATGTTTACAGATATTTCTATTTGGGTGCACCGGATATTGTAGACCAAAGATGGCCTTTGGCGTCATTTTTTTTCCACTAAAATACACCCGCAGCCAGGTTTTATTGAAAATGGCACATGCGACCACATTTACAGGCTGTAGTCGGGTGCCGTCGAATGGTGTGCTCTTCAAGTGGATCCTTATACTTGTTGTTGAATTTATGTTTGATTGAACGTGAGAACATTGCTCAGCGGAGTACAAGAAATGAGAAAGAGCACTCGTCCACGGTGAGGTACGATAAGCGGCTTAACAACATGTCTATAGAAGAGAGTAGACGGGTCTGGACTAAAAAATGGACCAGAACAAGAACAAAGAAGGCATACAATGGTTGGCTGAGTTATCTGTCTAGAGTGCTCCTCTACGGGCGGCAGTCGTCGAGACACGCAAACTAATTGGCTGATTGACTAACAAACTGACTGACTGACTAGCTGGCTGCCCGGCAGGTTGAGGTGCGTGGAGGAGATGGGTGCAGCCATCTGCAGCTGTCATCATGATTAAACACGTTTTTCTTCCATCGGTGCTGTTCGCCGGTAATGCTGAAGATGCCCGGGCTTGGACGTGCGCCTTTGATCCCCGGTACAGCTGCAGCGAATTTACTCCGCAGAGTCTGTTCTTTTTGCTCAAAGCCCTCCGTTTCAGCAGCACGATGGTCCAAGCAAAAGGAGCCTCGAAGGGCTACCCACTTTTCTCAACTGTCTATGGATCCATTTTGGTGCAACAAAAACGTTGTGTGCGCAAAGTAGCTTGCCTTGTTTTTCTATTTCCGTTTGTAGCTTGTGTGAACACACTACTTGCACTTGCACTTCATGCTTGCATTTTCTTGCACTGACAAGTGTCGATAGTGTCTGTTGTTTATCTGTTTTTTGTTGTTTACTTTTGTCCCCATCCTCTCGTAACTCCTTTCCCTTTTTTTTTTTTTTTTTTTTTTTTTTTCCACCTCTCCTTCGTCTTCTTTCTTATTTTTCCTTCCTCGCTTTCGTTTCGTCGCGCGTGTCCTTCCACTAATCCCTCCCGCCTCTGTTTTTAACTGTCCACACGCGAATTGTGCCTCTGTTTTTCCGCCTCGCTCTCGTGTCGATAAAAAAAAAACATTCTTTTTCCCTCCCTTTTTCTTAGCACTTTTTCTCGCCTGCCACCTCAAACTTCTCGCTCGTTCTCATCACACTCCCTTGTCTCCTCATTCACTCCTCCTCCTCCTTCTTTTTCTTGACCTTCCTTCTCTTTGCCAGCAACGACTTGCGCAATCAACTTCTTCATTCCTGCACAAGCTTCGACTCGATTCATCCCTTTTTTGAATCCAGTTCTCAAAGCCGGTCTCATATGCCAAACCTTCGCCGTTCCCTCCAGTCTAAAAACTCTGGAGGTCTTTCGCCCACACGGATCCATGCGACCGCCGCCATAGGAGCCCCGCGCAAGGTCATCAAGGCTCTTTACGACTACAACACACGGCAGCCTGAGGAAATGTCCTTCCACAAGGGCGACTTTTTCCACGTCGTCGGTAACGAGGACGACGAAGACTGGTATGAGGCCTGCAATCCCATCACCGGCGCTAGGGGTTATGTTCCTGTAACATACTTTCAGACATTGGAAAAATCAGGCCAACAAATGTACCAGCAGCAAACACTTCAACAGCGGCAACGCAACAGCAACCAGAGCTTCGAAGACAACGGCAATGACTCGGGCGCCTTCATGGAGTCCTCGCCTCACCAGTACCACTCACCGCCATTGCACCAGCCCCAGCATCATCAACAACATATCCAGCACAGCCATTCGTACTCAAATGGAGGCAGTGGAGTCGCCTCTGCTGCTGCAGCCGTTGCAGATGGTATATCGTCGACGTCGTCTCCATCCATGTCTCAAAAGAGCGTCTCATCCCCGTCGTTACCGAAATGTCAGCCCCTTTACGGTATCGTGCTTTACGACTTTGGTGCCGAAAGAGCGGATGAGCTTGACTCCAAGGCCGGGGACGCGATTCTGGTCATTGCTCAGTCGAATGAGGAGTGGTACGTCGCCAAGCCCATTGGGCGACTCGGGGGCCCAGGTCTGATCCCTGTTAGCTTTGTGGAAATCAGGGACATGGTCAGTGGGAAGCCCATTAACGTGCCAGAGATGTTGCGACAGACAGGCACAGTTATCCCGCGGGTGGACGAGTGGAAGAAGCAAACGATGGAGTACAAGGCCAACAGTATCCCTCTCGGCCGAATCGACGCCAACGACGCTCCTCAGCAACCGCAACCACAACCACAGCCGCAACTAGCACAGCATGCCCAGCATTTAGCCCATCAACAATACCATCCTCAAGCCGCTCAGGGTCTACAGATGCATTCACAGCCACTTCCGCTTCAGCACCAGTACCCGCAGAATGGAGGCCCAACTATCCAGCAGCTCAAGAATAAGTTATCCAGGGGGGATCTCAGATCACCCAACCAGCGAGACCAGAGTTCGCGAAGAAATCTCTCACAAGATCTCGATATCGGCCGTCGTGTGGTAATTACCGAACTCCTTTTCAATCGCACTCAGTTTCGCCCCCAGCTATTTATTGCGCAAGAAAGGATCGCCCTCATTTCTTTACATTGGTCTGTGTGCACCGACATCCACACTCCTCTTTTACCCTGCGTCAAAAGAACACCAAAGAAAGAAAGGGATACATGGGTTCTGGGCCTTTGATCATGTTGTTCGGAAAAGAGAGGGGTGAAAAAGGGGCCATGCACCTTCGTATCTTGTCCGCCACAATGCACACAACAGCAGCAGTGTATTTTATTGTTCGCATCGTTTTTTATTTTGTGCCTGTGGGCTTACGTGACCCTTCCTTGCTCACTCTTCTCCGTCTGCTTTCTGCAAACATTTCAATCGAAAAATAGGAAGGATCGAATGGAAGAGCAGCCCACACTGTCCCAGTCCGCTCCTTCAGCAACGACAATTATGAGGATAGCAAACAACACAACAGTGGATCACGGATTGTCCATGCCACGGTCGAATCCTTCCATCACGAGGACGACCAGTACTGGTTCTCTGTCCGGGTCGATCTCGCCTCTGGAGCATCACGGAACCTCTTCAGGGTGTACGATGACTTTTACAACTTCCATATCGCTATCCTTGAAGAATTTCCGGTCGAATCTGGACGTGTAGGCGATCAACCCCGTATCTTGCCCTTCATGCCTATTCCTCTCCAAATCGTCAACGATACGGTCTCGGCTTCGCGACGTGCAGACCTCGATGGGTACGTGCAGGATCTGTGCAAGCTGCCTGCAAGGATCATGCAGCACCCTTTGGTCGAGAATCTGTTTGCGGTGAAGGATGGCGATACAGAGACACCGCCCGGTGCCAACGGATCAACAGGAGTCAGGCCCATCTCACCCGGATTGGGTCGATCCAATCAGCATCGGGAACCTGAACATCGTGGCTCGCCCGTGGCTGGACCACGCGCGGTGTTTGCAAGTCGTGGTGCCCAACAAGGTCCTCGTAGCTATATCGACGATTCACCATCGCCCTCGACTTCAGCAGGTGTGTCTCCTGGGCTGCGATCTCCCACTCAGTTCCCGCCAACGCCTAATATTGGCTCATCCTCCTCGGAGGAGATGATTAAGGTCAAGATTTCGTTCAAGGACGATATTATGGCGATGAGGATACCCGTGACCATCACCTTTAAGGCACTGCAGCAGAAGATCTTTGATCGTTTACAGGCCGAGAACAAGAGTCTGAGCTACAGAGACGACCGCGGAGACCTGGCCATCATCCAGGGCGACGCAGATGTCCTCAAGGCGATCGATCGAAGTGGTGGCAAGCTGATGATCTATGTGGATTAACCAAGCACAAGCAAGCATACACTATCTATTCACTCTACACATATTTCCTGTCCTTTTATCGTATTTTATCGTTGTAGTTATTACCCTTTTGGCCCTTTTCCCTCCATTTTTCCTTCGCTCACTGTCCTTTGTAGATACTCGTCAAAATAAGATAAACCGCCGAAGATACCCCCGTAAACAAACGTTTTACGAGAATCATTTTCAACCGTAGCTGTCATTTCAGGCTCACAAGAAGAGTACCACACAGGGGGCGAGCCGGAAGAACGCCAAGAACACAAGAACGGGCCTTGGTGTTGTTGCATGATATGTGTATGAAACAGCAAGGCTGTGCTTCAGCGACATCTTCGTTCCTCTACATCAGTAAATACAATACTTTTTATTTTTATTTTTTAGGAGTCGACCCAATGATTTGTTATTCACAATTTCAGCTTCCATCCCATAACTTGCCAGCACCACGCCAGCGCCGAGACCGTAAACATATAAGCTACCAAAATAGCTACCGCCTGAGCGTCAGGGGTATAAAGCGTCTGCACCGTCAAGTTAACGAGTCCTGTCAGCACATTGGCGACCAAGAAGACCGCAAGTCCATTTTTGTTAACGGCCTCCAGCAAAGGTGGGCACGTCAGTGGAGGCAAATGCAGCGTGGCAACTTTGTTGCTAGATGAGGTCGAGAGGTTGGCCTTGGTCTGTGCACGGGCGATCGCCAGAGCGGAGGGTTCATTGAGCGTGATCGCGATCTCGACCAGGAGGAAGCAGAGAATGTATCCGGTGTTGAAGGTGATCACCCAGAAGAAGTACGATAGGTTAGCCTAGTTGACAAGTAGGAATTGGTTAGTTAGTGCTAGGAGAACAGACGTTGCCAAAGACAAGGTGGGGTGAGAATCGGCCTCTTACCATTTGTCGCGAGACGGGAATGTGGAGGATACCATAGCTGGTAATGAATCCCATGACGAGCAAGAACGCAAGACTGAGAAGGATCATGGCCAACTTGCCCTTCTTGGCCTTCTTCTTGTTGCTCTTTCGGCGCATAAAGAAATATGGATCGTTGGGGAGGACGTACAGACCGACATCTACACCCACCAAGAAGATCGCGAGATATCCTGTAATGCAGATAGTGCTCATCGTTAGTTTCTGGATACCATCACCCATCCAATTGTACTCGATGTTGATGCTAGAACACTTACCTGCAAAACTAAAGATGCCCTCCTTGTTCATGCTGATAATGTCAACTCTAGGCGCATTCTGGATGTAGTCCTCTAGTCCTCCAAAAGTCAAGAAGCATTGGTAAACTATTCAACACAGAGGAGAGAATGTTATGAGTACGCGATGGCCCCTGGCTAAACCATTTTAGCGGACATTCGATCAATAATTGAGAGTTTTCTTTACCGACAGCAACCATGGTGCCCACGATCGAGAAGCGCACTTTATCCGCCAGGCTCCTGAAAAAGGTGACAAAAATAGGCAGGAACCCGAGCGTGAAGAAGAAATTCCAGTGCATGCCGTACTCAGTGACATGTTCCTGATAATCGACTCCCTTGGTGGAGATGTATCGACCCAGACCGAGGATCAAGAGCGGGATTGAAGTGCGGAGCGCGATCATCATCTGCTTGCTGAAAGGTAAGGTCTCTTTCTTGAGGTATCCACGCGCGGACACAACACCCGATGAGAATACAAATGATCCGACACCTAGATCCATCTAACAGTTTACAGTCGGAATAAATGATCCGTGTCAGCATCACCCTCATCCATACATGTGCTCGAGCAAGGACAAAATGCTGGTGTTCACCTACGAGTGAAGTTCCATAGACCTCGACTTTGCCGAACCGACGAGGAAAGACCGGAAAATCCACTGCGAGAATGGCAATGCAAGTCATGATCATCATGCCCGCGCGATAAATGCTCAAAAAGATCTTGTGTGAGGTATCCCGGCCCTTAGAGGTCCTGACCTTTGCCGGAACAGCAGCCGTATCATCCAATTGAAGAGCTGCATGGTCCGATCCGCCCTTGCCTTTCCGTTGACGGAATCCGTCATGTTCCTGCTCGTGCTCCTGTGCTCCTGCCGATTGTGCTGAAGAGATACCGCTAGTCTTTTGCTCGCTCTCCAACTCCTCGTCCTGATCATCCGCCGAGTACTCGTCGTCTGAATCCCTCCACTTGAACCTCCTCTTCTCACGCCTCAATACTTCATCATCCTTGGGCCCACAGATCGACTTGATCGCGCCCGCAAACGCCAGGGTTGCAAACGACCAGAGGTAGGCATAGTTCGAGAAGAGTGTACAGCTTAGAATCATGGGTATGACGATGACGGTGAAATCCAATACGAACGATCCAAAGCTGTTGCGGATCTTGGTCTTGGCTTGCTTGGAGGCTGTGGCGAGAATCTGGTGGGCAGGCGACTTGGGATGGTACTTTTGGATGGACGCCCAGAGGATGAACGTGGTTAATGCTGAAGCGGTGACAAGCGTAGCCTCGGTCATGGACCCGCCCGAGTGGCCGGTGACCCAGGCTTCCTTGGCACTCTTGTATGCCGCTGCAGCTGCAGCAGCTGATGAATCGGATGCCATCGTGTAAGGGGGGTGTGGGGAATGCGACTGACGAAGGAATGCGATGTTTGTGATGGTGGAAGAAATGGTGAAAGTTTACAGGGAGAAAGTGAGAGAGCACTTTACTTGTGTCACATTTTATTTCAGGTACATCGTGGTTCTCCACAATTGTAGCTTTGCTGGATCATACAAGAGAAGCGTTTTCCTGCACGCGTTTGCATCTCTATCATCCGCGTAGTATCCTTCCTCGATATCAAACACTTTGATCGAGGGAAAAGCGTCAGTTTACACGTCTATTGCTGTCGTTGTAGAGTGTAAAACGCTGCGTCCTGATGCAGCAATACATGTTGGCAACCCGCATCACGTCTTCTATCCACTCGGGCATGGTTGGCGAGAGTTATTCACCTAGTCCATGGCATGGCCACTTGTAACCCGTAAAAAAGACGATGAATGCGACTGAAGTTTAACTGTCACTAATATGAGGCACCCTTGTCAATGTTGCATACTGTTGCATGGTGTGAGACCGAGGTTGCCAGATTGGGCACAGTGGCTTACAGCAAATGCGACCAAGTAGTGTACTCACGTGAGTTCGCAGCAGTTAATGGAACCCATCACAACCATTCGTTCTTTTGTTCGTTCTAGTTTGTCCATCCTCTTGTTGTTGTCCCGTCCACCAATTACGCAGTGGAACCGCAGCCGACCCAGCAACATATCAACAGCAGTACTTTAGCCACGCAGAACGAGGCATCACTATGGATATTTATAACGGAGGACCAGAGGTCTCCATCAGATCTCTCAAGAAGGACAGCATGAAGTTCGTCCTCAGCAACACTGATCTCAGGTATAGCACCGCACACGTCCGTTGTCTTTTTCAGTCTGAGCACTGTGGCGCTTGAGACTGTGTGTGGGGCGGCATGGATCTAATTTTGGGGTTATATCAACCATTCCTTATAGTGTCGCCAATGCCCTCAGACGTATCATGATTGCCGAGGTGCCAACCATGGGTGTGTTCTTTTACGCTCAGGATCAAGGATACGATATCAACTTTGCCAGAAAAATGAGTACAGACAACTCATGAGTGATTCTCCATTCGCTCTGCGACTTAAATAGCTATCGATATGGTCGAGATCGAGACGAACTCAACAGTGTTAACGGACGAGTACATTGCGCACCGCTTGGGAATGATCCCCCTGACGAGCTTCGACGTGGATAGGATCCAATACACACGCGTACGTCCTTGACTTGCCTCTGTTGGATGGGTTGCATGCTAATAAGGATAGCGTCAGAAGTCATGGCGTGTTGGTGGTCGCTCATAACTCAGCGATTTCTTTTATGGCTGCTTTATAGGATTGCACTTGCACTCTCTACTGTCCCAATTGCTCCGTTGAGCTCACTCTTCACGTCAAAGTTAATGTGGATTATGACGACATGAACGACCCTACAATTGACAAAACGAAACAGGTCACCAGTTTGGATCTTGTCAGCAGCGACGAGAGCGTCAAGCCAGTCTCAGATGGTAAAGCGCACATTGGATTCAATCACTGCAAGACCGCAGGACGAAAGCATGGAGTTTGCTGTATGTTTACTGACGCTGTTCCATGGTGATCTTTTCCTTACAGATAAGGCACACCCTATTTTGATCGTCAAAATGAGACCAGGGCAGGAATTGAAGCTGAAATGTGTGGCCAAGAAGGGAGTTGCCAAGGAGCACGCCAAGTGGAGCCCTGTGTATGGTGTTGCATTCGAATACGATCCCTACAATAAGCTGAAACACTCACACTACTGGATCGAGGAAGATGAGAAACTGGAGTGGGGCGTCTCTGCTAATGCTGCGGAAGAGACCCCTGTGGATCCTAATCAGCCCTTTGACTACAACGCGAAGCCGGATCGGTACTACATTGAAGTAGAGGTAGGGAATTATGGCATTGGCCGAAGCAATTATTGAGACGTCGTTGCCACAATGTCATCGAGACCATGCGTACTCATGCTCAACTCTTTGTATTTTCGTGATACAGACGTCTGGATGCATGAAGCCAGAAGAGGTTGCACTTCGCGCCATGACCATTATGCAGGACAAGCTTGGAGGTCTTCAGATCAAATTGGATGACGAGTTCAAGGAGGACACCCAGCGCTGGGGCTACTAAGATCCATCCTTAAACAGGTCACGCTCTTTTGACATCTGCGCACACTGACTGCAGCCAACAGTACAGCTAACATCAAGTCAAAGAAATAAAAAAATGTACATTATTCGAACGGATCAAGAAGAACGGCTGTATTCGCATATTGTAGTTCCTAAAAGTCTGTGCCTGTCATTGCCGCGATAGCGCTGCGCCCAGGGCCTTTGTTGGTGCCCGCAACAATAGTTTGCTTGCAAAAAAAAAAAAGCTGTAAAGCCTTTTAAGAATAAATTTGATTGTGGTCGCGTCAGTTCGGCTTATCGCCGCCTTGTGAACCGGCGGATATTTAATGGGCAATTACTTCCCTCCTCATCACACAAATACTCACACGCTCACATTCATAAACACTCACCCATCAAGCAGTTCATCATATTCGCCATGGATCCTTATACTGTGCGCTTTGACGGACGTCGTAGCCTCACAATCAATATCCACGCTAACTATGGTCCTTGTCCCAAACTTCCTCCTCGCTCGATGGCGCCACCTCCACCTCGGAAATACAAAAGCAGCAATTTTTCTACGCTCACCAAGAAAGAACTTCGTCTGATTAATGGTCCCGTCAAGGACGTTCGTATCCACACACTAGATGATGAAGATGAAGGTGAATATGATGACGATGATTGCTCAGAGTGCAAGAGTCAGAGTATTGCCCCTTCCTCGCCTGGAGAAGGTCCCGAAGGCCATCCTCCTTCGCGCTTTCGTGACGACAAAGTGGTGACTAAATACTATCGAGAGAAATCGAGGATAAAGAAAGACATGAATGCCAAGGGCTTAATGCCAAAGGCGTCCACAGAACCCGAAGTCAACCCTCCCGCGACAGTCGAAGGCCAATTTTGGTTTACTAAATCCTTCCCTGACCAAATGCTCGTCAAATCCTCAAATGACCTAGGAAAGGTCAACGACCAGCTCAGCGACTGGGTTGGGCAACGCCAGCCGCAGCGGTACATCGACTCCGAGATCAAGTTCTTCCGTCTATCCGACAGGCCCTAGGGTCTGTACGCCAGGGACACGTTAGATTAAGGGTATAGAGGATGTGGCTGAAGTAGCAGCCAATCACATACAGAATAAAAATTTCAGAACCCAATAACAAAAATCCTTGAGCCAGACACTTGTACATCCTTTTTCGCCAACTATTCATCATGTCTGAGCAGGTGCGTTTGCAGAACGAAACCCCGAAGTCATAGGGAACAATACCAGCAATGACTCTTTCAGGGCCAGCAACACGACAACGACAATGCTGGAATTCTTTTCAAATTGTTGAGACGATCTCGATGAGTTTTTCCAAAGGAGGATCGCTTCTACGACTTTTTTTCTCATCTGGCGCCGAATTCAGTGGACAGGGCAACAAGGGATTGAATTCGCATCCCGAACCTGTGATCCATGGATCATCCCGACCTTTGGACGATCTCTTGAAGCTCAGGATCATTCCTCGACCAACAGAGATCTCGAATTTACATTGTTGAAAAACCAATTACGATCCCGGATTCTGCACTTGAGAAGTGCTGGTTTGATCTGAAACAGGAGCAAAGGCAGGCAAGGACGAACCTGCAGCAGTGATCCTTATCGTTGAGGCTATATGGTGCGACTCTTTCACCGGGCTGGGACCACGCGCCACACTTCACACCTCCACTTGGCACCACAGCTGCTTAGGGGATAACCGCAAAGGATCGCCCGACAGACAAAGCGCTTTTATGGGAGACTTTATCGACGGTTGCTCTACGCCCCCACAACATCTTATCTATGCCGGGCACAGGACTCTTTGCCATAGTCTATTTCTTAACGTGCTTGAACGACCATTTATGCTGACTTCATCAAACCCCATTGTCGGTCCTGGTTTTTTTCTCTTTTGCACGCAAATAGATTGAGAAGGCTTTCCAGAAGCAGCAGGGTATCTTCCAGAACGCCAAGGTTACCGGCAAGAAGTCGGTCAAGAGCAACCGCTGGTACAAGGAGGTCGGTCTTGGTTTCAAGACCCCCAAGGAGGCCATTGAGGGTCACTACATCGACAAGAAGTGCCCCTTCACCGGCGATGTCTCGATCCGTGGCCGTATCCTCAACGGAGAGATTATCTCGACCAAGATGAAGCGCACCATCATCATCCGTCGCGAGTACCTCCACTTTATCTCCAAGTACAACCGTTATGAGAAGCGCCACAAGGTATGGGAAAGACGATGATGAATTATATGAGGAAGAACGATACGGACTGTCTGCGGATCAAGCTCTTGAGCACTGACTTTTTTTTTTCACTTAGAACTTGGCTGCTCACATCTCGCCTTGCTTCATCGCAGTCCAGCAGGGTGACTCTGTCACTGTTGGTCAGTGCCGCCCCCTTTCCAAGACCGTCCGCTTCAACGTCCTCAAGGTCCAGAAGAAGGTTGTCAAGGGTGCCAAGAACTTCGCCAAGTTCTAAATGATACACATTGTTTCTCGAAAAAATAAAAACTGTCAAGCATCTTGTCAAAGGGTTTTTATTCTTCTTGTCTTGTTCCTTGAGCCTGTTTGGACATGATGTTCCTGTTGAGATATAGCCGCATGTCACGCACACGCGAATGGCGTAAGAAAGCTGCTCAAAGCATCGGAGAAAGCAGACCAAGACATAAACTTGCCAAAGTACAAAAGAGATCATGGACAGATTGGACTGCCTGCCAAACGTCTTTTGTCGAGCATCGTCTCTTTGGTGCGTGGCGCAAGACAAATAAATAGCGGTTTATTATAGGGTCTGAGAGAAAGAAAGGTATTGTACAATGGATGAAGGCGAAAATGGAGAGAGAAGATAGTGTTTTGGAGCTTTCAAATCTGTCTATGGTCGACGGCCTGGATACGGTCGTCCGATCCCGAGTTCTGTTCCTTGAGCGAGGCCGATCCCGAGCCAGAGCTCTCGGACTCGGGGGTTATCTCGTTTATCAAGTGAGTATCCTTCCTATCCTCCAGCATGGTATCCTCGGGTACTTCGTTCAATGCCGTGCGGACAGCAGCACGTCTGCGCCTCAGCTTCATATGGATTAAGGCAATTGTGACCGCAAGCCAATAGACAATGTAGCAGACGATAGTGCCAATGGAGGCGATATTGCTCCAGCCAAAGAGGGCGTTCATGAGCTGAGCAAATCCAGCACTGGTGTTATTGGGATCGCAGCAGGACAATGCCCAGACGTTGATACGAGGATCGTACGTGCCACCGTCGTCCGACTGAGCGTGCGTGGCCTTGGTCCAGGCATAGGACTCGAACGCAGCGACACCCTTGGAAACCAGACCCGCGGCGAGGAGTAGGAGCAGACAGGTCGAGGCCGTGAAGAACTTGTGCAGGTTCATCTTGTTGCCTCCGCGGTAGAGAATGTAACCGACGAGGAGACCGCAGAAAACACCAACGATGACGGCCGCAGGGATGGCCTTGGCGGTCTCGGTGAAGGTCACGCCTCCGATAAAGACGATGGCTTCGAGGCCCTCACGTAGGACCGTGATAAGGGGCAAGACAAAGAGTGCGTAACGACGCGAGGAGTTGCTGAGACCGCGTTCGGTCTCCTCGTCCATGGCCTTGGATAGCTTTACCTTCCATTTTTCCTGGATCTGAGTGGTCCGGAGCATGGCCAGGCCCATGACGGTGATCATGGCTACGGCAAGGAAAGAGAAGCATCCGACCCAGATGCCCTCACTCGTGGCCCACAGGTTGTTGGCGTACTTATTCCTGTAGGCAAAGGAGAGTACAGGTTAATGACTGAGTATTGCACGAGAAAGGGCGTGGGGAGTGCTATACATCAAAGCGATTGCACAAACAACTAAGACGCGCGAAAACAGAAGAATCTCCACACAATTCACACGACTAGAGATGACGCTTCCAAATGAATGCGATATGGATGCAGATGTGTGTGTGTGTATGTGTGTTAGCGAAGAGAAATCGATAGCACAACATGCACTAATAAATGGTACATGTACAAAAAAAAGATACAACAGGCTGCATGCAAGCGACTTGGTGCCCCGCTATCGCCGAGCCCTTTTCTTCCGACCCTTCCATCTCTTGTTTTTCATGGACAGTTTATAAGATTGAGAGGCAAATTCAGGGGGAGGAGTGAAAAGTGGCACCACCGAGAAGTCTATGCAGACACAAGAAAAACCTCGGAGCAAAAGCGACAAATACAGCAATCATCATCCGAGGCATGCAACATAGCATGTCCCGACACCTTTACGCCCTTGCCCTTGGTTTGCATCCGATTGCAACAATTTTCCAAAATGTGGCATGATATGATGCATTTTACTTACCAGATAACAATGAACGCGGCTCCAATGGCCAGCGAGATGGCTAATCCCAGGATAGTTCCACCCCACACCTAGCATTGACGGACGAGATGTTTTTAATAAGTAAAAACCTCGAGTTTATAACATCGACGCGGATGAATTTGTTCCCCAATTGACCGTACCTGACGGGAAAGACGTTTTCGCATAGCATGGTCGTCCGTGATGACCTGTTTCAGGAAGGAGAGCAGGACCGAGACAATGATGGCAGCCTCGGTGGTCTCTCGGAAGATAATGAAGAAAATTGGAACTGAAAAGTAGTCGGAACCCATGGTGTGCGATTCTGATTCTGATTCTGATTCTGAATCTGATCCGGAATGAGAAGAGTGGTAGGTGGGAAGTGAACCTGAGAGTGCCTAGCTCGGCTAAACAAAAAGGATATCTGCTTGGAGGGGGCAGACAGGAATGGCAGCTGGAGGGGAGAAAGAAGGGGGAGTGAGGATGTTGCAGAAGATGACAAAGACGGAAGAAGGGGAAGGAAGCGCGATCAAGGCGTGAAGGAGGTGGGAGGAGCGGAAGGCCCTCTTATTTATCTGATGGATTCTGGCATACATATCAATCAGATAAATGAGAAAAAGTCTCCAACTGACAAATGTCTCAGTGCAATCCTCGGTGTTGGCAATCCTCCCCCCTCCCTGTTTTTCGTTTTTTGTTTTTTTTTTTGTTTTTTTTACCGACCCGCTCTTAGACACCCGCCCGACCTACAGCGAAAAGAGAGATGCGCTCTTTTTTCCCCCTCCTCGCTGTGGTCTGAGTGGAAAAAACAAGATTACATGGGGCAGTGGTGGACGCGGTCTTTCCAAATCAGATCTTTTCGTGCGCCTGGATTGGCCGCATTTGGATTAGACTAGGATTTCACTATGATGTCCAATTGGACATCTGTTCCATCAGATATCTCCTTAGGCCCTAGTGTTCGCCATATAGACTATCCACTCCTTCTTACTTATAACCATGCACACACACAGTCTACACACACAGCACATACACTCTCCTTTCATTTCCCAAGCTCATTTCGCTCGTTTACACGAGACGCATCCGGCCGTCCCATTGGTTTTACCAGACTCCGTCACTCTCACGATGAAAAAGAAAAAAAAACCAGCATCAACAACAGCGTGTAGAGAAGCACCTTTCTACTGCGAGATTTTACATAGGTCCAGTACCAGAAAGACACTTTTCATGCGGATTTATTGATTGATGCCAGTCATCTGAGCCGGGGTTCTCTTCTTCGAAAGAGTGAACAGATCGTGGTTCTGGAACTTTCTTCACACAGGCGGAGGGGTTGAGCTTTGACGCTTTGTAAGACCTCTGAAGAACTGCCTTCACTTGTTCAACTTCAGAGAGACCCTTCGCTCGCAGGATTTTAGGTGCCTGCTCCTCGAGATGAGACTATAATAGTATACAAAGGCGGCGTTTAGACACTCATAGAAATCGGCGCCACACGAAGTACAGAAAAAAAAGCATTTGCGTACTAAAAAGTTTCATACAATGGTTAGCGAGTCGCTCTTTAGAAAGGCCTCCAAACCACACGCGGTCCGAGGAAGATGGACGATGCTCGACGTAGTTTTTCCAGCAATGACAATGTCCCCCATGGGCTTAACTTGATAGAAAACCTCCCTCAAACCCTGGATAGTGTCGTGGGGAATTTAAAAAAAAACTTTAGGAAAGCACATTGTACACTCTATCAGACGTTCGCATACCGTAGATGTCAGCCATGAGAACTGAAAGCTCTTCAACGCCAAAGGCCGCGTGTACTTCCTACAGAAAAAACGAGCAAGCCTCGCACCCCTACCATTTTGGATTGCGAGATCCCCGTCGCCTGTATCCTCATTCTTTGCAAAAAGGTCTACTATGCTATGACGGCAATAGTACTGCACTCAGTTTCTTCAACATCCCAGCATTCAATCCAATACGCCTTTATTCGCCCTAGATCCACCCCAGTGATCCCAATCGTTTACATCCTTGGACTCAATATTTGATAATTCGATGTCCCGTACATGAAAATTAAGCCTGCTTTCCGTCCTGTGTCGCTGACATCGTCGTACTCTGAGGATTGCATTTGCCCATGACTTTGGAAACCTCCAGGACTTTCTCGCTGTTAATATTTGAACATTCATCTTGCACATATCAGAATCTTCTTACTAAACCACAGCCACTACTTCAACAAAAGATGAGCTGTTTTAACTTACGTTCAAAGATGCATACAATCATTTTCAGAGGGAGACACTGAACCGAAAGGGGGCTGCTGAATGAAATTACAGCTAGAAAGATAGACCACGCACGTTATTCAGTCTTTGTCCCCCATGCTCGTTAATTCGGTCGTTTTGTTTGGCGGCTTGAAAGCAGTTAAAAAAAACTCCACATCCGACTGGAAAATAGCCACAACACTTACAGCTGGATAAGGATCCCCAGAACCTTGTCTTCCATTGCAGCCTCGGCAGGTAGATTCTCAGTGTCCCATGTGATGCCTGTGGAGGATATCCCGATCGACGATCAATTTTTCTCGCAAACAATCAACCCCACCGTCTGCCGAATAAAGCAGATTTTCTCATGAAGGATGTTGAGGGATGTTCATCGAAGCCCGCAATGATCCCGAGAGATTTGGCCTGATCTTACAGACCCTCATGGCTCGACTATTCAAAGCACTCACAGACATATGTAGAAGTGTTCAGGATACGAGACCTCGCAGTGCTATAGCAAGATGCAATATTTCATAAACACGCAGCGCTAAAAAGAAAGACAGGCGGAAACGGGATAGCATTCTGTAGTCTGTCATTATTGTATACGATATATAAAATAAAAGTTCCTTTCCGTACTTCGTAGGGCCTCTTCGCTTGGAGGAATGGGGCGGTTGCCTGAACAGCAGATCTCGTCTCAGTCGCTCTGTTTGAATGTTAACCGCAGTTCCCATTACAATGAACTCAGGATTCTAACCATTGTCCTTTGTCACATCTGGCACTGTCTTTCCTCGATATCTTTCCATGCTCGCACGCTGGAGGACTATATATTGCGAAGATATGAATGCAGCCAGTAATAATTTACGGATTAAAAGCTAGCGAGTTGAAAGAATTCCACGCCATGCCTCTGTGGAGTTAGTTCGACCTGAGGCCATGGAGCGCTCGGGAGGGAGGTGTGAAAAAAGCCAGATTACGTGGGGCAGAAGTGGACGGACGACAGCGGTCTTTTCAAATCATATTTTTTCATACGCCTAGATTGACCGCGTTTGGATTAGATTCTGCATAGCCTACCTCCATATTACTTATAACCATGTATACACACAATCACCGGGGCTTACTTGGCCCATGTCCACCGATCTCCCTCTCCCTCCTCTTCTTATCCAACTAACAGGACTCCTGCGCCATCCTATTTCCAATGTCATCTTCCTTGTGCTCTTGTGCAACATCGTGTACGCCGTCTGCTCTTCTCCCGCTCCGTTCCAATGTGTAGATGCACAGTTGCGCGTCTATCATGTCCTCTTTCGTGTTACACTAGCTCGGCTTTTTATTTCTTTTTTTGTACAAGTGCAGCATGCGCTATGTATCCGCCATCTAGATCTTCCTTCATCTCCGAGCTCTTTCTTTCTTTCCTTCCATCTCGCCCGTTAACGCATAACCATGCTGTTGTTCAATCATTTTAGCGCCATATCTCCTCTAGGCACTGTTCACTTTGTTTTCTTCAAAGTCAGCAAGTTTGACAAGACTCAGTGAGTGTTTTCTGAAAGCGTGATTTATTTTTCTATGTAAGGCCGTTCTTTGGCTGTATCGATGTATTCGCGATGTTGTACATCTTTCTATATTTTTTAATCGTAGGAGAGAATGAGATATGGTATATGGGGAAAGGGTGGGCTGCACAGAACAGTTGGGGAAAGATAAACTCCTATTCACTGAACTATCCTCCTGCAACGCTTACCGAAAAAAGAATGCCTGCATCCTTTCTTCTTCAAACGTGTTTGTCAACTGCAACTTTCGCAGCATCCTCTTCCCCCTCCTCCCCTCGTCCTTCTCATTTTCTCCCTCAAGTTTGATATTTTCCTCAAGACTGGCTGTCTTTAGACATAGTTCCAGGAGATATCGATGATACCCGTGTCCAGGTGACCGAGCTTCTTGAACGCGAAGGGCGAGAGATCCAAAGAACCCCAGGCACACTCATCACCGGGGCACTTGTCGACAATGCGAGCGACGACGGACTTGGATGGGTTCTGACGGTTGTAGACGCGGACCTTGCGGTCGCAGACGGGGTTTCCCCAGGACTGCGTACCCATCTGGTGGGCATTCAGGGCCACGACAGGCTCCTTGTTGCCATCCCAGTAGATATTGCAAGCGCCATAGCCGTGCGTGAACCAGGTGGCCTTGCCCTGGTGCTTGACGGACGAAGAAAATTGATCGACGTCGGCGCGAGTTTCGATCGACTGTTCAGTAGGGGAAGTTGGAACTGGAGTGTCGTTCTTGACAGGTGTAGGGATAGTGATCTTAATGTCATCGCTGGTAGAAGTAGACACAGGAGCAGCGCCGGTCAAGGAGATGACAGTAGCAGCAAGGAAAAGCGCGAAGGAAGAGACCTTGACCATGATGAAAAGAGTGGGATAGGTAAAGTTGTTGTTCGAAGTAGCTGGATGTAGTTGGATCAGGAAGCGATGAGAAGCTGATGATGATGGACATAAAAGAGCTCATGATGCTCGGTATTTATATGTTTTTTTTCCACGAGAGGCCTGGGATTATGTAGGTTCCCTGGTAAAGGTTACCCTGATCTTGGATGGGACCTCGTGGCAGAGTTCGGAGTATAGGGCATAGACAGGGGCGATAACTTCAGGTATATGCCTGAAAATCCACGTTTCTTTCCGATCATTCCTTTGTTTCCAGGGACCAGGCGCCAGTGACTGTAGGATTGGCTAGGATCCCAGAATCCGTCATCTCTGGGATATGTCAGCAGCAGCCTTGTTTCACGTACGGACAGGAAGTAATTCGGTTTGACTATTCTGTTCAAAGTTTGTTGCCGCAAATGGATAATTCCAGACGGTTTCTGAGCCGGGAGGTCGGTATTGCGAGGCTGAGTAAGCTCCTACTATGGAGGAAAAGGTGCGTAGAACATCAAGAAGGATGGCAACAGGGGATCGATCCAGGGCCCCTCATTTTTTTCAATGTATGAAACAATGTGGTACGCCGAGAACCAGGTATTACGAATGCAGCCAATTACAGAGAGCCCGAAGACCTCACGTACGAGACCGAAGGAAGCGGTCGTGCCTGAGTGTGACAAGCACCGCCCCAAAGTCTCTTATTGTAATTCCGACGATCTCTAGAAGAATGTGTTATACAGGAATGCTAGGTTTGTGGATACAAATATGGATGGGATCCATGTCCGGGTTGTTTACGCCCTGGTGCCCCGTTTTTTTTTTTTTTTTTTTTTTTTTGCAAGAGGATCCTATCCTAGGATAGCGACTCTCATGGTTCCATAGCCATAGTTAGACAGTCCGAATTGACCACTGAGAGCGAGGCTGTGCGTGTTTAGAGCCGCAATGTATGGTCGCGTCGTCCACGCACGCTGAGGCGAGATTTGTCTTTTATTATGGATTTGGAACAGGGCTTATTCTGTACGCCCATTGCAAGAAACTGATTTGGCCACGCTGTACAGGGCTGGATAGGGTCAAACATCTGCTTCTACTCTGGCCACACACGGCAGTCTTCACAACTCCAGAAGACACTTTGACTCGAATCACGTTCTGTGACTATTTGAGCCATTTTTTTCTGTTTCCGGTTCTTCTACTGAACAGCATTTGGTCAGATAAGATACCTGTTATCACAACGCTCCCTGCCACTTCCTCACCTTATGCTGCTTTTAGGCCTTCAATGTTGTGCACCTTTCGGCTTTTTTTTAATTTATTTTATTTTATTTTTCATTGTTTGCGGCGTTATCTTGCAGCGGACCGATGAAGAGCCGACTGGACCAGGTGGCTCTGGTGCGCGTTACTTCGTAGCTCAGAGTCAAAGGGAGTTGTACCTCTTCCAAAAGGGGTTGTACCTCTTCCAAAAGGGGTTGTCTACGCCATTAGGAAAATGTCCTTTGCCATAACAAATCACCCTTCCCATTGTCCTATCGTGATGGTTACTAGCCAGCGATTATAGTTGTTCGGAACAGACCATGGAGCAATAGTGAACTCTCTTTATTTCCTGGCTAGAGTAAGGGGGGCCTCAGGACAGCATAGCATGATAACAGCGGGCTACAGCAAGAAAGAGACTATAGGAGAGTACAAAAGTCTATCTATTTGTATCTTTTTTTTTTTTTTTTTTTTTTTTTTCTTTAAAGTGGTGGACGAGTTTGCTGAAGCTAGAGAGGTTTTTTGCACCGGGACTACACGCTACTGCGACTATCGAACTGCTTCTCCAGAGCAAACCGTCTTGCGAGAGACAAGAGGCGATATTCCTGGCTTGCCTGAAGATGATGACAGAGGTGCGAAAGCGTTGGTACCTAAACCACATGTGTTGTTTTGAGACTTGCCTGAGCCATCTGCCAATCTCTGCCTTTCCGAGGGATCTACGGCCCATCAAGATCCTTGCCAGGCTGAGAGACAACTGTGAATTACCGGTGCTCGACGCTTCTGGATGTGACAAGACTCGGTGCTATTGGCCATTTATCACGCTGGTCGAAATGGGTTTCTGGCATTATGCTGGGTTCACAGTATAGGCACTCGTTTTTTATTCGCCATGGAGCTGTATTTCTAAGCAGACCACTCGCCCGGCAATTTATTAGTCCATAAAATCATCGAATGTATAACATTACGCATCATTGACAAACAGTTACAGAGTTGCTTATTTCTACAAAAGGGATTCACGATGACATCTAAATATATGCTTGTTATATGCTTGTGCGCGAATCGGCTAAAAAAGTATCCATACGAACAAGGGCTAGTGATTCAATGGCGTGTTTCCCTCGCCCGCAACTGTGTCTACTTTTCGTCAATGGAACAGCCAATAAAGATGGCAGTACTCAAGGACAAATAACGAGAAAAAAAGTGTGGCGACAGTAAATTGAGGGTAGGAGGAATGGGCTGCTTTTCTATCTACTGAGGAAGCTTTTTTACAATACTCGGCTGATATATGGAATGAGTACGCAAAAACGGTTATCCCACGGTAAGTTGGTTCCTTGTCGATCGATGCTTTCTATTTATTCATTTTCTGTGTGCTCCACCCCCAGACCTGATACACACGTCTCATCCACGGGGATGTGCTCTTCTCGTCCAATTATCCTGTGCTGATGTCTAGAATAACAATCCCTCTGAGTGGTTCTCAAAGCGATTTGCTGATCTATCTGAGCAATTGATTCGTGCGGGACAGGTTTAGCCAGTTTATGTGCGTGCGCCTGCGCCTGTGTTTACACCTGTTTACCTGTTTGTATCACAACAAAAGACATGAAGTAATTGCGCCGTGAGCGAATTGCGCAAAATGTTCTTTTGCTGCACCCGCTGATCTATTCGCACTACAAGACTGTACCTCAGCGATTGAGGCAGGTTCACCGCCATTTTGCTTTTACAAAAAAGTACGAAAGGGTTTGTTACGCAGGAGCACAGGGTGCTCGTGTGCTTCCTCTCTATTCCTTCTCTTCAAGCCCTTGTTTTATGTCCGAGATGGGCTGAAGACCGAAATGGATGCGAGGATGGGAGACTGTGAAATGTTCACATTCCTGCCTTCTTTGTTGCTTTTGCTATTTGGATTTAGAGGTACTGATTACTTGGCCAACCTGGGGTCTATCTTTATCACCGATTCGCTCGTCGGCGGAGAATGGATAATGGATAGCGAAGTGGGGAGAGAGTGTTCTATGTTGTTTAATAGCAAAATGCATTTTTTTTTTTGCGCGTGTATCCGCTGGCATCGGAATAAAAGGGCCGAAGAGTATGTTGTAATTGAAAAGACCGTACTTTATGAACTACTACAGCCCATGAATGAACTATATAGTAACTATGTTCTCTCATATGGTAAGGAATCAGACCAAGACTCTATCCGTTTCAGTTGTCCATTGCAGGTTGCGTGGGTTGACAGCATTGATCATTCCTGCGCTCTTGCAAGTGCGGATACAAGTACAGAGGATCAGGGCTTGTCCTACTTGCCATTGGAAGGAGTGAGTGAATGAAGGATACCAAGACAGGATGGGTAATACCATGGAACACTGTTCCAAATCCGAAAAATAAAATAGATGTAGGTAAAATCCTGTTCTGGGCGTTCATTCCGTGGGATGTACATCCCGAGTAGGCTATGGTTTGCTGCACAACTTGTTTGTTTGCAAAGAGAGGAAGGTGAACGCATTGCGAATGCTGCTAATCAGTCTTACGAGAGAGCAATCGCCATATAAAACGAACCCCATCCCACCGCCCTTGGACCCCGTCAACAACGGTCTCATTTATCTTCTTCATTCTCAAACTGTCCTCACTCGATACCCAGCATCTCGCAAACATTCATTCGCAAGAGGTATTGTCGCAACGTCAATTGTGCCTGTTCGTTTCCATTCTGAAAGAAAAGTGACCAGAAAATTGCTTCTCTCTTCACACCTTCATACCTTCTCCCCTCTCTCGATCTCTTCTCTGCCACCAACATCGCATTTCTGCATACCTCCACATAATCACCTCCTCACACACTCACACCCTCTCTCTCCACCTCAACACATACCAGTCGACAGTCGATTCTCATCCAACGGTACCACCCTTCTCTTCCTCTCGTCTTCATCTTTATTTGCTTATCCCCTTGGCACTCAGCCTTAACAGAGGACTGACCCCATCCCTTTCATATCGCCCGCTATAGCAGATAATCCTCTCTGCTCATGTCCAACCCAAGTGACACACCCTTGGGCGATGGCGACCCAAGGCAGCCAGGAATCCTGCGCAACCCTTCCCTGCAGCCATCTAGCCAGCACCCAGGACAACACCCTCGTCCTCAAGAAACTGTCGTGTCTGGTCTCAATAATGAGAAACAACAAGTCGATGACGACGACACCGACGAAGATAACGATTCCGAGAACGGTTCCGAGAACGGCACCTACGAGGATGCTATCAGCGGTCGTTGGGGTGAAGGTCCCTCGCGCGTGAACGTCGTCGGAGCCGAAAAGGACTTTAAAAGCCTTGAGCGCAAACTGACGAGACGATCGTCACTCTACCGTGTTACCACTGGCGAGAAAACCCAGGATGATGGCGGTGACTTTGATTTAACAGAGTACCTTAAGAACATTGTGCCCCAAGCACAGGCCGCCGGAATCAAAGGTCGTAACCTCGGTGTGGCCTGGGAGAACCTCGAGGTCTTAGGTGAGGGTGTCGGAGCGCAGCATATCGCCGTGTTTGCGGATCCATTTATCGGTCTTGCGAATCTGGTTAACCCATTCTTCTGGGCCAAGAAATGCTTTTCCCGTGGACAGAAGCGACCAAAGGTCATCACCAAGACGATTCTTCATCCCATGAACGGATTTTGTCGTGATGGTGAGATGATCTTGGTCCTGGGTCGCCCTGGAGCCGGATGCTCGACCCTCCTGCGTGTACTCGCCAACGAGCGCAAGAACTACAAGCAGATCACGGGTGATGTCACCTATGGCCCTTTCACTGCTGAGGAGATTGCAGTGCACCATCGTGGCGAGGTCTTGTACAACCAAGAAGGTAATATATTTACTTGAAGTGAACATGTCCCAAGGAACGGATTTTTTTTTTTTTTTTTGCTCTGCTGTCATGGGTGCTATTGCTATTTTTGTTCATGACATCCAAGCTACGACGTTTTTGTTCAAGGCGAAGTCTAACATGCAGTTCTTGCTCTCTATCAATTGCGAAAATAGATGACTTCCACTATCCAACCCTGACGGTGCGCCAGACCCTGGAGATGGCTCTTAAAACCAAGACACCCTCGAAGCGTTTGCAGGACCACCGCAAGGACTTTGTCAGCGAGTTCCTCAGCGTCCTCACAAAGATGTATGGTCTCACGAAGCAGGTTGATACCGTCGTCGGAAATGCCTTTATCCGTGGTATTTCCGGAGGAGAGCGCAAGCGTCTTTCGATCGCTGAGCAGATGGCCACTCGCTCAGCTGTCAACATGTGGGACGGTTCCACTCGCGGTCTCGATGCCTCCTCGGCTCTTGATTATGTTAAATCACTGCGTGTTCAGACCGTAAGATCACCTCTTATTAATCTTTAGTATCCACCTCGGTTCCAGGTCATGTCTCACGCGTTTGAAACAATCCATACTTTTCTATCCGATCATTTCCATATAGAACCTGCTCAACAAGGCAACCGTCGTCACCATCTACCAGGCTGTAAGTTTAGTACCACGCTGCTTTCTCGCTGTCTACTACCATCATTGTTCCAGCATGGATACTAAGTTCTCACATTCTCTATTTGGCAATGTGTCATTAGTCTGAGAACATCTATGACCTGTTCGACAAGACCTTACTGCTTTACGAGGGTCGCTGCATCTTCTTTGGTCCAGCAAATGAGGCGCGCCAGTATTTCATCGATCTTGGATTTGAATGTCCCGCTCGTCAAACCACAGCGGATTTCCTCACTGCTATCACGGATCCTCATGAGCGCAAACCTCGCTCTGGCTTCTCTGGCCGTGTTCCTCGCTCCTCCAAGGAATTTGAGGATGTGTACAAGGCCTCGCGCTACTATGAACTGGAGGAGCAGCAGCGTATCGAGTATCGGGGCCAGGTCCAAGAGGTCAACCCTGTCGATGATTTCAAGGAGGCGACAAAGCAGACGAAGCAGAAGCACGTTTCGGTCCAGGACCCTTACACGATCAACTTTGTGGCTCAGGTCAAGGCCCTGACTGTGCGCCAGTTCCAGCTCACAAAGGGAGACATGACCTCCGTCGTCTCCCGTTATGCCTCCAATGTAGGACGCCGTTACCTCCTGATAATGTAGTGCTTGTATAATGAGGAAGACACGCATTTCTAACACAGATATTTTGTCGACCATATTTTCTAGGTGATCAAAGCTATCATTGTCGGAAGTGTCTTCTTCCTGTTGCCCATGTCTGCCAACGGTGCCTTCACTCGTGGAGGTGTCTTATTCTTCTCCCTGCTCTTCAACGCCCTGATCTCTCAAGCTGAATTGCCAATGGCTATGCAAGGTCGTCCGATCTTGTACAAGGTATGTTCAGGATTATTTGAGACGAGTTTGTTAGTGTAGCTTTGGATATGCAGTTAACATATTTTGCTGTCTTTTGTTTCATGTGTTCTTTAGCACAAAGGATTCGCCATGTACCGCCCTGCTGCCTTTGCGATCTCACAGATCTGTGTCGATATTCCCCTGGTTATTATGCAGATTCTTCTGTTCTCTGTCGTGCTTTATTTTATGTCAGGGCTGCAAAGGACTTTTGTCAAATGGCTATTATTCTGTATCATTCTATTCCTCTGTGCTCTCTGCATGACCGCATTCTTCAGAATGGTATGTTGTCTGGGATTCGATGCTATGCCTTACGATCGGGTTCTCGAGTCCAACGTAGGTTTAACTCAATCGCTCCACACCTCTTTGCTATATAGTGGGCAGCAGTCTCGGCCACCTTCGATGCTGCATCGCGTAACTCTGGTCTGATTCTCTTGGCCTTGATCTTGTATTCCGGATACATGATTCCGTACCAGTCCATGCATCCATGGTTCATCTGGATCTTCTGGATTAATCCGCTCGCATATGCATTCAAAGCCCTGATATCGAACGAGATGACGGGATTGACGTTTGACTGCGCCGGTCCAGCCATGATTCCTCGTGGTCCCTCCTACACTGACATCAACTATCAGGTCTGCACCCTCGCTGGGTCCAAGCCCGGTACCACCCTAGTCGATGGATCCGATTACCTATATGCCGCATATCGTTACAAGACATCCGAAATGGGACTCGATATCTTGGCCGTTATTCTCTTCTGGCTGTTCTTTGTCTTCGTCACATGCTATGCGCTCGAGAAAATCGAGTTCGGCAAGGGTGGTTTCAGTACCAATGTCTACAAGAAGGGCACCCATCTGGCAGAGCCCCATCCTGAGGACGAAGAGACCCTTCACAACGCCTCGGGATCCACTGTCAACAGCGTTGCCGTTGCACCCAAGGCTAACGTCCAGAGCGATAAGGGTGACTCAACTATTGAGATCGCGGATATGGCCAAGGGATCCGTTTTTGCCTGGGAGAACCTTAACTACATTGTTCCTTACAAGTTCGATCCTTCGGGCCAGAAGCAGTTGTTGACCGACATTGCGGGTCTTGTCAAGCCTGGAACCATGACCGCTCTGATGGGATCCTCCGGTGCCGGAAAGACGACTCTTCTGGATGTCCTCGCTCAGCGCAAGAACGTCGGAACCGTTTCCGGAACTGTCGAGGTCGATGGCGAGCCTCTTCGTCGTGATTTCCAGCGGACGACCGGATACTGTGAACAGCTCGATGTCCATGTCCCCGAGACTACTGTCCGTGAAGCCCTCCAGTTCTCTGCTTACCTTCGTCAGCCCGCTAATGTTTCTGAGGCCGAGAAGGATGCGTACGTTGAAGAGATTATTAAGATTCTTGAGATGGAAAACATTGCGGACGCTGTCATTGGTACCACTGAGTCTGGTTTTGGTATCTCGGTCGAGGAGCGCAAGCGTTTGACAATCGGTGTCGAGCTCGTGGCCAAACCCAAGTTGCTGTTCCTGGACGAACCCACCTCTGGTCTGGATGCTCAGGCGTCGTACAACATCATGCGTTTCATGCGCAAGTTGACGGATCAGGGTCAAGCTATCCTGTGCACTATCCATCAGCCCTCTTCCCAGTTGTTTGCGTTCTTTGACGACCTGCTTCTGCTCGCCAAGGGTGGAAGGACCGTCTATTTCGGTGACCTCGGCCCAGACTCTTCTATGTTGATCAGCTACTTCGAGAGGAACGGTGCACCCAAATGCGCTCCCCATGCCAACCCTGCCGAGTATATCCTGGATGTTGTCAACGCCCGCCATTCTGGACTCGAATGGCCCCAGATATGGGATGCCTCGCCTGAGCGGAGGGAGCTCTCGTCTGCCATCCAGGCCACACGCAAGCATCCACACGATGCCAGTGGCTCTGGTTCGCATCACCAGCGCCAGCATGATGATGCGCTGGAGTACGCCTCAGGTACCAAGTTACAGCTCAAATATGTCTTCAAGCGCATGTCCCGCACCTACTGGCGACTACCTCAGTATAATTTCGGCCGTATCTTCATGATGATCATCTTTGCGCTCCTCAATGGATTCTCGTTCTACCGACTGGGCGGATCCAAGGTCGATCTCCAATCCCGTGTGTTCGTCGTTTTCCAGATCATGGTCATGGCTGCCTTGCTTGTCAACATGGCCCAACCCCGGTTCCATACGGAGCGTCAATGGTTCTACCGCGAGCTCGCTGGAAAGTACTACGGATGGATGCCCTTTGCAGCGTCGATCGTCCTGATCGAGATTCCCTATGTGATCCTGGCGGGAACCGTCTTCTTCCTGGTCTTTTACTGGACAGTCGGATTCGTGTCGAGCTCGATCCTGACGTTCTTCACCTGGTTAATGTTGATCGTCTTCTGTTTGTTCGCGGTCACGCTGGGTCAGGCTATTGCGGCGCTCACGCCTTCGACGACGGTGGCAGCGCTGCTGAACCCGTTTATCTTTTCGTCACTGAACTTGTTCTGCGGTGTCATGATGCCAAAGGCCTCGATGCCTAAGTTCTGGTCCTCGTGGATGTATTGGCTTGACCCGTACCACTATGTGATCGAAGCCTTGGTTACTGTTCAGCTGCACGACGTCCGCGTTAGATGCGAAGGGGATGAATTCTCGGTGTTCAACACGCCCGCGGGCCAGACATGTGGGCAATACGCGGCCTCGTTCATGCAGGCTGCGACGGGATACATCAACAATCCGAACGATACCTCGAACTGCCAGTACTGCGAGTATTCGTACGGCCAGGACTTTTACCAAGGCCTAAGCATGGACTTTGCGTATCGCTGGAGGAACCTGGGTATCATGTGCATCTACTTGGTGTTTAATATCATCATAGTCGTGGTTGGTATCCGCTACCTCAAGTGGAACAAGAGGTAAACGCGCGATCCAACGCGTCTCTATTTTTTTTATTTTTTATATTCGAGGCCTTTTATTTTTAGATAGCCCCACGTAATCTCCATAAAGCAATAAAAGCTTTTTTATGTTTCTTTAAATGACTGTGTAGTTTATTACAAAGTCTACAAAGGCAGGAGCGACGCTGCCATTGGGAGGCAAAAAGTTTTTTTTTTTTTTTTTAGATGAGTATTGTACAAACGTGTGTGTGTGTGTTGTGTGTGATGATATGCTAAAGGGCAAAACTTGAGAACGAAGAAAATTAAATGAAAGAAAAGATCGATGCTCTTAAAAAGTGACCTTTGATCCCTGGAAGGAACCGAATCCACCACGGTTGGTCGTGGAACCACCGCGTCCTCCACGGGCACCGCCCGCGCCACCACGTCCACCACGAGCTCCACCACGAGCACCGCCACGAGCACCGCCACGACCGCCTCGTCCGCCACCACCGTATCCACCACCACCGTATCCACCACCGCCACCCTCCGCACGCTCAGGCTTCTTTCCAGCGAAATCCAAACGGCAAGGACGTCCTGCCAGATCAGATCCGTTCCAGGCAATCGCAGCTTTAGCCTCATCAACGGTCGAGAACTGGATATAGCCGAATCCTTTAGGCTGGCCGCTCTCACGATCTGTGGGCAGACGAACCGACAGGATCTGACCGCATTCCGCAAAGGCGTTACGCAGATCGTCTTCGGTCGCAGTGAAGGACAAGTTGCCGACGAAAAGCGTGTCGCTGGCCTCACCCTGGGGGGTGTTGTTGAAGGACTTGGCCTCCTTCTTCTGGGGGCGGCCCTCGGAGAGGTCAACGCGGATGGCACGACCGTCGATTTCCTTGCCAGCGAGGGCCAGTGCGGCCTGGGCACCCTCAGCATCGGCGAACTCAATGTAGGCGAACCTTTTTTCGTGGAAAATTTGGGGTGACAAAGTGGCAAAGTAGTTTTGATGCGGGTTAGTATGTGAAGCAGATGCAGTTGGGGTCAAGACAAGCTGTGCGGAGCAATTAAACAACGAAAAGAATGTAAGAACACATACCCCTTGGAGCGCTGAGAGTCGCGATCGGTAATGACACGGACATCGGCGATTTCACCGCACTCGGCAAACTCGGAGCGGAGCCAGTCATTATCGACATTCCAGGAAAGACCGCCGACGAAGACGGTAGTCGAAGCGCCATTGGCAGCGGCAGGGGTCTCGGTCTTGGGCTTCTTGATGAGGGGGGTTTCCTCGGTATCGGCCTTGCGCTTTTTGTTGTCGGAGTCGTCCTCCTTTTCGTCGTCAGAGTCATTATCCGAATCAGAGGAAGAAGAACTGTCCGAATCAGAGGAAGAAGAGGAGCTGTCAGAGTCCGAAGAAGAAGAGGATTCTTTCTTCTCGTCGACGTCCATCTTGGTGTCCTCGTCGCCCTCCTTTTCGTCATCAGCATCCGAGTCGGAATCCGAAGAATCGTCCGAAGACGATGAGGATGAAGACGAAGAAGAAGACGAGGAAGAAGACTCGGCAGCCTTCTTAGCCTCCTCCTTGGCGGATTCGGCCTCGTTCGAGTCTGAGTCTGAGTCTGAGTCGGATGAAGAGGAAGAGCTATCAGAGTCAGAGTCAGAGTCAGAGCTAGATTCCTTAGCCTTTACTTCCTCCTTCTTCTCCTCGTCGTCAGAGTCGTCAGAGGAATCAGAGTCGGAAGAGGAGGAAGACGAGGAGGAAGAGGAGGAGGAGGAGGAGGAGGAGGAAGAAGAATCGGAGTCAGACTCGACGACAGGCTTCTTTTCCTTCTTGCCGGCCTTGTTGGCGGTCTTGGAACCTTTTGCAGCGACGACCTTTGCCATTATGTTGAAGTTGTTGATGAGGTTGATGGAGGGGAAGTGAGAATAGGAGAGGTATTTGAAGTGAAAGGGTACATGTACCAAAGTGAAAAAAAAAAAAAAAAAGGCAAGTCACTCTGTAAACATGTGCACGTGAGCATTTTAAACAGAAATGACGTTTTTACGTAGAAAGGAGAGGAGGAGGAGGATGGATGACAGTCGGCTGGGAGAGGGGACACCGAGCTGTGTGCCTGGACAGATTTCGGATTGTCCCTTGGTTTTTTCGCGAGTAAGAGATACAGATAAAAGGGAATGAAACTGATTTTAAGGAATATTGCGATAGGAAAAATAGCCGGTGAAGGAGAATGAGCTAGGCGTGCGTGTGTATGCGGCAGGCAAGGACTTATCCTTGGTTCATATCAACTGGGGCAATGGGACCATTGCCCAAGCTGTAAGTATAGCTGTGTAGGAGGGATATGGGCGAGGGCCAGGAAAGTGATGTCATTCATATCTTGAAAGAGACTTCTTGAATCCCTCTCTCACTCTTTCTCTCTCGCTAATTCGCTCGCTCTGCAGTCTCTTATTATTATTATTATTTTGCTTCATCTGTTCTGCTTGCTTTACTTTATCCATCCCTCTTTAATAATCCCCATCACCATCCGCTTTCATTAACTGCCAAATTACTTCTCCTTCACACAGACGCACATACACAATATCTCTCTCCCTCTCTCTCATCGCCTCCTCCTCACACTCGCCTGTCTCATATATAGCCTGCACTACTCGCACTACTCGCACTACCCAGAATTGTATGTATGACCATGTACCCGCTTGTCCACACCAGACTTGACTCAACCCGCACGCAAGCTGATTTATAATCCCTGCCTGTCTGCTACCTACTACTTGCTACCCCATCCCTCCTGTTCCATCACACACTCTCTACTCCACCTGGCATCCTTTCCATCACCTCATTCTTCCTCCCTTATTTTTTGTGCACTCTCAATTCCTTTTGTGCACTCTCAATCTCGTTTGCGCTCACTTGCAATTTCGTCATTTCATTACATACATATTCCCCACACACTTTCATACTCTCGGAAGCGGGTAATTGCTTGTTTTACAACTTCACCATGTCACACTTTTTTTTTTAACACTAGGCCTCTTTATTGTATTTCTTCCTGGCTTACTTCGTTCATTCCATCTGTCAGTGTTTTGTGTTGTGTTGCGCCTGCGAGTGCTTTCCTTTTCTTCCTTCCTGTGGGTTATTCTCTTCATCAGTTCTGTCCCTTGAAATGTGCTTGGGCTCTTTCCTTCTCTCCCCTCCTGCAATCTTCACTCTTACTCGCACTCTCACTTCCCTCAAGCAGCCGAAGCAACAAAACAATAACAAACAGAAGCAACTACGTCTTATTTCCTTGCACTTACTCCTTTGTCCTTTCTTCCCTACGTTTTTTCTTTTTTGTTTACTTTCTGTGATTTGTCCTTTTACGGCCTATTCTTTGCCTAGCCGTCCATTTCTATTCCACGCAGTAACATCTGTTTTAGCTCTCTTCCGCCAGCTGAAAAAAAGTGAGAAAGGGCGGGGGGGGGGGGGGGGTTTTTTCTGGACTGCGCCCGACCCTATATTCTGTCTTGTATGTCACACATATACCTGTGTATACTTTATTATCTGTCCTTCTCGCATCTTTACTTGTGTCGACTCACGGCCTATATCAGTTAGCCATGTCGGCCATTGATACAATTCGTAAAAGTCTGGACTTTTCTCTGATATTCCCTGCTACTCCCGATAGGTAACTGAACGACTGGCGGCACTGCTATACGAGATTCATTGAACTGGATTGTTTGTCTTCCTTCTCTTAGCCCTCATTCCCAGTCCATAGCGTCCTATCAACCCAATAACAATATCCAACATCAGCAAATAACCTGCAGGAGAATCACAATTCGGCAATGACTACCGTTGGGTCTTTATCAGGAGACGTCGCTCCTGGCAACGAAGCACCTGGCAAGAATACCATGTGTAAATGATTTGTCCCGCACCACTTCCTTTATCAAGGAGAAAGCGCTTGTTTGAGAGTATCGTAGGAAGAGTTTAATCACGTACACCATTCTTTTTGGATTTATCACTGAATAGCAGACTTGCCACCATCGCCAACAAACTCAGTACCATTTATCATTGCGACATCCGCTGACGACGACAAAGATGTAAAGCTCGCTGTAGCGCCAACCAACGGTGGAAGTCCGATGCGTTATTTACAAGCGAGTTCAAAGCTGGACTTGGAGCCCAATCCATTTGAGCAGAGCTTTGCGGGCACGAAATCGGGGGCAAATAGCGGGAACTCTGAGGCCTCAGGCGAAACGCCCAAGCCAGTATTGCCACCTATCGAGGCAATGTCAGGACGACTGGCGCCAGGAACAGACCAATTTGGATGGGATGTGCAGTCCTTGCGCATGGGTCCACTATCACCATCCATGTTACAGGGACCTCAGAACCCAATTGCGTTTGACCAGAAAACGACTCAGAACCCGCTGCCTATCGGATCCTTCCCTTCATCAACCAGTTCCATGTCAACCATGTTTAGCTCTGGCGCACCTTTGGCAGTGAATGGACTTCCGTTTGTCGGTGCTCCAGGTCCTCTTCCTGTCCCCCCGCCAGTTGCTATTCACACATCGGAGCCCTATCCAGCCTACAACTCCGTCAATTCAACGTCACAACAACCGGAAACGCATCATCCAGTGGGGCCCCAGGGCGCTCGTCAGCACATGAACATGAACGACCGTTACATGCCGCCGCAGCCTCCTCAGCATCCCGATAATATGAATGGATATGGCAACCTGCATCTCCTCAGCCAAGCACAAGCTACTCACCGAGAAATGTGGATCAAGCGGGAGGGTGATTCTAACGGAAATGCTTCACATGGACAGCATTCTCAATCACATCCACACTCACAAGGCCCACCCATGGCATCTCAATCCCAATCTCGCCCTCATCCACTACAAGGGCCTCCCCAGAGCGGACAAAGCCTCCCAGGCATGCCTGGCATGGTTGCAGCACCTCAATTGCCGAAGAACGGCGTCGAGCCTGGATTTGTCCGAGGTGTGCGTCGCAGCAGAATGACATCGGATGACCTGAGCGATGATTCGGAGAAATCAAAGGTGTCGGGCAATGGTGGCGAGGGTACGACTGGCAACGCGAAGAAGAAACAGAACACTGGAGACGACAAGATGGATGAGGAGGAAAAGAGGAAAAACTTTTTGGAGCGTAATCGTCAAGGTAAGGGCCATCTTCTTTATTACCCATTGCCTCTGCGTTTATCTTTTTTTTTTTAACTTATTTAACTTATTTTATTTCGCCTGACCCGCAGCTGCTCTAAAATGCCGACAACGCAAGAAGCAGTGGCTGGCGAATCTGCAGCAAAAGGTCGAGTACTTGACAACTGACAACGAGCACCTTCAGAGCCAGACAGCGGCGCTTCGTGATGAGATCATTCATCTCAAGGCACTGTTGCTGGCACATAAGGACTGTCCTGTCGCACAGGCCAACGGCGTATATCCGGAAACGATCAGCTTGTCGAACAGCCATAACCATGGAGGAGGCATGATGGGACCAGATCGCTCGGGTTACTCGATGCAGGGTGGCCCTGGGCCCCAGGGCCGGGGGGGACCAAATCAACCACGGGGATCGCTTCCGCTACCACCGCCGCCACCTGGCCATCACCACGGAGGTATGCTGGGCGGACCTAGGATGGCGAACCTGCCCATGGCATCGTCGGCAGCAGGGAGTGGGCGACCGATATCGATGATGCAGGATATCACGCCCGGAGCATCTCCGAACCAAGGGCAGGCGCATGTGCGGTATTAGATAATGGCATGATAAACCCTTTACCTTGTCTATATTCTGGGCTATGCTGGCTGTTGTTGTTCTGTTCTATCATCATTTTGTTTCGTCGTCTTCTTTATTTGCAAGCGTTCGTTCATGTACTTTACCATCCATCCTACTTCACCCTATCTTTTTGTCCTTCCTTCGCTTCATGCGTCTGTTGTTTCGCTGTTTGTGTTTGTGTTTGTGTTTGTGTTTGTGTTTTTTTTTTTTTTTTTTTTTTTTTTGGTCAGGCAGCTCTGTTGTTCTTTTATCGTACTAAAAATGAAAGAAAGAAGGCGCTCGCTTTGCTTGTCAATCTCTTCTCCGGCGTATCCACCCATCTATTTATCTGTGTAAGAGGAATCTATTGTTTAATTAAGGCGGTGCCCATGTCACTCCGCGGACTACACCCCGAGCGTGTTGTTGGAGTGCGTTTGTGCACCCTTTCTCCAAATGTTCAAATGAAGCAGGACCAAGTGCACGATGTTGATTGATCACAAGGAAATCAACAAACCTCTCCATGGGCGTCAATGCTAGTATGGTGTGATATGGTGGGTATTGCGTACTATCGCCCTCGCCCTTTTTTTTTTTTTTTTTTTTTTTTTTACGGCCACACAGGACGGTAACCAAGTACAAAAGCGCATTCCTCCATCCACTTCTCTCTCTCTTTTTTTTCTTTTTTTCTTCACAACCACTCCTCCTCTTGTTACGGCCAAAATTCCTCATTTCATCATCAAGAATGATCCCACTAGCCCCCGACCGCGTTTGGGCGACGTACCTCAGCAATCATAACTATGTCCTCGGCTGCCTCGTCCTGGCCTACTCGCTCCGCAAGGTCCGCTCACGCTACCCTCTCGTCGTCATGGTCCCACTCTCACCTCCGTTGGATCCCGAAGACCTCAGGACCCTAGAAAATACCTCGAACATCATTGTCAAATCCATTGATATCTCGATCTGGGGACACCCCAAATGTGTAACGGCAACTGCACAGGAGAAACCTGAGTATCTCTGGGATTACTATGCGCATACATGGGCCAAAATGGGAGCCTGGGGACTGGTGGAGTACCGGAGAGTCGTCCTGTTGGATTGTGATATGTTGGTAAGGTTGAATATGGATCAGTTATTGAATGACCGAGCCGAGGACCAGAAGATGGAAGAGGAAGGAGGAATGAATGAGAGAAAGGTGCAGTTAGGATATGCAGATGCGACTCTGGATCTGCCGGAGGGGTGGGTTGCGGCTGCGCATGCCTGTACTTGCAATCCGATGCAGAACCCAAAGTATCCAGCATCATGGTGAGCGCAGTGTTCTTTCTCTCTTGAACCTGAAAAAAACACAAAAAAAACGTGAACTTACCAGCCCGCCTTTATCAATTTCATGTTCAGGACCCCGGACTCTTGCGCGTATTCGCAATACGTCGGCAACCCCTGCCCTCCCTCCCACAACCACCCTCAAACTCAAGTCCAAGTTCAAGTTCAGGAAAAAAAGGATCATATCTCCGCCTTAGCGATAGCGGGAGGCTCTCACAGACGTTCCTATTTCAATTCTGGTCTCGTCGTCCTCACTCCGTCTTCACAGCAACTCAACCAAATCCTCACCGCCTTCAATAACATCACCAGTCTAAATCAGTACCTCTTCCCGGATCAAGACCTCCTCAACGAAGTTTTCGCGGGACGCTGGATCGCCCTTGGATACGGTTACAATGCCCTCAAGACCCTGCCTTCTGCACACTCACCCATCTGGAAAGAGGACCTGGCCTTCCCGCCCTTCGAACTCAAGGATAAGGCCGCGGTTATCGAGGACACATACTGGTCTTCGACAACAACTACTCCGAACACAGACACGTGCACAGACACGGAAATAGCCCGTCCCAGTGTCATGCCCGTCGTCAACATTCACTATATTCTCGAAAAGCCATGGGATGTCAAGGATTTGGAAAAGGCTAGGCAAGAGTCTAACCGCTTCGTCAATCTCTACCGATGGTGGTGGCAAGCCCATGACGAGCTGATGCAGGAGACCAAGAACGGCTCTACCTGAGCAAACCATTGTGATACTTTGGGGTAGATAATATTCCCCGTTCGTAAATACGTATATACATATATAAAAGTGTGGTCTAAAGAGCGAACGCTTTATTTTGCGGTTTTAGAAGTTTTTTTTTCTCACTTGACCTGCTTTATGAATGGATGCTGTAGGGCTTCCTGAGGTGTGATCCGATGTTCGGGGTTCAAATGCAAGCACCGCTCTAGCAGATTGATAAAGTGGTTCAGCTGAATCACATCCGCTGGTGACATGTTCGCCGTATATGGCATCAAACGCGTCCTCAGATCCTTCGTCGGCTTTGAGTATTGGATTGTCCGGATTACGTCCTTCTGCGTTACCTTCTCCACCTCTACCGACAAAAAGTTGCAGTCCTCGTCAAAGTGGTTCAGGAAGAACTGTCCCCTCCGGAGCATCTTTTTCGAAAACGGTCCCTTTAGATCCATCATGTGCTTCAGCATCTGGTTATTGCTCCGTCCCGAAAACAGGATCCTACCCGTGAACAACTCGTACAGCGTGCATCCGATCGACCACATATCCAACGCTGGATCGTAGGGTAGCCCCAGAATGATTTCTGGCGCTCTGTAAAACCGACTGACCAAATACGGCGTGATTTCGTTCTCCATCGTGTCCGACGCCGATCCCAAGTCACACAGCTTCAGCACGTTCTTCGCATCGTTCACCAAGATGTTGTCCGGCTTGATATCTGCGTGGAGAATGTTGCTCTTCTTCAGCAGCGAAAGCGCCAGGAAGAGCTGCTGCGCATAGATTCTGACCGCATTGATGTTGAGTCCGACGTCCTTGCCAAACTTCTTCAGAACCTCACGCAGGTTCATCGACAGTGATTCGAAGACCAGACACAAATGTCCACGATGGTCGAAGTGGCGCAACAGGCGAATGACGTGCTTACGATTGTGGGGATCGTTCGCCATCAATCGCTTCAAAATGTCCAGCTCCTTCTTGCCTGCCTTGTACATCGTCTCATTGCTTCGCAGAATCTTGATCGCAACCTCTGCATCTTCCTCCTTAGTATCACGCGCCTTCACCACAGACGAGAACACTCCCTTGCCCAACACACTTGTCACCAAGTACCGGCCGTCCAGCAGTTCACCATGCCCGAATCCTACCATTATGAACAGCATGCAGAGATGTTAGTATTTAGACATAAACATGTACCCTATAATACTCCGTGAACAACATTCTGACGTACTGTAGTACCCCTCGGCGTCGTCCCAGTTGTCCACCAATGTCGGGTTGTAGTCGGCCGAGGTCTCTGCCACTGCTGGCTTGACTGTCACTTTGCTGGGAACAGCAACGTCCGGTACATCGCCTAGTGCAAACATATCGTCCTCGGGATCCGCAAACATATCGATTTCTGCCGAGTCTTTGGCCGGAGCTCTCTTCACCTCTGCTGGCAAAGATGGCGCTGACTCATGATAGTCCGCTGCAGACATATCGTGCTCCGTATCGGTTCCATCGGTAACACCTTCATTGGCATCCTTGGACTTCAGAATAGCGATCTCGCCTGCTGATTTCCTCATTGACATCAAGCTGCGATGGAACGGTCTGTCTTCCACGACACTCGTCGGTGTGCCTGGCTGACTCTCCATGGTGGATCCGGGCGTGCTGACTGCGATGGGACTATTCGGCGCGATAGACAGAGGTGATGCTGTTGCAGTCACGACAGGAGTGAGTCCTGATGAAGATGGAGTAGTCGGTGTTGATATAGCTGGCTTTTCCGTCTTTTTGAGTCGATCCAGGATTTCCTGTCGCTTCCTGCGCCGCTCTTCCAGTAACGCTGCCTCGTCCTTTTCCTCTTCAATCAAAACTGGTATATCTATCTCTGACTCTTTTTCTTCCGCCTTCTTCGGTTCTTCAGTCTTGGCCGGTGTCTTAGCGGCGACAGGTGCAGGTTTTGGGATCTCCTTCGCATGCATCTTTGTCTCCTTGAGAGCAATACTCTTCACATCGCTGATATGAAGAAAAAAAATAGAACACAATAAAAAGATTTTGTTAATCACGGTCGCCTATAGTTGAGAGACCCAAACGCTGTTTTTAGCAAATATGATGAGCCTCACCTGGCTGGTTTGTCCGCTTTCTTTTCATATTCGCGTTCATCCTTTGCCCTGCGTTCCCGCGAAATATCCCTATCAGAGCTTTTACTATAGCTGTCATCGCGACGATGAGATCTCTCTCGCGAATAGCGTTCCAGCTCCTGCTCAAAGCTCCGATCAGCACGGTCGTCATATTGCCTGCCAGAGGTCATGATTGGGTGCGAGGATCGATAGTCTTTACTGGAGGAAGGTCGAGAAGAACGTTCCCTGTCATAATCCCGACGATCAGAATACGATCGGTCTCTAGAGGACTTCCTTTCATCCCTATCACAATGTTTTACAAAAAAAAAAAAAACTCGTCGGTTAAACCAAAAAAAAAAAAAAAAAAAAAAAAAAAAAGCAGAATATATTCACATGTAGAGAGCCAACATGAAGCCTAGTTCAGATATGACATACCTGCGGGATGATGAGTGTCTTGGACTGTCAGACCTTTTCGAACGACTGGTGCTGTGGCGATCGGAACGACTGTAGTGACGGTCAGACGATCTATCTCGGCGACGGCGGTAAGAGTCGTCATCGTCCCTGCTGCGAGAATGTCTACGACTGGAGCGGTGCGAACTTGTCGTACTCCTATGACCGGATGAGGCCGTGGAGCCTACAGGACTTGCAGGAGCCATCTCGATGTCCTTATCAGGATGAGGTGAGCTGGAAGGATCCCCAATGTGGATGGCCTTCAGGTCCTCTGACGGACTCGAGCGTGAGGACACTGGAGTGGACGTAGACAAGGGGAGATTGGAGGACGACACAGGGTCTGCGTGGTGGAGTTTTCGCATTTTGGCGGGTGAGTTTGAGTCATGCAACGTGTTTGAGGACGTGGGCGAGGACATGAGTTCAGGAACGCTACTCTTAACCTGATACTCCTGCTCTCTGACGTCCTCGTGCGTGTCTCCAGAGGCAGGCGCCCGTCTTTTGCCTCGAGATGTTTCGTCCGCAGAACCAGGTCGTCCTGTGGCAGTCGAATGGTTGGTGGCGGGTTCCGTTCCGTTCAGGGGGGCCTGGCCAGGTTCATCCAGCTCAACGATCTCGCCTTCTTCAGCCTCAACGAGGTCATTCTGCATAGGAGGAGACATAACGAAATGACTTATGAGCAAGACGGTTCAAGCGAAGCAGTAGCACAAAGACGAATTGATGCGCAAGTATTGACGGAGTAATAGCGCAGTCTTTACGGTGAGATAAGAGAAAGAGGACAAATGGAGTGCAATGGAGTCAAAAGATGTGTATGGCCGTATCAAAATACCGAACGATGGAAGGATCTAGGTTGTATTTAGCAATGAACGATGGAGTGAACACGCTGACAAAATTGACCTTGCCGCTTGAAGTGGCAAAGAAAAGAGAGAGAAAGAGAGAGAGTGAGAGACAAGGAAGGATTGATGATGGCGATAAAGTCTTTTTTTGTTTGCTTTTCTTTTTTTTTTTACGTTTAGTCGATTGTGCTTTGGAGTAAGATCTAGGGTGAAGGAGTAAGAGGATGCGTTGCATTCGAAGGGGCTGGTCGATCAACTGTGCGTTCAAGGAAAGAGGGAGGACGCCAGTATCTGTTAAGGGTTATAATAATGCACCCAGTGACCCAGCCACAGGATCCTTTTTGCATGACCAACAAGAGGGCGTAAAGTTGTATGCAACGGCTTTTCGCCACAAGAACTTTCTTCCATGCACTGTAGGCGCGTTCGCATTTTATATGCTAGAGCGTTGGCAAGCACCACCATCGAGTTGTAGAGGAAGCGTTTTCCGTTCGTGCAGCTTACAAGACTGACAACTAAGGTTGAATATGAACCTATTCTTAATTTCTCCAATCCAAAGGATTGGCACAACATTAAGCTCCTAATTGGTGGTGGTGCTCTGGAAGAGCGTGAAGAACACCGGACAGAGGCCATTACCAGCGAGACCCAAATTGAAACCACCGCTGCTGTCACGCGTGCCTGCGGGGTGTACTCCATCAAAGTGACGCCATGCTGGCGCCTCGGAAGCATACCATTTGGGCCTGAGTCTGAATAATATCCTCCATCTTGGCCGATGGGTGATAGGCCAGATGGAGAACTTCTATGCACCCAAGAATCCGATTATTGGCGCCTACTACATAGTTCACTTTAATAAAAGCGAGGAACCTTGCTTTATAGAGCGCGACCTTGTCGCATCCCCTCTTACGCTGCAACGCCTCGTCTTCCCCTGGATTGAGCACGCTTCTGATAAGGACTACAAGGATCAGCCTGAAAAGAAGAAGGACTGGGGGAAGGAATGCAACAAGGAGACGGAAGGTGTGGATCCAAACGATGTAGCAGAGGGTGACATATTCTGGGTAACAACAGCGACGATGAGGCTCTCTACCAAGCTGAACAGTAGTGCTCTACTCGACAGTATCGATTCCCTCAAGCTGCTTGTTCAAATGGACCGCACGATACTTCAGGACGCGGTTCTTTATATGGAGATCAACAGCGGCGACCAGACCTTGACCAACAGACTTATCATTTCATTGCAGGAGATATTTAAAAGCAAGATGTTCTTGGACTTCAAGGCCTAGATCCTGGACGAAATAAGTAGTCATCGCCAACACACGGGCATAATCAGCTCCAGCGTGCAAGTCGATAATCAGACCATGGTCGGTGCTTTCAATACCGTTGGTAAACAGATATAAGGGTTGCGAGCGGATATCTGATGGGAGATGAGTACGGTGCGATCAGAGGTGAGTGTGATGCGGACAGACATTGAAGCCCAACGACAGCACTGTGATCAAATGCATATGAGACTCCTTCATGCATAGAGGCCACAACATTATCCGCACGCTCCATTATTTATGCCTGTGAATAACTTCGCGTCCATTCAGCAGCAAGTGCAGCTACTGCAACAGCAGCTTCGCCAACAGCAGCCGCCGCAGCCGCCGCAGCAATTTTTTCAACAGCAGCAACAATTGCAACCGTCGCAACAACAGTAACTGCCGCAACAGCAGCTGCCGCAACAGATCCACCAATCATCATCGTCACAGCTCGACGATAGGCCCAGAGGGTACGTGATGCTGCCGGACAACGGAAAATTGACCGTCCGCCAAGCATGGGACGAATACCATGGTCCCATCGCGGCAGTAAGGCATCAAGGTTCGGCCTGGCCCTTTACCCAGCGCGCAGAAGGGCGTTACAACGCCGGCAGCAATTCATTGGGTTGGTTGAGGCGAGGGTGGAGGAGGGTCATTCCAGCGAGACTCTCCAGGACTTTCTGGATGCTATGGCGGCCCAATATAAGAACAAAACGATCAACTCAATCCGAGAAGAACTTCTTAAAGGATAGTACCACGAATATGAAGAACACTATTTTCAGCATCTTTATTGCTCTAGATTGCTACGATGACTTTTAGCGATGTTATGAGGCAAGAGCATATGGCAGCAACTGACGTTGAGGAGTTTCGAGAGGTTAGTGTCAAAGGATCAACAGGCAATTAAGGAGAATAGAGCTACGGGTCAGATGGAGCATGGGTGGCGGGTGGTGAGGTGGTGAATGGGGCGAGCAGGAGTGAATTGGTGTTTGAAGTAAATGACAGAGGGTTTGGCAGAGGATGGGAATGCGTGGAGGAAGAGAGAGAGGGGATGAAGCAGAAAGAGGTAATAGTTGACAGGTTGTTGGGCGATAGGAGCAAACAGTGATACCGCCTCTCAGGAACAACACCACGAGGGGACGACGTGCGTCCAAAAAAAAATCCGCAATCTAGAATTATAATGAAATAAAGGGCGCCAGAATGGCCTTTAGACTGGTTCGGAAATATTTCCCAGGCACTGGCACTCTCATTTCATTCCTAAACGAATTTGTAGACACAGGGGCAACATCCGTTGGTTGTTCCTGAATTGTGGTTTGGAGCTGAAGTAATGACATGCGCAGACAGATAAGCAGGTGGGCCACCAAACGGTCACTCTAGCAGACCTCATCTATAGACTACTGACATTACGCTTGAGAGCCTCTTCTTCCCTCGACTATTTCATCCGTCGTCTGTAGTTTGTAGTTGTTGTTTGTAGTTTGTAGTTGTTGTTTGTAGTTTTGTACACACAGCCATTCCTCAGAAAAGAAGCTAGTCCAAAATTGCTCCAAATTGGACCAGTTGGACAGCACAAAAAAATGAGCAGCTGAACCAGACTAGCACTGGGCTCTCATGCACTTCATTTTCCCCCCGCTTTGTCAAAGAGTTCACCCGCACAGGTTACACGCAGCTGAAGTATAGCGCCGTGAGCGAATGAGGCACTTTTTTTGATCAATGAATCAAAAACGACAGAGAACAGGGCTGCTCCGCTGATGGCCCAGCGAATCCTTCAGAGAAAAAACAACAACATCAAAGGTCAAAAGTAGATGATCTCCAAAGGCGTACTGTCGATGTCCAGATGGACAAATAATCCTATACCCGTCTCCAGCATTGCCGCCTTAAAAATGGAGACAGGCCACAGAAAGTGATAGTTAGAAAAAGTTTCACGGATGCAGGTGTTCAAGACATGATAAGAGACCCTCATGTATATATGTACCTTTTTTTTTTTTTGCTCCGCTCATTAAATGCCTGTAGCGAAACGGTCGTTACTCCACTTGTCCAGTCAAGGAAAATGCACTTTATGTCTACCCTTCCCTTCTATGGACAACATTGCTCAATTGGCCAAAACAAAGCGACCTCGCCGTTGCTCTCATCTCTTGCTCACTTTCTGTTACTCTCGCAGAGTAGACGGCATGCGCTAAATTGCATTTGCTTTTTCATATAGAGAGTTTAGACGTTTGATTGACTTGAGTGTTCGATTGCCTTTTGCTTACTATACACACTCCAAGCGAACGGTCGGGGTTAGTGGAAGGTTTTCCCTTAGTCGCTCACTACTCAGCCTGCCCGTTCCCTATATAACACCAGAGATCCCAGCCCCTACCCGCTTTTTCTCTCTTTTCTTTTTCTGTTATCGCTATTCACGACACGTAAACGGCCTTCCACCTCCCTCATTCTCCGAACCCCTTCCACTGCAATTCCTTGCAACCCCCACCCCTGTCTCTCCTACAGCCCCCCTTCTAAACCCTTCCCTTCCAACCGCCTACTTATCAAAGACCCTCCATCCCCTCACACCTATCATCAAACATCATCATGAAGTTCGCTCAGTTGTCCGTCCTCCTCATGGCCATGGTCATTGCCTTCATCGCTCTTGCCGAGGCCAAACCCACCCAGACTGTCAAGTTCGGGAAGAACTTGAAGGGCAAGTCCACCTGGTTCAACGGCCACGACTTGAAGGCCGTAAGTACACATCCTTAACGTGTCAACGCACGTATTGTCTGGATTTCTGCGTTCTCTCATTCATATTTCCTATGTCGGGCGTCAGTGGGAGGACTGAGTGGATTACACGTACTTACGATACTTTCTCCCCCTAATGAAAACGAAACAGGTCGCTTGCTACGGTGACTTGCTGGGCAACAGCCATGTCAACGCCGGCGACAGCTGGCACATCGCCGCTGTCCACATGGCCCACTACAAGGGTGGCGAGAAGACTGCCTGCTTCGAGTGCGCCAAGATCACCTCTGGCCGCCGCTCTGTCATCGTCCGCATCATCGACGACTGCGCCGGATGCGCTCCCAACCAGATCGATCTCACTGCCTCGGCCTTCAAGATCCTCGCTCCCCTTTCTCAGGGTGTTGTCAAGACCACTTATCAGTTCGTCCGCTGCCCCAGCCGCGGTAACCTCAAGTGGCCCAAGTCCCCCAAGATCCGCACCCACTAAAGACCCTGCTTAGTTTTCTCTTACAACTTCATCCTGCCATTCTTTTTTAACAGAACAACGAAATAGTAGCCGTTCCTTTTTAGCATAGAGTTCCTTTGATAGGACAGCCTAAAAGAAACGAAAAGGAGGTAGAGACACCTAGCACATATTTTAGATAAAGAAAACAGAGAATAGAGCTTGGTCTTTATTTTTTCGCCCTCAATACCTACTTGATGATCGTTCGGATCTTCTCATTTCCTTTTAGCATTATTGTCTTCATGTTACCAAAGCTGTTATTGCTGCTTCCTTCTTTAAGAATATATTTATATGTATAACATGTGGATGCGGATGCGAATGCATTGTCTTTCAAAATGCTTTATTTTTTCATTGTGCGCGGGAATACATCTATCTGCCTCACTGTCCTGCGTATAAAATTGAGTTTCAAGAAATTGCCTGCATAGCACCTGCCAAAATCATACGCGCCTGTGCCTGTGGGTGTGGGGGAGGCAATGCATGTATATACCATCCGGCAATTTACACATAAAAACTGCCCAATATCCAGAGAGCTGAGCCGTCAAATCAGAAACCTCAACCCAGAGAGCTCACACGACGCCCGTCCAGTTTCTAAAAGAACGTACGCATTCCTCCTCATTCCTTCGCTTTACAGAACTGAACAGGACGAACCGGGCTTTTTGGATCGTAGCTTACGAAACCCTCTAGCTCTCACGCTTTTCATTCTTTGGCGTTCTTGTCATACCAATTTCATTGTCGCTCTCTTGCACAGAAAACCCCCCCCCCCCACAATCGAACAATATAACGCGCATATAATGAGACAGAGACCATCCCCATCAAAACAAGAACGGCAACATCGAAAACGGAGGAACTGCATGCATGCTGCGGACGCCCCATATCCAGCAGGTAAACATCTCTTTTTACCGGGGATTACCGTTTTTGACGGTGGAGCATTCGGAGTATGCATCCATTTGGGGAGTGACACAAAACCTGCGCTGTCAAATTGGTTTCTGAGCGCATTTTTTTTTTTTTGTTCATTTATCTTCCATGTATACCATTTCAAGACTATCTTGACAGCGTGTCTGCTCGCCTTTACGATCGAGAGTATGTTTTTTTCTTCGCATGCTTTATTGACGCTGCTGCGAGTGGCATCAGATATAGGATACATATTAATAAGGCTTATATATGGCAGGGAGAAAGTGGGGTAGAAAACGCGGACTATGTTACAAAAGAAGAATAGGCTGTCGAACTGAACAGAGGGCGTAAAGTGATATTTTAGATGGGAATGATTCTCTCCAAGTGTGTAGGAAGGTATTTCCGGAACACTAACGGGCCCGCGATCATTATCACAAAGACCACGAACATGACTGCAAACAAAAGGCCGTATGTCCATGCAACCATGCGTCGCTGCGACCTCAACTTGGCAGAGAGAATTGGTGGGCGGATCTGTTTGCTCGGGCGCAACCAAAACAGCATAGTTGAGTGCCAACGGTCGACCCATGGGATCAGACAGATCGGGAACAGGAGGAACAGGATAATATGGCCCATGATAAAGTCACAGGCAAACATCGACATCTCGATGATCTTGCACACATACTCGCGCAACGGCTGCGAAATCGCGTGGAAGCCCAGGCCGCGTCCGTGCCACTTGCCTGTCCACCAAGCCCTGTTCGTCTCGTCGTGTTTGAACTCACGCGTAAGAAAGAACGTGATCATGATCTTGAAGACGAATCGCTGGACGGCGATCGCCGCAATGACACCGAGAACCGCATGGGATGCGCTCCAAGCCTCGAGGGCCCAGAGGGCTCCAAAGAACACGATCTGGGAGATCACAGCAACTGCGTGAGCGATAGCGGCCACGATCGACCCAAACTTGATGCAGCACATATTCATAAATGGCCCAAAGAGGATCGAGACGCCGAAAAGAGCCGCCAACACACCGGCGTTGACTACTAGGGGACCGAGAGCAAAGACGCCGACGCGAAGCAACCCACTAGTGAAAACTGCGGAGCCGTTGTCTGTGACATCAGCGGGGAAAGATCGGACGAACATATAGCAAATCACACTGAGCGTCATCTGGATGAAGGGAAACACGATCTCGGATACAAAGATCACGAAAAAGTTGGCGCGAGGGATATCGCCTCCTAACTTCTCAGAAGGATGACCCAGTCGCTTCCGCTTGTAACCTGTGATGCGAGTACGGAGAGTACGGCAGTATGAGATCCAAGACGAGGCGTGAGTCCTCGAGTTGCCGCGAGAAAGCCATCTCAGGAACTCGCGATAGTCAATAAAAAAGTCCGTGAACGAGAACTGATGCGGGTTGAAGATGAAGGGCGAGATGACCAATGCCATAACGGAGACCCAGAAGTAGACCAGGTGTGGAACCCACATGGTCAGTGATGCAAAGACCAACATCGTCAGCAGCCTCATTCCTAAATAGAGCGAAGGTCCTGCGAAACGGGAGTAAAGCAGCGCAAATGGCGTCCTTGTCGTCGCAAATCCACGTCCTGTTCCAATGTAGCGCGCGCCTCCGAAGGATAGGTTGGTCAGGATCGAGTTGGCGTAGATTTGCGTGACAAACACCTCGAACAAGGGTGAGAGCGACATAAAGTGCTTGCCCAGACGGACGATACTTCTGGCAAATCCACGCTCCATGAACTCTTGCAGGAACAGGGGCAGGAATGCGATGAAGAAGACGATGAAAATGGAGAGCACACAGCGCTTGATCCAGTCGTAGACAGGAACCAGGTTCACGCAGGCATCCTCAGCCATGTCTGTGCAGACCTCAACAGATGAGGCCATGGCGCCGATGAAGAGCATTGAAAACAGGAAGAGCTGGAGCGAGAGCATGATGAAGATGTTGTTGATATGGAATCCAGGATGCGCATAGTAGAAGGTTAGGAAGCGGTCAAGAGGCAGCTGCGTTCCCATGTAATAGTACTCGCGAGACAGCATCTGCTCGCCCATTCCTGTGCCGATCTTTGTAGTGAAGTTGAGAATGGAGCCAAATCCTAGATCGCGTCCTTTTCCGCACTGGTAGTACTCCGTGTGCTTGATCCTTCCTCCGCGGCTGAAGGCCGTCATACCGGCATAGATGTCCTCGTTCAAATGAAGACCTTTTTGAGCCTTGCTCACACCTACGTGCGAAGGGAAAAAAAAAAAAAAGAACCTTGTGTTAGTGCCTTGTTCACATCAAAAATGTCATAAATGATAACCCTAGCAACAAGAGTTAAACTTGAACATACCTCCACGGGTCGTCATGTAGATAAAATTGAGGAAATCTGGATGACCATAGTGCAGTTTGCCGCCGATCTTGGCCATCATACGCTGCGTGAGGGTTCCGAACGACTGTTCCTTGCCTGCGGCGACATCTCCCAGTACACCAATATTCTCTGAGAAAATGTACTCGCGAGCGCCAACGATGGCGACTGGCTCGGGCACGTCCTTGGACTCGAGCTGAGGCGAATAAGGAGAGATACCAGGGATATGGTACTGCTCAAATTCGCCAAGCACGTTGCGGATCTTGAGGGCCTCCTCCAAGTAGTTATCCTGATTAGCATCAATTAGCTGGAGATACTCGCCGCGAGTGAAGATGATGGCGTGGTTCTGGTTGTCGGACTTGCCGTCACCGAGAATAGGGTTGCCGGGAAGACGGATCCGATAACGGGGCTTGCGCTTGCCATCGGGCATCATCTCGCACCGCCCGTCAATGAGAACAGAGTAAACAATCGCCTCCTCCCCCTCTACATCAGAAGGACGCTCATCCAGATAAGTGATCTGGAGTTGAGGATAGGCACGTAGCAAGAACTCAGCATTCTCAGCTTCTTCCTTATTGAATTTGGTGTAGCGCTGCATTGAGACTAGGAACTTGAACTTTTGCTGCGACAGTTGCTCCAGCTCCCGCTCCAAGCGATCGCCATTACCACCGAATTGTTGCACCATCTCAGGATTCTCGACACGGTACAACAGCTTGATGGCCTTTGAGTAGTTCATGAACCCAGAAACAGTGCGGTACAGGGTCTGGGCGCGCAAAGAAGCCCAGATGCGCGTGCGGAGAGTATATTCCGGTGCTGCAGACTTGAAACCGATGCAGTAGAATGGAAGGTCGTCGTTCTTAGCTTTGCTCATCTCCTTAATGCTACCCTTCTCGCTGTCGCCCGCAAACCCGATACCGCTTGTAGCGCTTCCAAACATAGTCGATTCCTCAGCCAGGATCTTCGTGTCTCTCACAAAGTTATCCCACTCGACTGGGTGCAGCTGCTTCAGGTACTCCAGTAGGGTGACACGAGTGTTCTGGTCTTCCTCCCTGATGATCTCTCGGAGCGAAAGTAATGTCTTTTCAGAATAATGAGGAACCAAGACTGTGAAGGTTGGCATCTGGTCAACGGGCAATGGCTCAGGGATGGGCGTTGACAGGGATTGGGCGAAGAAGGTGATGCGTCTCTCGGCTTCCGAGTGCGCAGGGTAAAATTCAGCCTGCAGTGAAGAGTCCTCCTGAGCAACAAAGAAGGTGGGAGCCTTTAGCGTCCGTTTGTTTTCGTTCTCGGACGGAACTTGCTGATAAAGCAGCCTCTGGACGTGCTCGATCGAAAGGAGGTGTTCGCGGTACATCGAAATGACAATGGCGTTCCAGATCTGGGAGCAAAGAACCTTGGGCTTGTACTTGATATCCATGTCAGCTGTAGCGAGGAGCTTGGCGTAGATGCGCTTGGGCAGTCGAGAGAAGATGTTGCGCCAGGGTGTCCAGATCGAGATGCCAAGCTTGAAAGATTGAAAGACCGAAAAGACCGTGTTCCAGATGACATACCAAAGATATGTATCCAGGAAGAAGAGCACTAGGTCAACGAAGAACATCACAATGACAGTGAAAACGGGCATGAGCTCACACAGAGATTGTCCAATGAATTTGTCCTTGCAGTTGGGGATGCGCTGGTTGTAGAGGGCTTTGAGAGGATCTTTGAAGGATCTCGACAGGAAGAAGTATGACTCGACCAGTTTGCACGTAAAGACCAGAATCCAAAGGAAAAGCGAGAGCGCACGATCTGATCGGTTCAACTTGGGAAAAGAGGCCGTGAAGGTTTGAGAAGCCAGGTTTTTGCGCGTGGTCTTGCTAGAACCGCTAAAGAGTTGGTTCGATGGAACGATTGCGAAGACCAGGGTGGTGATCAAGGAGACGATGAACTGGGCAATGCCGACGATCGTGGACACGGAACCTGAGCGGTTGAACATGCAGATATAGAGGGTGGGGCCAGCATTGATAGCGAGAACGATGATCAGGATAATCAGGCGTCGGATGAGCATCGAAGAATTGCTCCAAGTCAAGGGAATAAACATGAACTCGCAGACAACGCCCAGGAGCATGAACAACGTGGCAATGGCTCCACCGAGAGCGGTGACAGAGAACTGGACGCCATCCTCGTCCGCGTCCTCTTCCATGTAAATGAAGTTGACGTTCCAGGCAGTGAAATACCAGAACGAAACCACATGGATGATCCAGACACGCGTAAAGTTGACAGCCAGATGGAGCCAGGTCCGTTTCTCAATGTAGGTCTTGCGGAAAGCAGATTCCCAGTTGACTTGGCTCAGGACTGCCCACCTCTTGCCAATGTGGACGTCGACAAGTCGGGTCTTGTCCTCCAGTTGAATTCGTGAGATGCCCTCGGGGCTCCAGAAGGCCTGGTTGATGTCGTCGTAGCCAATCACGGTGTCGTGGTCCCTCTCACGCTTTACGTATTTCCCTCCCTGGACTTCGTAGGACTGGTCGCGGATAAAGCGGTACAGGGGCGTGACAACGTTCTGAAGATATTCACCCTCGAGTACTGGATTCACCATCTGCTGGCATTCGGACGACATATAGTAGTCCTCCGCGCACTTGAAGATGAAGCAGAGGCACTCGGGCAAGTAGCGGATCTGTGCTGCCTCGCCCCAGAGCAAGAGATACAGAGCAACCTGGCGCGCACGATCAAAGTGTGACATCTGGTTCATTCTCGACTTCCAGTGCTCCTCCGCCATGCCGAGATTCTCGTGAGACTCGATGTGGATCGCACCTGGTTGGGGAGCCATCGAGTTGCGATTCACTTTCTTGTTCTTGCCGGGCGCCGAATGGTATCCCATGTGATCATCCAAATCTAACTGCGCTGCAAAGTACCATTTGCGATAGTTGGCATGCTCTCCTCCAATGTAATCCGCATGGACAGTCGTCAGCGCCTGGACTGGTCCCATTCTGGAGGCTCTTGAATCCAGCATCGTCATCAGAGCATCGTACTGGTTGCGCATGTTGTCTCCCTGAAAACCGAACTTTCGTGTCAAGTCCAGCATGATCCCCTCGATCTCCTCCCGCGTCAAGGGCACTTGCTTCTCGATAGTCCACGATGGGTATAGATTCGGTGGTGGTGCGTTGGATTCCTCATATCCATCGTCTGCTGATCCGTCGTGCTGATACTGCTGTCCTGGGAGAGGGCTTCGCTTGCTTTCAAGAAGAGAGAGCAGTGCGTCTGAAGATGGTGCATACCCAGTATATCGACCATCATCTGGCCCACGCAGAGGACCAAAGAGATCGATTTCAGAGGCTCCGTTGGGGGATCTGGCGTATTCTGATTTTGAGGAATATGCTTCGCTGTATGCGTCAGAGTGTCTATGTTCTCCGTTGACGCGACGCACTGAGTCAAAAATTAAAACTGAGTGTTAATTCCGTTAACGTTTGTGTTGCTGATTCTATTTTTCTAGTTTTCACACACACCTTCATTCAGGCCTGTACCTGCTGGGGGATGAACTAGGGGACTTTGTGACGAATTGGAAGAGTACCCCGTTTCTCGCGATATGTCCTGCTCTTCGTGTTGTGGATAGGGTGGTCGTGATGGTGGGGAGTTCATGATGCGGATATTGTTGTGGTTAAAATGTGTGTGGGAGTGGGATGTGTACAGATGCCGACTGCAGTGAGGGCACACGGAGATGGGAGACTGGCGGTGTAGTGTAGTGTTTATACGTGAATAAGGAAGAGATCGATTAGGAGTGCGGATGACGGACAATACACGGCAATGGTCGAAGAAGCAAAAGAAAGGGTATGTGTGGTATATGTGCAGTTGTCTGCCAACTAAAGATATGAGAAAGACAAGCGGGTGAAGTGCGAGGGAACGAGGGAGTAGAAAAGCAAGAAGACGAAGAGGAAAGGAGGAGGAGAAAGAGGGAGAAGAAAGAGAACAGCGACGAATGGTGCTGAATGCCAGCAAGAAGCATGAAAAGAAGGACCGATACAGAGTTGGAATACGAACAACGCTGTGTATGGAGGGAGAGCTTGTTTGGGTTGGTTGCAATGATATAATTTGTGATCTCGATTTCACCTGCAATCCAAGGCAAGAATTCCTTCATGTCCGCAAACAGCTCTCGATTCGTATCTGAGGACGCCATTTTTTCTTTTTCGACACAGATAACTTAACCAACTGCAGCGGTATAAACTGGTCCATGATCAGCTTGTTTTCTTTATTATTGTCTCCATTGTGATACGTTGGAAAAGCTTTTCTTTTCACTGGCCTCCCATATCTCTATTCATCCCGGATTGCAAGGCGACGGATGGCAATAGCAATGGCGAAGAGTCCGAGTCTGGATGAGGAAAAAGGTGGCGATAGCCTGGGCACTCTCAATTCCAGTTCATGTCATCCTTGGTCCCTTGGCTCCTGATGTCAGACACAATAACTGATCGATCACCTCCTTTTCTTCCCCGCACTGTCCGAGCTATCTGTCCCAACACCAGGCACGAGCGAAACAGGATCCAAGGAGGCGCTGCCCAAAAATTAAAAATAAAGATGGATAGCGTGCGCTAGAGAGAAAGAGCGAGGTAGACCTGGTTCCTGCTCTCGCAGCCTGCCCGTGTGTCTGTCGCGTTCCATGCTGGTCCCCACGGATTATTGTTCAGGACCTCCGTCTTATCAAGTTTGCCTCTTGGATGTTATCAAGACCGGGCTGAGATAGGTCAAATCGAGGCAAGGGCCTTTCTTCCCTGCAGAATCGTTCCTCATCCATCTTCCACCATGACATGTATTTGATTATGATTGTATTGTTGTGCAACATGGGCTCGGTGTACACAAGAGTCAACTCTGACGACAACGCGTGTAATGGTTTTCAGGGAATTTTAATGTTGAGCAACCTTGCTTACTTCCTTGTCCCTTTTTGTTGTTGTCGCTGTGAACTATAGGGGGATTAGACACTGGATAACAAAAGATGAGATGCAACGTCATTTCCAGATGCAGGAACATGGTGCCTGAATTTGCCTTCTTGGGTTAAGCGCAACTTTGACCTCACTTTTTGATCTTTGGCTCGCTGGTCACTGCTTGAGCCTGACAGTTGCAGCTTATCTATCGCATCCTCGATCTCTCTACGGGCGGGGCCACTGCATACACTATCCCACGATGCGATCACTCCTTCACTTCCCCTCCTTATCTCTCTGGCTGTAGATAGCACTGTTCACCGAAGATTAGCTATGGACAGCCTCCCCGATCGTGTCCCCCAAAGCCTATGGGGACGGACACATGCATAATGCAAGAGCTACAGTTCTTTTTCGTGTTCCTGCATGCATATGAATAGATCTTAATATCCTCTCGATTCCCACGGGCGAGTCTTGGATTAGGATAGTACGGGCATCTGCGCAAATGCCATGCTCTTGTTGGCTTCCTTTATTCAGAAGGGGTTCGCACCAAAGTCTTATGATCCTTCATCCACCCAGAACAGCGCCACACCGGACCCAGGTGTAAACTCTACGTGCGCAATGCAATGCGAAGGCCGCTGTGCTACCACTTCGTCAATATTCACAGACCCATAAATATCCATATGCTGTCTCTATTATGCTGCTACGCCACTACTCGTATACTTCCTATCTTTCTTTCGGCACACCGCCTCAGACCCTCGCCTTACTGCAAGTAAACCAAATTCACTCCTCTGCTTCCTCCCATTCAAGCTCGTACAATATATTAAAAATAACTTGATAACTGTACGCCTATCGTATCAGCCATGGTCCATAATCGTACACAATCCATTGTGGTTCTGGCCGCCTTCTTGTGCCTCAGTTCGGTTGCTGCTTCGAACCCCATCGCCATCAAAGGAACAAAATTCTTTGACCCTTTCATCAAGGGTATGGCCTACCAACCTAGGACATTGGCATCCTCAGGGAGTGTGGACTCCCTATCCAGGCACAGCGGCTACATTCGCGACTTTGTCTTAATGAAAGACCTTGGCTTGAACGCAATCCGTGTGTATCAAGTATGAGTCGCGGTTTGCTTCCACCATTCTTTAACTGCCATTGTTCACAATTTTTGTTAGCATTTTACGCAGATGCAGAAACTAAGAATATTACTATTTCACATAGCGGTTGCATGAAGGCCTTGGATGATGCAGACATGTACCTAATCCTGAATCTGGCATCGTCGAAGCACTCAGTTATTTGTAACAATCCTGAATATGATGTCGATATCTGGGATAGCGCGTCCATAGGGCGGTCGGCGCTTTCAAGAGTTATTCCAACACTCTGGGCTTCTTTGTCGGCAATGAAGTGGATATGACAATAATGATGACCCAGACGTTCACATTCAAATACAAGAGTACTTCAACTGCGGTAGCGACGACGAACGGGGTTGGTAGGTTGGTTGGTTGGTTGGTATGAATTTGTATGAGTAGTGTGGATCAGAAACAACGTTCCAATTCTCGGGATATGCAGATCGTACGAGGGATATTGCATCGTACTCGATCCCGGTGTTTCTCTCGGAATTCAGCTGCAATGTTGAAATGCCACGAACATTTCCTGAGGGACCATCTATCTTTGGATCAGACATGACCGGAGCATGGTCTGGTGGTATTGTATACGAGTGGTCGCAGGAGAGAGACAGTTATGGCCTGATCCAAGTCGATCCCGACAACACCCTTGCCAGGCTACAACAGTCTGAAAAACAGTAATGGCGAGTTTTAACTCAATAGGTGTTAACATGGATACATTTAACGTCCATTTGTCCAGCCAATACGCCCACTTGGGAAGCCAACTCAGCATTGCCATCGACACCCTCCGCAGCGGTGTGCGACTGCATGGTTCGTCCTTGAGCTGCGTTGCTTTGAAAGTAGCTAAACAATATGGGAGCATAATTTAACACGCTTTGCACGATGGTCCCGTGCGAGGACATTGGACACAATGGAAAGACCGGCGTCTATGGCAAATACTCGTTCTGCACGCCAGCTCAAAAGTTGTCGTACATGTACAATTAATTTCACGCCAACGTCAGCAAGATGGATGCGTCGTCGTGCAGTTCAATGGTAACGCCAAGTTCACAGTAGCCGCCAGATCCTCGGACGATGTATGTTTAGCCAGTAATGTCAGTGCACAGATTAGCAGCTACAGTTCTGACTCGTCTCCTAGTTTAGACGGACCTAGGTTTGCCCTTCTGGCCCTGCTCATAGTACCGGTAATATTCTCGTGAGTTTTTTTTTTTTTTTTTTTTTTTTTAATTAGGCAGGAATGCACAAAAATAGATGACTGGATCGAGTATCCAAGCGGTCCTTGTCCTCTATGCCTGTCCTGTTCAGTGGGGCCCCTGATATATCTACATCGTTGGCATCGACAACGAGGGTATGGCTTCTATAGCGCCCAGTGCCGTACTACTGGTGTTGACGGTGGAAGGCTGAAGCTGTCGAGGGAAGGGTGCGATGATAGCGTGGTCTGAAGACAAGGGCGTGGAACTGTGAGCCATCGCAATACAAGTGGCGGAGTATGCTCCCAGTGGCTTGATTTTTTGGCTGCGCTGGAACGATGGGGCACTAAGGATTCAAGCATTTCGCCGCGTCGTGAATCCCCACTATTTTGATTTTGTCATGGACGATATGCCGAGGCTTTGAAAGACGCACCAGTTCAAAATAGTATGCACACCTCTACAACGATCTATATCTATCTGCCATGACGATAACCTTGTGTGGCCAGTGGTTTCTCCGCATCTTGCTACCACCCCGGCGTGCATGACCCTTTACTCTGCTGTCGATCAGATGGATAGGAAGAATAAACGGGACGTTCTTGAAACGTTCGTATTTCTAGACCGAAATTTTGGTGATAGGATAGTAGCAGTGTCACTCGCATCAGCCTTCGATGGACGGCACCGTTAGATTCTTTGAAGGAAGGACAACAGGACTGGTTAGCAGTAGAGCCATGGTTGTCGTTCACAGCATACACGTACGATTTTGATTTTTACCGCCGTACTTAGACCGCGCATGCTGCTTAATACAATGACTCTCAACAGCGCACAGCCGATCCTAGGTTTGATTCGTTCGTATGCAATGACTGTGCACGTCCTTTAAGCAACTGCGAGTGGCCTCGGACGGCTTCAGGACTTGCCGAGTGTTTCTGCGAACTTTCTGCGCCCAGTCTGTTTCCTCGACGTCTGTGTCTTCATTAATTAAGTTTCGTGCCCTAAGCGTTCCTTCCAGCTGAGCCCGATCGCAGTCTGTACTCCAAACGCTTTGCAGCACGCCTCGTGTATGGAACTCGGTTAATCTGCGGGGTCGGCTATACAGTGTGAACGTGGAAGCTGAGGACTCGGAGCACCAGTCATAAGTGACGACGACTATATGTCCTACGCATTAACTACAGTTAGAAGAGGAGAAGAGTTAGTGTTGCCTTTAGCTCACTAATAGCATGACGATCGATTAGATGTGTACTCGTTCATTCTAAAAAAATAATAAAAATACTAATATGTATAGTTTCCTTACCATATCTGATAGTACTTTGAAGCGATTTCTATGTGCCTGTACCCCCTTAAAGGCTTTAGGGTATGATTCGCTCAGGATAGACACGCCATAGTCTGTGCCACAAAAGCCTACCGCCCTCCTGTCTCCTGCTCCGTTGTCCAAGGCGCCAGTGATGTCGATTCGCACGACCTTGTTCTATATTAAAGTGCTTCTAGGTGGGCCTCGGTGGACTGGGGACTTGTGGTATTGCTGTCTCCGTTGGTACTGTTGCTACTACCTGATGCCATAATGACCTAGCCCTAAAAGCACACCTGTTGCCGACTTGCCTCAAGGGCGGCTTCCTGCGGAATAAACTCGGTGTGTACTGTATAGGCCTGCTCTCGAGCCCAATCGATTTCAGATAGGCCTCCTTATCTTTCTGCCTAGACTAGAACTGAACTGAAGCTGAAGCAAAGTTGAAGCTGGAGCTGGGAGGTGGCTGCCTGTTCAGACTAAGGTGTTGGCGCAATGAACAGAGATGCCGATTCACTGCCGCCTGTTTCACCTTCGTAATTGCGTAGACCTTAGAGCGCGCTTCGATCTGTTGCTCATTCTGCTTTCGACGCTCAAAAGCTCTCTCTGCCTCGACGGCTGCCTGGTCCGCTGTGCTACTACGCTGACAATACGAAAGGTATTTCCGGCGCCAGTCCATCGCCGGCATTTTCTTCTTCGCCATTTTCTGGTGGTCGTAAGCGCTGCCAGAAGGATGGCTAATGCATGGTGGGATCACATTGTCAACCAACGACACAGCATAGCAACAGAAAATTCTAAATGGCTGCGACGCAGGATCTTACCAAGACCAAAGGACACCTCAAATATCTGTCAGTTGTTTGCCGTTTGCACCATTATCATCGAATCGGATTTTTCTAGCAGAATAGAGCGTTTTCATACCTCGATATCAGGTTCAACGACAGGGCAAAATGATTAGATAAACTGGCGATATAGCATCTATTAAATAGTGCTATATGCTATGGATAGTGCAATGACACGGTGTGCTATGGGAATGGTGTTTCTCTCTGTATGCATGATATGTTTGATAGAGACGTGCGATACAGAAGAGAGGTTATAAATCACTTCCTCAACAATACAGGTATGTCCGCGCCCGTAGATACAAAGGCGCTTATTGCGATGCATACAAATAATAGCCTCAAAGGTGAAACAGTTGGCTGCTGTGCTTCATATCTATCCTTGCAGCGTGTGGCTTACCGAAGGCGACAATTTATAATGGGTTATTCAGGTGCATAGTGGGTTCTTCCCTTTTGATTCAATACAAGATGGCAAGTCACTGTTCATCTGCATCGGATGGATACACAGGATACAGAGCGTTGTTGTAGAGGCAACCATCCATCACTATTCTGCGCGCCTCCAGCAGAACTGTCCGCGGAATTGCGGCGATGTCCATATGCAGCATTATCGCTGTCCAGGATTTTATTTTTCATCAACTCGATTGAGATCTATTGGGTCGAATGCTAGAGAACTACAAATGGCTACAGATGAGCTCTACCTTTGTCAGGATGAGTGGATAAATGGGTTATGCATTTACTCAGGAAGGCACTCTATTCGGGACCAATGGCTATTAGCGAGCTGCGGAAGGAAGGCCCAGTCGATTGGCAGGCGACAGCCAAAGTGCTCGATGCATGTCGGAGCTATGATCTGGCGTTGTGTCAGGGAACAGGACTGATTCATTAAGTCCGAAAGATCCCTCACCCACACCCAGGAACTATCATCGAGCAGGATTTAGCGCAGGGGCCGTTTATGGGAAAAGAGATTGTAGACGGTCATGATGAGACTAACATCCAAGTCCGTTTTGTCTGATTCCACTCTTTAGTTGGCTGTTGATCTCTTGAACCCCTCTCACGCTCTTGAGCAGAAGACTCACAAGTTGAAGAGACTCGTGCAGTCTCCCAACTCTTACTTCATGGACGTTAAGTGCCCTGTAAGTCTCCATGCACTGCACCGTATCATTTCAGGAATTCTTTCAGAGCAAGAACAGACGGATACTCGAATCACTTGGACCAGTGTCTCGGCATGCTATCTGCACACACACGCACACGACCAGCGCCAACTTTAGGGAATATTCACGTTGGTTTTTTTTATTCATTTCAGGAGCACAATGGACATGACATGCGTATCTCGAGCTGCAAGGCCTATATATGAACACTGGCTATATATGCTACGAACAAAATACGGGCTTTCACTAGGATCGACTGCAGGAATGGCTATCAAGACCTCGTTTTGCATCACTTTTAGAAACAATACTGACGTGCATCATTCATTGTTCCTGTATGGTTGTTTCATCTTTCAGGGCTGTGTTCAGATCACTACCGTCTTCTCGCACGCCCAGACTGTCGTCATGTGCTCGAGCTGCGCTAACGTTCTTGCCCAGCCCACCGGTGGTATCACCCGCTTGACCGAGGGTATGTAAATTGTCTGAGTTTCACGATCGAGCTAGGATCTTCAACTATGTTTTCATTCTGTAGATGACTAACACGTATTCTGTTGACCCATTTTTGTTATTTAGGCTGCTCCTTCCGCCGCAAGCAGGCTTAAGCGCTTGTTTGATCTATATTATGACGAGCAATAAAAACGCTGGAACAATATACGGGCGCTTATTCACCTAAATCGTATCAATACTATTCATTATATTGTTGTTCTTTTGCTGTTGTTGTATCTTCAATACTGCCTGTGGATAATTGCGGTGTTCATTCAGTCTGCTGCTTTCGGAAACTTTATAGTCTCCGTACGTAATACGTACATGAACGTTCAGGATTGTTTATGTTTTTCGCAGCGGCAGTCTTTGACCATTCACTTCCTTTCTTCCCTCCTCTCTCACCCTCCGTTTTCCGACCCGCACATAATGAAGACGTCAACTATCGTTGCGGCCACCGTTGGCACCCTTGCCGTAGCCACTATTGGTTATGCCATCTACTTTGATCAGAAGCGCAGGAATGACCCCGAATTCCGTCGCAAGCTGAGTATGTCAATATTCTTCCACTTCAAGACTTTCGACCTTCCTTGTGCTATTCGACCCGCTTCCATTAAACTCTCTGTTTCTCCGTACCAAGGATATCAATTTCTTGGAGGGCTGCAGGCTTAGTTGAGCACTTTTCGGTTATCCATATGCTCTATCGTTGTACAGCTCCCTGTGACTGTAAACCTCTCCTATCCTCCTATCTCCTTTTCTGCATGAAATGCATGAAATGCAGCGCTTACTTGAATTCGTATAGCATCAGCTACACATGCATATGAACACACTCTAACATAATTTTCCCAATTACACTTTTTAGAGAAGGAGAAGAAGCGCGCTCTGAAACATCAGAAGGAGGAGGAGAAGAAGAAGGTCACCCGAACTGCCCAAACGGTCGAGGAGGCTTTGAGTGGCATCAAGGAGGAGGAATTCCCCACATCGATGGAGGAGCGTGAAAAGTTCTGCATGGAGCAGCTCTCTTCAGGCGAGGCTTTGTTCACCCAAGGTAAGACCCCAGAGCGGTCCTGATCAAGGATGAATCTTGGCAGGAGAATGAAAAAGACGCTAACAACCAAGGTCGATTGGCTGTTTTTTGACTGGATCAATAGGTCCTGAGGGATACGACATGGCCGCAATTTGTTTCTACAAGGCCCTGAAGGTCTACCCAGCCCCCGCAGAACTGGTGATGGTGTACCAAAAGACTATCCCTCCTGAGGTCTTTACCTTGGTGATGGGTATGTTGAGCATGGATGTAAGTTGAAAGGGCTCGTTACTCTGATTATGGTTCTAAACGGTTCTTACAACAAGAACTCCGTCAAGAATGCGCATTGATCACCTTCTGCTTCGCTAAATGGAACTGCTATATAGGTCCAAAAGAAGCAGGAGAAGTATTACACGGTTTTTCCACCCAAGGAAATGAACGTCAAGATCGAGGAGCTGGCTGAAGGCGTCACGGCAGAGGGACAGAAGGTCGTCCGCCGCGGATTGGTGGCCACCAAGGACTTTACTGCTGGCGAGACCATTTATTCGGAGACACCTATCATCAGCTCCTTGGAACCTTCGTTGGAGGGCAACGACTTCTGCCATTACTGCTTGAAGCAGATTGAGGAGAGTGCCAAGGTCCGCTGCGCTACCTGCTCCAAGGTTGTTTTCTGCTCCGAGACTTGCGAGAAGGCTGCCACAACCGAGTTCCACGCTGTCCTCTGCACCAAGGATTCTGAAGATGCCCACAACCCTGAGCGCGCTTTATCCGACTACACCAAGGAGACCAATAACAAGTACCCGGAGATGATTGCGAAGTTCTTGGTGCGCATGGTTCACGAGGAGACTCTGAACAGCGGCGAAGAATATAACTTGTTCGATCACATCGAGCGTCTCCGCTTCTTGGAGGTTCGTCCCTCGGCTGCAGAGGAGAAGGAGATTGCACTGCTCAAGCTCGCACTTGGATCTAAGATTCCTGGCATCGAGGAGTTCATCAACGAGGAGCGCTATTTGACACTCAAGGGCAAGCTGCTTTACAATGCTTACGGAGTTTCAACCTCATTGGATGCTAGCAGATCTGTCGAGCCCTCGCCTGAGCAGTATCGCAGTGTGCATGATGCCCCCGTTGTTGGAGCTGGATTTTACAGGGTCACATCGTACGTTTCGCACTCGTGTGAGCCTAATACCAAGGTCGCGTTCTTGGAGCACACCAACAACATGTCCGTTGTAGCCACGAGGGACATCAAAGCTGGCGAGGAGCTCCACGTTGGATTCATCGACCAGAAAAATGGCACCCTTTCGACTGAGCAGCGCCGCCAGGAGCTTTTCCAGCACTACCGCTTTAAGTGTATGTGCCCCCGTTGCGAGACCACTGAGTAATGCGCATGTAGATTGTATTTATCACCAGAGCGGACAGAGGATTGCATTGCAGCAGAATCGGGTTTATTCAGCATCACCCCAGTAGACATTAAAAAAGGAATCAAATTGTATATTCGACGCGACATCTTGGGGCCTTCGGTAGAGGTAGCTCGATAGACAAGACTTCTGATGGTGGCTTCTTTACTAAGCGAAAGCTCTTATCTGGCTGTTTGGTAAACCAACAAGCATCTTATTCTTTCAATGCGCCCTTAATTGCTATGTCCAAGTAAGGCGGGCCAGCACTCAATATTGCGCTTATCAATGCAACAATGCAAGCGCGTTTTTGGAGAAGGAATTCAGGATGGCAGCATGATAAGAGCAGGACACAATTAGGATAATAGAGACGGTACTTGACTATAGGGATATCCAACCATCCGCTGTCCGTTCTTGTCTCATTCTTTCTGCGAGAGATGGAGCGGACATATCTATAAATCATAGTAATGGTTCCTCTGTTCATGCTATTGAGCAAGGCGTTCTGAAGAGAGATGTCATTGTAAATCGGGTCCTATGAAATGCGTTGGTTAAACATAGAGTTGATGGGAAGAAGGGCCGTGCCCGGAAACTCTTTGGACTACGCCCATTTCACATCTGAGATGAAACAAAATCTGGAGCGGTTCCTTTGCCCCCACACGTCCAGGCCCTTGCACAGACAAGGCTTGAGACTGTAATCGCGCTCAACAAAGCCATTTCATCGTGTCTATTTTCATACTTTCCAAGTCGTTCCTCCTTATTTTTCCATTCTATTCCGCTCTTACTTAATGTCTCCCTATCTTCGATTTACGCCATCTTTGTAGCTCTTTGATCTCAATTGCCTTCTTGATCCGTCTACCTCCCCACCTCCCTGAATACCTTACTATGTGTGTTCGCAACCCATCACCTCAAATAAAGCTACCATATAATCTACCCCACAATTTTAAAAACAAGATGGACATTACTATATCGGTGTTATGGACTTATCCAGCTATCTCTTGAAAGGAAAAACATTAGGGAGTACGGCGACGACGGCAGAGACGGTGGAAATGTATAGACTCGGACAGAAGCTCTAGGGTGTCCTTATCGCCTCATCGCGAGGGTTGGTAAGCTGCAAATCGTGGATCAAGGCAATGCGGATCTCTCGGACGCAGAGCAGACAATGATCGTGAAGATGATAATGGGTACCAGAACCCGCTTTCGACGACAGTATGGGATTATTGTACCTTTATCACTATCATGCAGTACATGATCTGAAGTGAAAACATGTCGACGCTGCAAACTATACTGCTAACGAACGTAGCTGTGAGCGCAAGAATTGTATGGGGATAATTTTTTCCGAATGAAGGGCGATAACGATGGCAATCGTTATGACGATAACATCGCAGATGAGAAACGCGACCAACATGACCTTCCTGGCGATGATGATGGTGGCGATAATGATCGCGTGCGATACCCAATCTGGTCATATCAGAGATGTCAGCACGGATGCAGAAGCTGCCACTCGCAAAGGAGATAAACGTGTCAGTCACTTTTGCTGATTCGTCCTTGTTGCTCTACCTAACTACTCTTAGGTATCTTGTCGTGTCCGCAGATGAATACTTCACGCCCAGTATCTGTTCAAGTTGCCTCACGAACACACCAGACGGGCAGCCCCAACAACTGCGTTTCTTCGTCAATCTGAGAAAATAAATTTAGCTTACTATATGGAGATCAAAAAGCTGCTTTTGATGTCCATGGTGAATGTATGTTGAAAAGTCGTGATAAGGGCGATGAGAAGAAGAGAGGAGAGAAGAAGAGAGAAGAGAAGAAGAGAGAAGAGGGAAGAGAGAAGAGAAGGAGAGAGAAGGGATGGGATGAGACATAGAGTACCGTATGTCCTGTGTGTCCTGCATACCCTCCATGTCCTTCAGATAATAAGCCTAGGCAATAGTCACTTCTCTTCTGCACCTGAGCCGACCAACGGCTGATGACAAGCCTAATGCCAGAACACGAACGATGGGTGCACGGAGAAGACACTGTTAGCGTATACGATCTGACTCTGATTGTAAAGTACCGGGTTGCTGACCTGCGGAGACCACGCCCTCTCTGCCGACAATGGGCCCCAAGAAAGTGTCCATCACTTAGGTCCTCCAGGGATTACTCAGTGTTATTTCCCTTCCTCCCAAACGCACTAGATGGCAAGGAACTATAATATTCTTTTCGTCGTTTGTTGTGAGGCTACGAGGTTTGACCATCCCTTGATCTCGCTCCAGGAACAACATCTTGTAGAATGGAATACACCGTTATCTTCACAAGCGTATAGTGAGTGTTCCTATCTAGTACCGTTTCCTTATTCCATTCTCAACCGAGCCTGACTGCACTTAGGGCCTTAGAGCCGATCTTCTCGTCTTCGAAGACAACATTTTTTTCTTCCACTCTCTGCGTTCCTATTTGAAGTGCTTTAAATCAACTTTCAGCTTTCAAAATCGAGAGGTAAAATGAAAATGTGCCTTAAATCGAGCCATCCAAAGAATACAGGAATGCGGGGAGCTGCAGCTAGCTGTGCAGGCTCACGTCACATTGTACTTTGCCCACGGCGCTACTAACTTATGTTGAAGAATCGCACTGGACTGGATGAACGAATGACGGGACCCAACAACGCAGAACTTGAATCCAGAGACTATACCCGGGTGGATCGAGCACAGGTATAATGCATTCCATCGGGACAAACCGCTGCTTGCTTGAAGGTTGCTCAAAGACAATGGAGAACAGAAAAAAGTACTGACTGTTCTTGGTCTTCTCCACGTAACGTTTAGCAGATGGAATCCGTGCATCCCCTGACCGCAGCTGGAGCCCTGGCGCCCAGGTACCCAGACACTTCATTGGGATATATATCTGAGCCATCTATAAGCAGTAGTTGCCGATTATTGGCATATCTAACAGCACGTAATCTTTTGTCAAATAGCTCTTCCGGAACCAAGAAGCCAGCAAAAGGAACCCCAATTGCTATCCCCACAAACCAGCGCCGTCTATCCAATTTTTCCATCAAGACTGCGAACAGAGCGCTAATGACTGGATATCGGGACGGCGGTAGTAGCGGGATGAGGCGAAAATCCAGCACAGCATCACAGGGACATCAATCGCCACCATTTTTCCCTCACAAAGGTACCATTCGACTTTCCATCATTCGATTTAGACGCAACCCAGAGGAACATCTATTGAAATTGCAATGCTCAACCAATTCGGTTTTCATAGACGATTTTGATATCATTGGGACAGTTCCAGGATTTGAAAAGCTGGTTGAGGCAGAAGCAAGTAAACACATCAAGGCGAAAACGGTAAGAGCATGTCGTAATTTGTTGCTCTAGCAGAGGAGTTGGGTGTTGGCTGCGAGTACGATCCTCAAATACGACTCTATATTTTTCCCTATTGAATAGAAAGCTACAGAGATGAGTGCATCTCTGAATGAAATGGAGCCCAAAGGTAAGCAAAGGTTTAAAATAGAAGCGCCCTCGCATATTTTTGCGCGTGAAGGACGAATTGACTGACATGACCTTCGAACAACATCTTCTTTAGACCAGAAGCCTGCCAAAAGAAAAAAGACTGAAAAGGACAACGGAGGCGATGAAATTATGGCTGCAAAGCCAGTGCTGACCGGCCTCAAAGGGCGAAGGCGCAGTGTACGTATAGCGGTCGAAACGTATCAAAGCTAAGGTTTCCTCGAAGAGGGCCACTGACGGCAGTAGCGCTATATTCTTTGATGGTTTTCAGTCCGCTTCTGTAGGTTCACTCTCAGTCAAGGATGTGCCTGCGATACCCACACCCCTATCACCTTCCTTACATCCTACTTCGTCTGAACCCGCCATACGATCGTCGTTACCAACCACTCGGATGTCACCACCAACCACAGGAGGATCCATCAATCGTCTGAAGCATATCAATGGATTCAGAAGGGAATCCATTGGAGGCAATAAAACACTTAGATCAACACCTGTGAGCTGGCCTCAAATGCCCGTGTCGTGCGTGCGGGTTTGGCCAAGGACAGAGTTCACTGCGGCTGGAATGTCGGTTCAGTTTGGAGCGGATCGACTGTCATTGACTATCAAGCGTAACACTACGAAAGTCCCACACATGGAACTAAAATTTGTCAGTGTAAGTGCCATGTAGTTCGCACCACCGTAATATTCGTTGCTATCTTTAGATCAAGTAAATAGTGTTTACTAACAATGACCTGAGACTATTTCTAGTATTACACTGCGTCGACCTTCAAAATTTTTCAGTTTGCAACTCGCAACGATTTCGCGGAATCTTCGATTTTGGCGCGGCAGCACAATTCGGCAGACGACTCAGAGAAAACGCGCCTGGTCACGCTTTTCGTGAATACGAATCCGTCGGCTATTGTGAATGTCTGCGCTGCTCTGAAGCAGAAGGGCATAGACACGAAACGTTTATCGTAAGGGCTTGTCGAGCCAAATGCCCGGTTGTTGTCGGCCAACATTGTAAACTGTACTCGTTTGAGCGTCGTTTAGTAACACGAAGATCGATTTCTATCTCACCGATATAGGCCGGAAGCTGCGGAGAAAATCCTAACTTCGAAGAGTAGAAGGTGAGTTCCCTCGTAGAATTTGATCCGCAGTATATTTTCATGCTTTATGTTCAGTAATGACTTACGACTTTTATGTTTACCTTAGCCCTTCGACATCGCGTCTTCCAGAACAGCCTGAAGAAGCGTAAGTTAGCTCACATCTGGCCTGCACAATGTTCGTTGTTATGAAATCCATGCCGTTTAATAACGAATTGTCTTTCTTTCCATAGGCTGTTCATATACCCA